TGAGGAGCATAATAAAAAGAATGGGATTTGTTGTAGTTCAGCTTCCATAAATAATGACACTAGTCGTACGAATAGTTTATGGAATTTATAACATTAATAGGCATCTAAATTTGTGTGTGTAAATGTTTCTGTGGTACTTAACCTTGAATTTATTACTACTTGGTTTATACTATACTCACAAAAGAAATACCTCGACTTCATTGTCTTTGTTGTCATTGGATCATCACTCACTTATCTTAATGTAAAATTTAATTTGCTTTTTCTCTCAACGCACATCCTCATCTACATTATAACTATTCGGCTTTGCAATTAAAAAATTGTGAGTAGTGCTTTTTTATTTCGTGTTTTTATTTTGGTTTAGATTTTTCCGTTTTTCTTGTCTTTCCAATTATTAATATTGCTATATTATTTCAACGTATTGTTGTTCGTGTGCCTTCTACAAAGGAGAATAAGAATTTTAAGTCACAGAGTTGTTATATCTCTTTCTTTATACATGGAACCACATGTTATGCTATGATCTGTCCTCATTTTTGACGTAACGTTCATCATCATCATCGTCATCGTTTTTTTACTATGTTTGCTCATTCTTTATTTTTCCTAGTTAAATAAGATAATAGGAAACTCGACTTTTCGTATTTACGACATTTACATTCATATTTACATCACATCACGTAATCACTATACAAATGGAATAAATGCACCCATTTCATTGTGAACCAAATGCTACCTATAAATGTCATTTTTTTCATTTGTTGTTAGTTATTTCAGTCAATATTTTTGTCGGACCGGTCGTATTAAACGTTCGCTTGTCTTCCTTGTAGTCTTTCTCCCCGACTGACTTTAGTTAATGTTGTTGTTTGATATTATTTATTATTACTACCATTATTATGTACCTGCTTACTTCATTCAGAATGATTTTTGTGATTTATTCTTGACTTGAGTTTCATAGTTATCAGCCTTTGTCACCCGTTGCACCTTTTTACTTGTAATAATCCCGAAAACTTACTAATCTCTCATATTCGTCCATATTGCGATTTTTCAGTGCCTCGATACACAAACAAACCATAATATAAACACATTCGACTTAGTTTTATTTTATTGCGTGTATAAACTAAAAAGTTTTCGAATTTATTTAAAATCTGCCTTCAAAACACATCATCTCAAAACTAAATTCATCTTTGCTTTCTCAAATAGCCTGTGATATTGTATGTCATTTTTCTGAGGTCTTTCGACTTCTGCAAAGCTATGTAACTCTTTTTTATGACATGAACAAGATTCTCTTATTTATGACAGACATAAACGCTACTTTTAAAGCGTTTTCGAAGTAAGTATCACGGACTTCATACGTGTTCGTTTACATATGTTACAAAATCATACATGTTTAAGATTTCATTCACAATGTTCGGTTGGAGGTTTTTTTCTAAATACATTGCTATTGATCCCGTAATATTATTGCTATTTATTTGAGATACTTTAACATCACGTCTGTTACTATTTGGATGTTTCACTCATATTTATTACTTCTGTTGTCTTATTCTTTTCCTGTTCTTTTCTCTGTCCACCTAACTATCCATTTTCATCCTTTTACTTCACTAATTACCAGTTGTCTTAAACTTTTCAACCGTTTTTGCTTGTTTGTTATGCTTCTGCTTGTTCGCTTTCGAAATCTAAAACTCATTCTATTTTCGAAATTATGGTAGGTAAAGATTTCCAGTTTGTTTTATTCATTTTTAGTTGCATTGCCAATTATTCACTATCACGGTCTTCTTCGATTCATTGAAATGTCGAGTTTTGTATGGAATACATGATATGCATCGCACTTCACCATTGGCTTTTCTTTTTCTTTCAACTTCGTTTCTGGACAAGTTAATGTAGTTATTATTGATGCTCGAACCCAAATAGTTGAGTATTGTGACCTATCGTCATATGTCTCGAAAGCCAAAGCTATAATTACATTCTCAGAATTAGTTTCAGGTCAAGCGTTTCACCGAGATGATGGATACATGTTATTTTTTGCCGACAGAAGTGTATTTAGTTTAAGCTTAATGATTCCAGTTACTGCTATTTGAAGTACCATTTTTAAATTTTGAAAATAATCGTTTTTACTCAGGTTTCCTAAGCATTTTTTCTATCTAATTCACGCAAAAAGTTACTTTGGACCTTTCGGTGTCAATGAATGTCTATTTGAGAATAAATTCATTGATTAAATGTGACCTTGATCCCAAACTGGAATTAGCTGAAGAGCCAGAGCACACACGAATACGACTCCAGGTGTCGTGGCTACTCTGATATCTTGAGACAATCGAGTCGAAATCCCTCTGTTTAAATTTTCAACAGACGATTCGTGGTGTCGCATGATCTTCACCCACATTTGTCGTGAAGTTCCTGTCTTACTCTGGAGTCCCTTGATTTCACAGGTCACGTCTCTTGGCTACATTTCAGAGGAACCTGACTTGAATCTCTTCGCTTTTTTGATTTAACTTGGTTTCATGGTCTGTAAACCTTCATTCAATATAATGATCTTTAGGGATTTCTTTACTCAGTCGGCATTCGTGCAGGTTGGGAAATAACCAAGTAAAACAGAAATGATAGAGACTTTAGGAACTAGTGTTTACAGAGAGTCGGATGAGAAATTTCGGTGCTGATAACAGCAGCTTATATGGAAACACCAAGAAAGACAGTAATAATACAAAGTAGAAAACATGTATAGTCTCGTTAAACGTGTCTAAAATTTCCATACTTGTATTATTTGTTCGCTGTTCATAATCAATCTATGCTACTTTAAATGAAAGCCGTATTAAAATAAAATAAATTGATTTCTCTTGTGAACGTTTGAGTAGAATCTAACAGTTTTATACTAGGTTATGCTCTGATGGCTCATTCACTTTTCATTTCTGATTGGAATAAAAGCTCCTGTTTCTTCATGACGAACAACACTTGATTTATAGAAGTGACTGTGCATTGCTATGAAACTACCTGGTTTCTTTGACATTATCAGTCCACCAATTGCAAATGACACGTTGAAGCTGGCATCTGTATTTTTGAATACACCAGGCCGAAAAGCACCTAGATCGAAAAGTTTTAGATTTTGGTAACGTAAATAAAGTCAAGAATTTAGAAAAAAACGCCGGACAACATTCAAAAACTTCAAGTCTGTAAATCAAGTGGAATGGAACTTCTTGAGAAAATATGACAGATTTTGTTGTTTATATATATTAAAACTTATCATAACAACGGTATGATTGGTACTGTTATAATTTTATTATCCTTTCTAGGGACGTTGTTGACATCATTTTACTGCAATTAAGTGTCGGGGAAATTATGGGGGATACACTTCTTTGTCAGATCATGACTGAACTGATCATATTAGTGGAAAATCATGAAACATCGCATCTGAAATTGATTCACCACATTAGTATACTTGTTTTGATTATTCAATTCAATATGTAACCAATAGTTCAGTCATCAAAAAGAGAAATTTGAAATTATTTCTAAGAGGTAGACTATATTGGTTCATACAGCAAAATGAGAAAAAATTTCAACACCGTAGATACCAGTGAGCACGTATGACTTTATAAAATAATTAATGTCAGCTAATCCCCTGCTTCGAAATCACACCTTGAAACTACGCTCTTGTGTAGATAATAAACAGTTGCGATAGTGCTTGTATAATATCAACATGTAACGTCACTCTGAAGGGGAAGTAAAAATCACATTGCAGACGCTAAGTTATATATATATATATATATATATATATATATATATATATATATATATAATGTACATAGAACCCAGTTATTATTCGCAACTACTGGCAGACGCGGCGAATGTTTAAAAAAAACCCTGCTCTGTGAGCTAGTCGATTCGTAATATAATATAAACAGGTCCTATCTCACACATGAGGTATGGCCGTATGGTTCAAAATCTGAACAGACACTTGTTAACTTTTGTGATGATTTCAAAGACTCATATCTATCAATATGACATCGAGTACATTCTTCCCTTTAGCAGCACCTTGCTGATGAAGGCACTCATTTTCTTTAATATAAATTTGAATCACAAAGCTAAGCACACAAACCCATAATTGATAGATAAACTACGCCACCCATAGTGGAAAGACAATGCATTCTATGGATATGAATAAATAGTGGTTGGAAATCATAGATGTTCATCATGTCGATGTCCTATTCTCACAGTAATATATTTATGCTAATAATTTCTATAATAATTATATTAAAGCAAAAATGTGAAGTTGGTAAGGGTCACTGACTGAAACACAATCTCTGAGTGACTTCATATATTGCGTACATGTCAAGAAACAATCACTTGTTTTTGAACAAAAATAAAACATTCCTCAATTCAATCAACGGAGATCTTTTCAATATGTTCATCAAGAAATAAACTAGACAAAGTACCTGTTATCACATTACATTTACTTTTAAGTTTCTCTTCATAATTAGTTAAATACTGTGCAGTTCCAATCATTGTGTCCGTTCTATGAGTGGTAAGTGTCTTCAATAGTCACGAAAATTATTAACTGCTTATTAGGATACGTCACATCCTCAAACAGTATCAATCAATAAATCAGATCTATCTTCCACTGAAGTTCCTAAACTGTCTTTTAAAAATGTTTTTATGAGCTGAAATGTTAAGTAATCTGGCAATGTGTATCTATTGACAATTTCCATGGCATGACCCCCGATATTTTCAGGATAACACTCATCTGTTGTACCTGGTTAGCTTATTAGTTACAGTTAAATCTAACTTCACCGTCTGTTCGAACAACCACAATCTCCAGTTATGGGTTTGATATTAAGAAAATGACTTAAATTAACAATTTAATGAATATGAAGCGTGATCACTATGTCATGTCAATTTTGATGGATCTTATAAGCATTAATCACAGTCAGTTAAATTAGGGGCTAGACAATTTGTTTACTGATTAGAGCTCATAAATTCACTTCATTTGAATTAAACTACTCTTCTCACTAGATATCGAGATGAAAGTTGTTTATGTGACTCGAAAATCAGCAGTTAACTTTATTTTTCAATTAATTGTTAATTTCATAACACTATGTGCTACATACGGACAGATTCAAATGGAGTTATCCGATCAGAATGGAATGAATTCTGGGTTGGGATATCCTAATGTTTTACCTGGTGATTCAGTTCAAGTCGCTCAAATGGGCCCAAGTGCATTAAATTCTGCATCTGATTCATCTCAAATATCAACACCATTACAAAGTACAGAAACTGTAAGTACAGAAAATGTAGGTAGCGGGGATTTAGCGGTTGGAGCTCAAGCCTCAAATATCCAGCCAGCATCTTCAGTTGTTGGGATTTTCCCATCATATCGTCCGCAATATGGATTTCCAGGTTATCTACCTAGTGTGTTCCCGGGGAAAGGAGTTGCACCTGGTATCAATACACCACCAGACAACATAGTTGTTGCTTCCTTCCCTGGGAGTACTCCCTCTGTCACACAACCAAGCAATGCTCTACTTTCAGGTGGAGTTTTAACAATGGCATCAGGAGTAAAACCAGGGTCTTCAGTTTCCCCAACTGCCACACTTACTCAGCAAACTGTACAATCTGTTTTGTCATACCTATCCTTACACCATCCAGAAATATTTCATAAATATTTATATCCTAAGCCCTATCAAAAGCCGTACGATGGTAGTTATGTTCGAAGATGGTTGAGAGAAATTCCACCTTCGTACAAATATGGTGATGATGGAGTTATCCAGCCATATGGAGATGTCTATCAACCTGATCCTTATGACTACTATGATCCAGTTGATTTAGACCCACATTATTGGCCAAGACGAAGGAAACCATTGGGTGTGTTAAAACGTAGGAGACGATACAATCTGTATAAACGCTTTAATTAAAGACAAATTTAGTACTACTTTTCGAACGCATACTTTAAAGAATGTGCACAATAAAACCGCTGTATTTGGTGTATTCGCTACGTGTTGGATTACTGTATTTAACTCGTTTTCTTCTCTCTCATGGTTACAATTGTTTTTATTTTTTCTCGAACCGTTAGTTCTACTTAGTGTCTATAAATATGTGTTTTGTTTTCTAAATCTTGCTGGGCGGTTAAAAGTCTGTTGGCTCTTTTTGCGTTTCTATTTACCATTGGGTAAATAGTAGCCTAAATAGAAGATCCTTCAGGACCTAACTAACGTTAGTAAGGTTAGTATCCTAAATTAGGCAGTCGTTCTTTTCCCTCAAGCCATTAATTTTTAGGGTAAACACCCTAGTCGTCGAAAGTCTGTTGTTAAAAGTGATGATAACGTCAATATATTGTCCCAGAACCTTTTTGGACGTGTAATATTCCATGATCAGTTTTGATAGGTTTCAACTCGGCATTAGGACGAAAAACTCTATGCTAAGATTTTGCTGCCAAGTTCGTATGTGCCATCTGATATTTCGGGTGTTAGCAATAGTGAGTAATCATCCTCATTGTGGCAGACCAAATATGTCGATATTAAAAATAGTAATTAAGATAACATAAACTTTTTAAACAGCCTTTTTCACTGTCTTTGCATCATCATCATTTTATCCAGTAATATGAAGCTGCGTAATTATTCACTGTCGTATTTTAAAAATCAATGGTAAAGGACTCTCTCAAATTGTTAGCAGGTTTTAAAGGGCTTTTAGTTGCTAGGTTGTTGTTTGAGCACGTAACCAGCTTAAGTATTATTAGTTCTGTGTATTTGGCATTCAACATGTTTGCAAGTGTCTATGTCTCTAGTTAGTTTCTAAGATCCCGATCTCTGAAGAAATGGTATGATGTTGTGTATTTCCCGTCATACTCTGGCTATGTTGATAAGGGGCATTACCGGTAAGGGCATTCATATGAACTTCATATCTTCTACAAATCTTCTTTGTTTTAGGGCTAGATATTCTGAACGTTTAGCTTACACAAGAGAATTAATTTTCAGGCATATACCTGTTTAGCACTGTATAATAAGTTTTGCTCATACTAGGAGGAAAAACACGAAATTTCTACTTCCAATACGCAAGTGTTCATTTTAGTACTCTCGAACGCCACTTTACTCATACATAGAATGTCCGTCCCATAAGCTCTATTAATAACAAATTTGCTTTCAATTTCCAGTTTTCATGTTAATTGCTAGACCGAATTTGGATTTTGCACTATCACAATTTTATTTAGGGATTAAAAATTTGTATATTGTCTTCGAAACTTTCATAGGTTTGTTATGTGCTTTACATCAATGCTTGTTCTATGTATGAAAGCTTATAAATAGTAAGGAATAAAGCAGCTGAAAATAGGTGAATTTCCAGGTGTCGGGTATGCATCTCGAAGTCGTCACAAAAACAGTTTATACTGCCAGATTTACATAGACTTTCTCAACTAGACAAAACTTTATACTGTAGCGAGTGTTTGTCACTTATTTTTCGAGAATATTTAGATATTATTTCGCAGGTTTCAATTGTTTGAGATAGTTTGATAGATGATTCGCAAACAGACGCATAAGTAGTGAGCATCAAAAAAGATTATTTGAAGGCTGTAAGGATGTGGACACTGTTTGAAAACTACGGAAGCTGTTCTCCCCTTTTAGTCTTAATCGATCAGACATTACAGTGTCCTCACCACTACAAGCTGTATTTTTTAGGGTTCCAAAATTCATATATACTTCGTCTTTAAAACACATATACAGGATCTTAGCGTGGTTCTTCACTCAACTTAGTGCAGTTAATATAAAGAGCCAACGCGATGTACCCTTCGTGTATCTGAAGACGTGACAAAGATTTTTTGTGGTCTTGCAAGTGCAAATATAGCACTAACTCTGAAGACAGAACAAACACGTTTTGATTAGGTTCCTGTTGATAGTCGCTTATGCGCCGTCTGTCACGAATAGCACAGTGAAAACTTGGGAAGACAAAGACATGTTACTGTCTCTTTACCGTCTCTATCTGTGTCCCAACTGACTACAAAAAGTGAGTTTTACCGAAAACTTCAGAACCCACAGAAAAACCAGGTTCTTGGAATCGGTAATCTTAGCAAGGGATTTTAACGTCCAAGTCATACTACAAAAATTAAATGGGTCTTATGGTGTCCGTGGTCAGCAAGCAGGTAATGATGACTTTCTACTGCAATTATTCTCTAACAATGTTATTCCTAGCAAGTACAAACTTTTGGCATATAGAAAGGGATTGTTTCATCTGGGGACTCGGAATATTAACACATCATTGAGCACATTAAATCGCCAACAACCATCTCTGGAAAGGCTTTGTAGAGGATTGTCACTCCGATCATGCCATAGTCAGAACACGCATTTTTATGCATTTTGCTGGGCATGGGTTAGTCATAACAGAAAGATCCTTCAGATATCAATTCGGAGATGTGAAAGTCAAGGAGGCGTTCAGGAAAAAATTAGCTACGCACCTAGTCATTCGTAGAAAATGGTTCATTCTGAAGAAGCTTGGATAAATGCACATCTAGCTATAAATATATCAGTAGCATCTACCAACAGCTGAAATTAAAAGCTTAGGAAAGGTCTTTGGATTTTAGCGTCATTTACTGGGTTGATAAATGCTCGAAAACTCATTCAGATAGGCTCGAAGAAAAATAAAGAGCGGTGACAACTCAAACGCAAATTAACAAGACGTTTTCTAGATTATTGTTGTCAGTGGTAGATGATGAATCCAAAAAGGATAGAAAAGGCAGCGACTATATTTATAATATTAGACAACTATTTCGACTGATCAAGAAAACAGGTATTAAGACTATATCGACAAAAGACGGTGCTTCTTTTGACTCTCAGTTCAGGAGATTAGACCGATGGGGAAAACACTTTGAGGAACAGTCCAACTAGCCTCCAGTTACCCAATATCTCTAAACAACTTGAATGGGAAATCGACACAAATCCTTCAACTCTTAGTGAGATTGAAAAGACTGCATCCATTTTAAAGATGAATAGAGCAATGGACTATGTTGGATTAACTTCAGAGATCTTTACGGATGGTGTTTCAGTTGTAGCGAATAAGATGACTAAGATAGTAGCTAGATTTTGGAAAATGAATGTAATACTATTTGACTGGTGTTGATGGCTGATTGTCCCAGTTCCTAAGAAAGGGCAGATGTCATCTTATAACAATCATATAGGGATCAGCTTGACTAGTATAGTGTCTAAAGTACTAGCCTCCATGATTAGCAGCACTTAACTAGTGCTCGTGAAGATTGACCCTGAGATGAGCAATCTGGTTTCAGACCTGAACGTGAATGGATTGACCAAATGTTCGTTCTCCATCCAATTTTAGAAAACAAGTTTATTCACCAACGCCACGCTTTAGTTGTACTTCTCGACTTTAAGGTATCGCTAAACTCCGTCGACCAAATGGTTTTATGGCAATTTTTGTCATTTGAGCCCCCAAATGCCCTAGTACGGCCGAGAGTATGGAGAGTCTACTCTCCCTCTCGAAATGCTCTCACATGACCAGCGAATATATAGCCTCTGCCAGGGAAGTCCTACTCACTGTCTTCTCGTGGCGGGGGTGTTGTTTACGAAAGTGAGAGGACGAAAAGCGAATGTCCGGCGCTTTAACCGGGTTGGTGAACATGGAAAGTTCACCTAGGGGAGTTGGAAAACTCTGATTCCAAACCAATGGTGCACATGGGCTCCAGGAACCTGATGGAACGAATGGCGTATGAACCAATTGTTGGTCACCGGCTACCATGGAACTGCATTCCCTCACAATGCTCCACTGCCTTGTGGATCAGACCTTCAGGTCAAAGGCTCCGGGTGTGGTCCCCTAAGAAAACCACCTGCTTCAGTCTGGGCACCTGGGCAGTATCTCAGCCCTCACACAAATCGAATGAGGTTTGTGAGGCGCATATTTATCTGGTGCTTCCTTGTACCAATATTTATGTGTTTAAATAAAGTAAAATAAATCAGGCTATAAAACTTCGTCGACTAAAGTGGTTAGTACATGTATTACGTATTCTTAACCCACTACCTGCCTCGACGAGAGATATTAGCTGATATACGAGTAGGTTAGAAGATAGTCAAGGGTGACCAAATCAAGAAATATAGTCAATGACTTTTGACTTTTGACATGTACGTAGTTGCAAACAACTTTGTTGAAGTCCATGAAGTAACTACGATCAGTAGTTGGAGATGTTGAGTGAATTCCCTTAGAATTGTTCATGACTGCACAACCCATCTACTCTTTTATATAATTTTTTTTCAGGTATGAACATTCTTCAATGGATCTGCACTTAACAGCAATAAAACTGCATGTTTTAGTACTAAAGTATAGGGCTCTTACTTGTTTTTCCTTTTTAGGAATTGTGTCTCTTAGTACAATGAAGACCTTAAGAAATTTGACGTACATTTCGTTTGATCACAAGTTTTATCTTGATCCTTTGTTATAGCAGTTATTCAAGGTGGAATTCTTTTGACTACCAAAACTTCGTATAACTTTTAACTTGTGTGTGTAGTTCTGTTGAGATAAGTATTGAAAGCAAATTCACCTAGTTCATCTGCTCAAGGTGGTAATTTTTCTGATCCAAACTTATATTAACGTCCTTTTTCTCCGATTAGTTTGACTAGTCTTTGTGAAAATACGTTTTTTTGATGTATGTGTAACTGAGCCGGGGCTCTTGAGAAATCACTCGTTTATGGAAATTCGGCAGCTATCGTAAATGTTGTTTTTTGTAACATCAGTATCAAAAGTATTGATCTATTTGCTATCACATCACTTAATTTAAGTTATAAAATTGCTTGATCCTAATTCATGCAAACACTTTTTATTTTTTGCTACCTGATTAATTTATACCAGTTTATACACCGTGGCTAAACTAGAGTCACGGCTTATTACAATGATTCAGGACAATTTGGAGTCTGTCTTTCATATATAAGCAGTCAGATCATATTAGTGTATAAGCTTAATCTTCTGAATTTTCGAATTGATTTGATACTACTACATAGCTACTTTCATCACACATAATTTGGAAGAATATGAACCCAAATATTGCCAATATTTGAATGTTCATGGACAAAGTTACTCAATTTCTATTCCGATTCCTCAATCCTTTTTGACCTCCGTACCTGAACTTTTTGTTAATGAACTTATAAGCCTCTAGTTCTTATATATTGTATTTTTGAGAGATATTATTTCCTCTGGAATCTGATCGTGATCATAATTTCTCTATATTGTTTTTAGTCTTGAGCTGGCTGCAAACAATAGTATTTATGAGTAGTTCCAGTCCTCCATTCATTCACTTTGCCTTTTAATACATCTGTCTTTTCACCATATTGCTGGTGTGGCATAAACTTTAATATGACTCATAATTAAACTTCCTTTTATTGTTAAATGTTAATCTTACATTTGTTTGTTACATATTCGACATGCATTTACTTCCAAGGTGTTTTTCAACATGAATATGAATCCACCTTTTAATGTTTAATATTGGGATCATATGAGATATAATATTACCTATAATTTAATATTATTCAATGCATGATTTGATCTAGTTGTATTCATTCTTCATATCCCCTCTCCTTGTTCTGAACTAAGAAGATTTGAAGAATATTCATTGTTAATGGTTCAGTCAAATAATTAGACGTTGTCTATATCCACTCTGTTGATATCACATGCAACGTTGTTCCGTTATAAAGTAATTAGAGTGTTTTAACATCACGACTGTATTTGATGATGCTCATTTTGCAGACTCATCGATGTCTTACAAAGATTTTCAATCTGCACTTTTATTTTTACTTTTAATGAACTGATGATTAAAATTTATTTTTACATTGTGAACTATTCACATCTTGATGATTCATTTTATCCTACTTAAGCCGATTTCTAGATCTGATTGAATAAGCATTTGGCGTAGATTTGATTTGACTGTTAAATGTTATTTTGTAATTTTGATTTTGATTATTACCTTGAAAAAGTCCAGACAACTTTACTGAACGAAACGTTGGAATTATTTAAGTTTCAATCGCTGAGATTATTTACATGCAATTTTACACAAATAATAATCATAGTAGTTATTTCATTATCAAATTATGACATTTTGTACTAGAATGCTGTTATTCATACTACAGCTTCTGTGATAATATTTCCCAATCTCTGTACACTTAAGGAGGAAAATTATATCTATAAAAATCTCAGCGACTGAACTTGAAGTAAATCCAAAGTTTTGCTTGGCACTCTAGTCCAAGTCTTTTCAAAGAAACGTAATCAAACATCAGAATTATCGAATATCAATAAAACACTAATGTGTAAGTGAAGAATATTCTCTTCAACATAAATTCTATTCAGGTTCTAAATCAGTGATCAAAAAAGTGGCCAGATTTAAGGCGAAATATATCGTTTAAAATTATAGCATGTGAATTTATGGTTGTTAAATCAAATAAAATAGTGAATGTTATAGTGACTAATGTGCACTGTTAACTTGAATCAGCCTATAAATTAAGTGAAATTATAAGATTCATGATCGGAATAAATCTGAGTCAGATAGAATGAAATAAATAATAGTCCAGTTACAAAGTAAATCAAATGTTGTGTAGAAATTTATATGAAATTAGTAAGAAATAATAAAGTGGGTTGAGGGTTAAGTAGATCAGTCGTGTATCCAGGATATTAGTAGTGGTGTTAAACTAATAATAATAATAACGATAACAATAATGATACAAAGATATATGAATAGGGATGACAATTAAGGAAGAAATGTTGTAAGTGCATTAGTCAGATTAGATCATTCAGTGGTTAGGATTCCTATTGATCAATTGGCCCTAAAGCTGGCCAAGGCACGAGAAGTGGCTAAAAATATACTTTTAGATATTTATTTCTTTGAACACAAATATTGGTACAAAGAGACACCGAATACATATGCGCCACACAAGTCGCTTGATTTGTGTGTGGGCTGTGACACTGTTCGGGTGCCCAGATCGAAGCATGTGGTTTTCTTAGGGGGCCACACCCGCAGCCTTCGACCCAAAGGTCTAATCCATAAGTCAGTGAAGCAACATTAGGAGATTCAGTCTCATGGTAAGCGATGGCCAATATTTGGTTCATACGCCATTTGTTCATTCAGGGTCCTGGAGACCATGTGAATCATTAGTTTGGAATCAGGGTTTTCTTACTCCTCTAGGTGCATCCTCTATGTCCAACAACCCGGTTAAAGTGCCGGACATTCGCTTCTCGTCCTCTCCACTTCGTAAACAACAACTCCACCACGAGAAGGCTGTGAGTAGGACTTTCCTGGTAGTGGCTGTATAAGCGTGACCATGTGAGGGAGTTTCGAGAGGAAGAGTGGACTCTCCTCACCCTCGGCCTTACCAGAGCATTTGCGTTTTTTTATCCGAATGACTACTGTTTGAAGGACTTCGAGTCTAACAGACTGGTAAGAAATCGCTGAATATAATTGAGTATACTAAACATGTCATCCATTCATTCTAACTGTTGAAAGTAAGAATTTGCTTTGGTACGTATGTGACATTTGTTGTTAGTGAGTAGAAAAATAAAAGCTTATGTTGATCAAGTTTATTGTTCATTATGTATTCAGACAAACTAACTAATTACTAAAAGTGAAATTAGTCGTTGTTGTTCACATAATGAGCGATTGATTAAATGGATTAAAATGCAATAAGTTCAGGTTTACTTACAAGTTATTAACTGCTACGGGACAGCTTATTGTAGTCTATCTATTTCATCAATATTGTTTGGATTTGCCCATATGTGTAGCGTTTGAGCTTTTAGTCTTAGTAAGAACTAAAAAGTTTTTGGACGATTCTTGTACCATTGACACAATTTGTATGCCTAGACTCTATTGAGTGTAAGTCTATCACCGAACTTTTTAAAAATTTGTTTCAGGTCTTCTGAGGATTTAGGAATGTGCTTCAAGCAAAGTTTATGTTCCTTCATTTTCACACTCAGCTGTTGTGAGGTATCGTCTACATATACAGCATTGTAGTTATTACATTTGATCTCATATAAACAACTTAGTTGTTCCTCCTTTCGTATTGAATCCTTGTTTCTTACTAATTTGGATCTTAAATTATTGTTTGTTCACAAGAATACGCTTATACTGTGATGATTTAGGATTTCTCTGATCTCTTCTATAGTTCTTTTACGATATGAGATCACCACCGTGTCAACCTATTCTTTCACTTTATGTTTTCCCTCATGTTTTCGGTTTTTTCCTGTTTCTTTTATAAAGTCGCTAGGATAATTATTCATCATCAAAGTGAATATAACTAAATTCATTTCAGTTACTTTGTCACCTGGTTCAGTGACGAGTTTTCGGGCTCTGTTTATCAAACTCTTGACCCATATGATCTACAATGGCTACAGCTTTTTGGATATAGAGAGATCCATAGAGAACGTCTTAATTTATATTTTAGAGTTTGTAGCAATTTGCCCGTTTCGACATTTACACATCTCAAGCATTTTACAAACTTTCTATCCTCTGGGGATTATAAAAATATATTGAAAATTACGAAATGATAATCTCAAATATTAAAACGATGGACAGTATTTTGCAGTTCAGGTGGATATTTTTATTAACGTTATGCTTTCGTAGATAAATGGTTTAAATGCTTAGCTTTCTATATCGTTCTAAGCAACATCATCAAGGCTTCTTTCGTACAGAAGCGAACTTTTCATTCGTCCCGCTAATGCTAAATAAGTTTATTCTGATTCCGTTGTTTATGAATTTGCATTTCCACACGTCCTTGCATTTTTACTGATTGTCTTGTTCGATTGGACTCTGATAGATTGGGTCCACATCGATGCCTATCCGCTACCAACTGACCTAAATATCGTGTTTTTAGAAGCTCATATTCTTAGAACTCTATTGATTCGTAATCACGACATTTACTTAGTCAAATCCGTGTTCATGTTTGTCTTTGTGTATTGATTTTAGTTTTAACAGCACATCGCTTCACTACTAATTATTGTTCGTGTTTACGTAAGTGAAGGCACGTTATGTATGTTCTGTATGATGTTCCTCACTGTTGGCGCAATTTGTTTTGGAAATGTTGGATCTGTCTTCCTTTGATGTTTCGTCTATATTACGTATAACTAACTGATTGATATCGTGCCTTTCAGTCTGCATGATTGGAACTGGAGTGATTGCGTTGGTTTGTGAGAGATATTAATTGGGAAGGTTCCAGAATTATTGTCGTTTTGAAATCTTGTTGATACATAATATGACGACGTGTTTCTTAGATTTCTGGGTTGATTTCTCTACAATATGTTGATTTGCCAGACACGTTTTGATGGAGTTTCTGGGATAGCCATTTCTACGGTGGACAGATAACTTGAGTTTTTCGATTTTTTTTCGTATAGTTTGAGTACTGTTCTGAGATTTGGCTTTTCCTAATGTTGTCTGTTTATAACCTTTCGTACACTCTGAAGCTTGTACTATTTCAAGACAATATTTCATATAAGTATTATTAGTGGATAGAGATAAATCTTATCCCCATTGTTGACTTCAATTAACCTCAGTAACCATCTTTGCTTATAGTATCGTACTGCCAAATTCTTTGGTAGTACGAACGTAGGCCTTTTAGGTAAACCGATTCCAGACTCTATATTAGGACATGTAACAATGTATGATAATGTTTATTCTGTATTGTTTAAAAATTGTATATAGTATTTGCAAGAATCACCTTAAAAAGATGCATCAGATATCCAGTCCTTTAATTAAAGCAAATGTGTATTTCAGTATTAAACTACGTAATTTGTTGTTTGTTAAGTTCTTTTGGCCTATTTATACAGTTCATCTTTACTTACAGTTTAAGTATATTATTATCATTATTTTTATTTTCTAGACCTAAATTTGGTTCAATATTCTTTGGGATCATTACACATAGGTGCTTTATCTGGTGGCATATTTTTGTGACTATCTCTCGTTCATTCATTTATTGCTATCATTCTATTTACTCACCTGGAGAAACGATTGAATTCCTTTGTTATCGTAAAAAATGGATTTTTCCAGATGAAAAGTCAATCTAGTGAATTTTCACCAGATTATCTGCCAATCAGTTGTAATAACATTCATAAAAGTACTGTTTCTGCTATTAACACTACATATCATGGTGACGATAACAGCAGAAATAGTAATAATAACATTATAGCATTTAATCAATGTTCGTCCGATATTCCACAACCTTTAAGCTTTCTTGCGATTCCTTCAGTTTGTATAGCCCGTAAACTTATTTGGTGCAATCAAAAGGTACATGGAATTACGTATATTCAGTTACAAATTTAATTATTTATATACTTTATTGTTAAGTGTAATAATCTTGATTGTTTAGTATTCATAAACCTTTTTTCATTTCAATGGAATGTGTAATTTTGCCAGATACAAGCTTGGTTTACGAGGTTGTTCAATGGATAGGTGGTAAGTTTTTAAGCTGATTCTCGATCAGATCAACTTGAGAGAATTTAACTTTTATCTATTTTAGATTACAGTTGTTTATTGTGTATGTTGTCTAAGTATATTATATATATATTTGTAACTATTTAGCTCATACTTGTATGTGAAAAGATGAATAAGTGACATAACCTTCATAAGTTAAATATTTTGCACTGAAGTTTCCCTAAATTTGGAGTGGCAAATTTATACCATTACAGTTTTATCAGCATAAAAAATAACTCTTGTCACAGAGTTAACAAGTTTCTTTTTTCAAAGAACAAATGTCAGATTGATGATTTATTGTTAATTAAAGAAACCACAATCTGTGGATCATAATAAATGTTTTCATCTGTGCTGAGAATCCGATATTGTATCAAAATATTATATTGAATAAAGCCATTAATAATAATAATGTTATTCATACCATCCATTATTAATAATGCAACTTTTAACACAATATATGTCATTTTTGTAGATAATTCACTCTTACCCATTGGATTATGAGATCAAGCACATTCTACATACTTTGTTTTATACAACGATGTAGCTTCCCTAGTCCATTTATTGAATATTGCTCGAATTCCATGTAGATGATTATTTAATTGCTCACATGTTAGATACATCAGCTGTAACATTTTTTGTGTGTACTTCATTGACTGATGATAATTAGATCATTTATCACAATTTTTCGGCTTAGCGAACATTAGTGGTAATAAATAAAAGTTTCAGGTAAATCTGGGTTACATTTCGTGACTATTTACTAGTCAGGTTTTCATTCAATACTTAAGCTATATCTAAGCATTCATAGCCACCTTTTCTGGGATTATAACAGACGTCTATTGTCAAATATTGGTTAGCTTGTGGTGTGTGCTACTGATGTCAACAGATATAAGTAGTATGTGTCATCAATCGAATGTGAAATGTCTGGAGGCAGAAGGTTATGAAGATCAAAGAAAAGAGAACAAGATTAAAGGGTGATTGATGTGGAAATGAAAGAACAATCAAGTCTGAGATGATTGACTGATATTTGCAAAAGGAAAAGTCAAGTTTGAGACAATTGATTGACATTTTGTAAATTAATTACTTACTGTATGGTTTTCAGATTTTACTAAGACGTCACCAATTGTGTTCTCGTTCACTACAAGTTTTTAAAAAAAAGCGAAAGCAGTTAATTAGCTATGTGTTATAGTGAATCTATGTTTTCGCGTGTTTTAAGGATATGGTTATATTTAAAAGTTGTTTACTGTCTTTACAACGTATCATTTTTGAATAATCCCTTTTTTTAATTAAAAGGAAGTTGCTGAGCTTTTACTCGGAGCATGTATGCATCCCGACTGGCTTTCATCAGTTATTCAAGTTCGGTAAGTACTATTTAACGTTAAATTTTACTCAATGAAATAATATCCGTTTAAGTATGTCAGCCGCATATATTATATAAGTGGGAACAACACTCTGTAGTCTCACAAGCTTGTATACTAATCACAATTCAATCTCTCTACTTAGGTGTATAGATTCACATTCCACGAAGAGCATTATTTATCCCAAGTTTGTGTATTTGTTTTTCTAACTAGTGCTAACTAACATTGCATTGTTCAGTATTCATATCATTATGGAGTTAATTTTAGAAAATCATGTTGTAGCCAAGACCCCTAAATTACTGACTGAATTATAGTCGAATATTCATTCATGTAACTGTCATACATTAAAAGGGTTTTATTACAAATTAGAACTGGGGAAGTTTGACCTGCCCCATATTTTCCACCATACGTTACCAGGTGTAATTATTTATATACAAACATAAGCTGTGAGCTTTGTCGAATCGAATCCATCTTAGTTGTTACTTTATTTGATATTTGAAGGAAGGAAGATAGGACCTTTCCAAAATTTAATAAAAATACTGGTTAAAGTTGTTAGTTACTTATTTTGTTCACTTTTACTTTCGAAATACGTGTGCACGTTCTGTCGCTCTTTTATAGGCATATATAGATATATTCTGTAGACTACTGAAAAATGCACTTCAATCTAAAAGGATAATCAGGCTGTTAGAAAGTTTTAATATTAATAATTTCATAATGTTTCATTTCTTTGAGAATCGTCTTACTATTATTCATTGAAATCTTTTAAATAGTCCTAGAAATGGTTCTATTATTTTTTATCGACGAGAATTGGCCACCCTAGCACGTAGACAAGATGGTTATTTATGGAAAAAGAAACCGAATCGACGTACTACTAAAGAAGTTCACATGGTCCTTAAAGTTCAAGGGATCGAGGTCAGTGTACTGACTTTTTTCCAGACAATAATAAAGTCATGACTTTTTGTTTTGCTTTTATTTTTTATTCTTAAAAATAGTCTTCATCAATAGCTGATATGGGTTGGATAAAACCATTCATTGAAAACCAAATAGCACTCACCTATCGATTTTTTTCTCCTAACTAAATGATGACAATGATACCTATCGAAATAAAAGAATATGAATCGGAATATTTCTCTAAAAAAAGATGACAAAACAAGCAATAATTTTCCCAAGCAAATCAACTTAGATCATATCACAGATAGATCTGCTTAAAAGTTTTTCTCTGAGTTTTTAAAGGCGTTGTTTAACTAAACTTAGTTCAAAGACGCTTTCAAACATCTTGGAACGCTTAATGAATTATCCTACCAGGTTTCAATCAGATTTAGGAAATATGTGCAAAATTTATTTCTTATGACCAGAAATGTTCTTAGCTTATAGACGGATTTATATATTCATATTTACAAATGTCTCACTCAAATGATAGGTTTCATGTATGATTGCACGGATACATACAGAATGAAGAAGTGTATAATTGCGTCCTAATTAAAAGAATTAATTCCCAGATTTACTTCTAGCATTCACCCCAGTTTCGCAACAGCTGATGTTACAGATGTTATCATTCGTATGTCCGTTATTGACATATTTCTTCTTCGAAACTTGAACTCTGAATAAAAAATGGGTGGTGGAAAATATTAAACTAGGCCTACTTCGAGGATTAGTTTCTGTACAGAAAAGAGGAGTATATATAAAATTGTAGGGGACCTAGCGATTTTAGAGGCTTTTAGAAGGGATACTAAACTTGTTAATAAATTTTCAAATTTTTCATTTAAGTTAAATAAAAGCCTAAACAACTGCTTTATAAGTTTTTTTTAGAAGATTCCTAACACACCTGATTGATAAGTATTTTCCATGTTATTCCTGTCTTCTGAATACTTTTCCTAGGATTTATAGATGACTCATAGTTTACCGAGTTAGTTGTCATTATAAATGTCTCATTAATATCCCACTTATTTGGTGTATTATATCCTATTTTTATCAATCATGTAATTTTTTTTACGGAATCCGTCAATTAAAGTAGAAACGTGTGTTATTACAAGTGTTTTTACTTTGATTCACTAATAGATAATAATTTTCTTTTTCTCTCGGTATATCTCCAGTGTATTATCGCCAATTACGCACATTCCGCTTTAATCTCTACATTTCATCGACGAACCTATTCATTAAGATTTGTAAGTTATTATCCATTTTTATCCGATTGAATATCATATTGCCTGTGTATATTCATTTTACATGCACATGTTAATTAACAACAATATATTCTGCTTTTTCATTTAATAGCACTATTCTTTTTTACCTATTGTGATAGATTTCATGTTGTGTTATAAAAAGATCATTTTTACGACATTGACTTAACAAAATATTATAATTACTGGTATAGCGAAACTAATGATTTGCTCACTAAACCGATTTTCCAATTTCTAATTAGTTAGTTTGCGCATAACAAAATCACTAGTATATATATATATATATATATATATATATATATATATATATATATATATATAATGTTCAGCTCATTTACCAGGTACTGACTAGTGTACCTGACTTCGAGCCATACTCTTATTCTGAGGGCTAGTATAAATATTCGATTACCTAAACCAAATTAATTGGAGAGGGATTCAAACATGTTGAAATTGGAACACCACCACCATTGATACACTGCTCCATTACAAGTGAATTTAAGCTGTAATTCATGCTCAACATATTCAACCACAATAGTTGGATGATAAGTTACTTGTCAGTTAACTAGTGAATATTCATAAATGAAGATAAAGGTCACAAAACATTGGATGATAATTTTCCAGCTCAAAATCTAATCGAAGCCAAATCATTAGTGCATCTCCACTACTACGACCGATTTTGAGCCACATAACTCAACGTTTCCTACTTTTGGTCACGGTAATCTCGCGGACCTCAATCAGATAATCTGCATCTACTAACACTGCTCATTGAAACAGTAAATGATGCACATCATACATTTTTCAACCACCTCAGTCGATGAAAATTCACTTTGTCGGTTGGTTGTGAACATAATATTGATTAATCTAGTGATTTAGTCAGTATGTGATACAGTAATGTAGCCATTTTCTTCTAAGAACGTCAGTTTTCGTTGAATCCACTTGTTCACTGGCTATTATTAGTACTGATTTTATTTAATATACTGTTTTCGCTGTGTTTTCTTTTTTTTCATAGAATCCCTCTGTTGTATTATTTCATTATTTGAATGTACCCTTATTAACTAATGAGAATAAACTTTGTTTACCATTACCTAATCTAAGTGAAAATGATCGTAATGAATTAACTTATGCTAAACTTGTTGAGCAGTTAGTGAATATGTGTAAGTTTAATTAATTAATTTATTATCCTTGTAAGTTTGTTTTTATATCATAAATAGGCAAGATTAATAAAAATGATTGTTATTGTTCCAATAACTGTTGTACAGCGTTACCATATCAGTCTGATTAAAAATTGTATTCTATTGATTATCTCCATAAATTAAACACTAATAATATTGATATAACTTATTTATCTTTAAAATTCTTTTTTCCTCGGTTCATTTATATGTTTCTTTCATTCCTTTCAAGATGAATCTATCTCTTCTTCTTCTTCTTCTTCATCAAATCTAAGGCTGTACAAATTTGATAGTTGTTAAATTTAAGTATGATTGTGTAGCTATATTATTTATAATTTGATATAAATTAATATATCAATGCATTATAAATTCACTTACTATTGTTTGTTTGAATCTTCCCATTCAAGCGAAAGGTACTGGGTTCGAGTCCCAGAGTGGACATCAACTCTGAGGTGCAGGTACATCCAGGTGACGAGTGCCAAATAGGACGAATTCACGTGTGCCCTGGATTCCACCGCTAGCCACTATCCATCTTTGCTTACCATGCTTGTGAATTAAGGCAATACACACAGTATGCACATATGCCAATAAGAGACTGACCAGTTGCAGTTCTAAAAACATCAATGGGAAGATTCAAACAAACAATACTAAGTGAATTTAAAAACTTCACCTCATTGCACAAGCAAGTGGCCATCAGGATTCAGTGGCCGAGTGGATAACGCGATGGCGTTTGAAGCGAAAGGTAGTGGGTCCAAGTCTCAAAGTGAACATCAACAAGTCAGAGATGCAGGTACACCCAGCTGACGAGTGCCAAATAGGACGAATTGACGCGTGTCCTGGATTCCACTGCTAGCCACTATCCATCTTTCCTCAATGCATTATAGTTTATATATATGTGTAGTGAACGAAGATTTGATGCGGATAATCAATTTATATTTTAATGCAAAACTACAGGGTATCTTCGTAAATTAAATACTTCATTTGCACATCTTCCATTAGTTGTCCTTCACATCCTTCATGATTCTTTCAATTCTCAACTCCTTAATGTTTCCTTTTTTGTTTTCTTCAGTGCAATCTTCTCAACCTTCTTTCGACAGACATTACACTTCTGATCGGTATTATATACTACTTATATCTGTCAATACATATGGCTTCCACTACATATATATCATGTTTGAACTACTATTTTTGTAATCCATTATATGCACACTAGCCCATTAATCGATTCCCGAAAACAAGGATTCATGCTATATTTAGTAATTATTTGACTTGTATTTGTTTTTCTATTATATAGTAGAATTATTCAGTAAATAAGAATCATTGTGTTACTTCATTTCACTAAATGAATAAACGATTTAAATAGTTAAACGATTGTACTTTAGAATATTTCTGCAATAAAAAACCCAATATTTATTATATTCAGGTCAACTAAATAACCTTTGGGTAATTTTAGTTTTACATATATGTTTAATATCGGTGAAAATTAAAGAAAATATACATTTCGTATTCAGAAAACTTGGTTAAACGCTTGCTGTGAGATACAGGTTTGATCCCTGACTGGATCACGGGTCCACACTCCTGACAGTTTTTATACTAGGACTAAATATCTGTCGAATGCTGCTTGATTTTCATTGAAACATTAACTAAGGTCAATCGGTGACAACTACTATGTGCAGCGTAACGAATATCATGAGATTAATTTCCCAGATAATTGTGGGCAAAAAGATTTGATAACATTGAATTTGTAGGGATTATTTTTCGGCTTGTTCATAGTGTATAGATCTAGTAATCGGGGACTGATCATGACAGCGATGCTAAGCTGATATTTCATGTTTTTTTTCTATTGTGGTTGTGTACTAGTGAGAAGTAGTAACAAACTATGGGTATATGGTAGTGCTTTAACCTATGACGACATCCCTCACTGGAAACCGGCTTTAGGGATACTGTTTGTTTTCTCTTTTTTTGCTTACAGCACATCCTCCTAGGAAAATCTAATTTTGTACATGTATGGGATATTTTTATATCATGAATTTCTTTGGAACTATATCAGACTATTGAGGGAAAATCAGAATACGGATTTCCACTTTAATTGATTGTTACATTCTTAAAATGATAAGCATTTTCAAGATGAATTTGTGATAAAATCATTAAATGCCGACTAATAAGATTATTAAAGAGTACAAATTATTAAAATGTTGTTCCACTTTCGTTTTAGGCTCTTAAAATGTTCAAAAGCTTAAATGGGCCTATTTGATGGTGTTGCGTTCTCTGGGCTTTGATTTGACACACTTGTTGAATAATTATGTCTGTGTTCAGATCTATTTGTAGTAGAAGTTGGTAATGTTGTCTACGTCGACGATGAACACTCGTCAGTTAAACCACAGAGCTACCTTTTGAATTAAAGTTGTTATTGTATCATAAACTAGTTTGTCTTTCAGATTCGTACATTTTGACCGTTATGTTTTTGTGCCTCATTGATTACAAGTTGGAATGTTTATATTGGTAAACTATGCCAAAAGGTGAAAATATTTCTGTAACTTCGATGTCCTAGGGTTTCGCAAATAAAATCCATTTTCAATGTTTTCAAATTAATAAGTTGTACTATTTATAATAATATGGTAATCTGTAAACCAAACTATGTTGAAGACTAGTGGTACTGCTATACGATTGTGCTTACACCTTGGTAGATGAAGTATTATTCCAACCCGATAATATGGTAGTTAAAAATATTGAACGTAAGCACTTAACTATGTTTCGCTTTACTGAATTTATTTTTATATTGCTTTTTTATAGTTAATAATTTCCCAAAACATATCATGAAACCTGGTATTGATCAAATTCTAAATTTCGATGTAAGTTATCACTTATATGATTGTTTTACAAAATTACGTTATATTTAGTAAACTAATCATATAAACATGAATTAGTTAGTAGAAATGTATCTGTCTACAGGACTGAACAACATGGTTACATGAATATTAAATCTCTATGATTTTGTACACTAATTCAAATTGCAAAACATCTCACTGTCTTACTCTTAGTTGTAACATCGAATTCATCCATAGAATAAAATTATTTGCTTTCCATTTTATTAAAAATATCCACTTAAGATAAAATGAGACAATATGTTTAAACTTTAGATTAACTTTTCTGAGCGTTACTTTCGATCACATGTTTTGTAGACTACTGGTATATGCTTAGCATGTCCAATAAATAAACGAACTGAAGTTATAGAAACTTTATTGTAAAACTTTAAAACATCAATTTTATTCTATTGTTTAAAACATCACAAAAGTCTGGTTCTACGGCTGCTTCATATTGTCACGTCTTATCATAGTGGTTCACATAAACTGCACGATGCGAGTAACAAATAAAATTCGACCGGAATTAATGTTAACCAATCATATCTGTCTTTTATCTGAAATTGATGCTGATAATTTTGTCTAGAAAGACAATGAAGGCTTCATAAATAAACCATACAGCTCAGAGAATTCAGCTCCACTAGAAGTTTTTCCTGGCTTTCGATTCACTTATCAGACAAACTACGTCCACTGAAACCATTGTTCTACTTAAATGCATACTTGTTTGTTGATCCAGTGGCTAGTGCTTGAAAGTTCATTTTCAAGTTTATCAAACTATTCTTTTTTTGCATCATTGATGTGAATGATAACTTTTGTTCCCTTGTTTTTTTTCTATAATTAAAATGAAAAATACCTTTTCACTGAACAACTCAATGTATGTGTGTAACCCCATTCATTTGATCTTACAGAATTAGGTATATAGATCTACATTTCTTCACAAATTTTACTTATCGATTGAGATTGTAGAAAATAAGAGTAATATGTTTGCCATAAAGTATTATATCTTAACATCTTAGTTAACATTAATCATTTTATTCTAACAAAGTTTTTTAAATCTCAAAATCATCTATAATACCGAGAAATTCATTAAAAAGAAAGGACTTGACGTTATCTCTTTCACTAAAATCCTAAAATCCTAAATGTTTTTTTTCGTTTGTCTAAGAAAATCATCACCTACTATATACTAAAGATATCTATCCTACGTTTTTGCTCATACGCTAACTTTTATCATCATTTTCTTCATTCTATTCACTGACAACAAAATCCACTTGATTTTTTTATTAGTTTTCCTATATTATTCAATGTTTCCTTTTTAAAATATCCTGTCACGTTTATTCTTGAATTCTCGAGTTTAGATGAACTGGTTTTATGGGAATTGTTCGAATCTGTCAGTGGTGTATATTCAAATATTTTTCTCAGCTGAATTACCATTGATAACGAAGGAAAACTAGACAGCTATTTTTTTCTTGGTATGGAATTTCTCATCCGTGCCCACCCATAACTCTACCGGAAGTTGATCCTATAACGTTTAGTACCGCGGGGAGTGTTCACCATTCCAACTATCGGTATTGGTTCCGATATAACATATTTCCATCTTCAGTCAATTCGCGATATGGCGCTACGATCATTTAATGTAATTGACAGTTACTGTTATCGCAAGAGTTATAGGTAATTCGTTCAATTCTTGTTGGGGCTGTGGGTGTGTGTGTTGTCAAGGAGTTCCATACTAGGAAGATGACAATCGGTTGAATAAGACAATAAAAATACATGTTTTAAAGTTAGTGATTTGGTCAGTTCAATTCCAAATTTTAGGCTGCTGGCTTAAACTCTGCTTCATTTCGCTTCGGGTAACCGGTTATACTTAGCAGTCAAGTCAATATACTACAGTTCTAAAGAAACTAATTGAATCGATTTCATTTGAATCTTTCCTGTTCTATTTCTCCCTAAGATAACTGATAGTGAGTTAAACTAACAGTATCTTCTCTCTTCGTTTAATATAAATCTGTCAATCATAGTGATCGTCATAATAAGCCCGTAAGGGAATGTCTTGGAACAATAAGGTAGCTATTATTTTTTTAGCAAAATAATAATTAAATTTAATATCTGACTTACTGTAAACAAATTCAAACCACACACCACTCAGCATCCATTCATTCATCCGTTCATCTATTTTCACCGCTTTTATGATCCTACACTATTCAAATAAGCTGTTACAAACTTAAGAGATTGATTTCATGTCTTTATCTAATCACTTGTAACATGGATTCATCTAACTAATACTCCGGCGGACATACTACTTCAAAGTTGATAATTAATGCATTGCGAGCATTGCCCACTACATGTTATTAATAGTAATTTATCTGTTTTTTATTACAGGAAAAGTTTGAATTTCATTGTTACTATTTTGAGATTATAAATGAGCTTACTATCTCAATGCTCATTTATTTAGCATGGACATTTAGCAAATATTAGATTGCAGGATGATATTACAATTGTTTCAATTTATCATTTGTTACGAATCATTTAATCATGTCTATGCTGGATGTACTGATATTATTTTGGATGGCGAAATACAGTTTAATTGTACTTGATATAATAAGCTGATTGCTAATTGATCTGGATTAACTAGCTCGTTTAATTTGTTGTGTCCGTGTATCCTTATGTGTATGTGTTTACATCTACTCCTCGTTCTCTCCAAGCTATCGTATTTGCAACAAAGCGCTATATTGCATACTGACATATCAGCATGAAAAATGACAATGTAACGTAGAAAGTTTACAAAGATTCAGCGTATGTACTTTATATTTCACCGACGAGTTAGCGATGTACAATTTAGAGTCTCTGATTAAACAAATTTTTGGTTATACAGAATGTCGCTTTTGATTAAGATTGGTAAGACCAGTCTGTTGTCTTTGATTTTAAAATGTCTACCTGGAGAGAGGTGGTGTAAGTTGTAACCAATGTAAATAAATAGAGTTCTCTTTTAGTGCAAAAGTGATATTACTCTATGGAGGTTATTGACTACTGGTTTGGTTTATACAAGCGGTCACTTTTATTGATTGGGTCATGTATGATTGTCAAGAATATTCGTTTATAATCGTAGTCAATATAACACAAAATAAACTGTTAGAGTGTAAACGCATGCTCAGTTTTAATACTCTCTGTTATGTCAATGTTTCTATCCTTACTGTGGGCCATGAAACTTGGTCTTTGAAAATGGAAAACAGTCAGGATGGGTATTCAATTGTAGCTGTATTCTGAGTATTGCTCATACGTACTGAAATCACTGAATAATGTTAACGTTAGTGGTGATATAGGTGATGAACCTCCTGTCAACACCCCCGCCACGAGAATGCAGTAAGTATGACTTCACTGACAGAGACTATATACGCGTGGCCATGTGAGAGCATTTGGAGAGGGAGAGCGGACTCTCCCCACTCTCAGCCGTACCAGGGCATTCGGGGGCCAATATAACTAACATTATTCTCATCACTATTATTATTATTATTATTACTAAGATCAGACAAAAATATAATGTGTATTAAATCTTTTGTTGAAGTTCAAGTTTATCATTCTATTTCACTTGTGTGCACACATGTTTCACATTTTATGTTGTTCTCTATCTATTGGTGACGTATCATGTTTTTATTCTGTGGTGTATATAAATTAAAGTAAGTTGTAAATCTTCTACTTCTGTAAATGGCGACTTTTTACGTCATGTAATAACAACACAATGACTACAGTTAATATTTGAAATTGTTACAAATGAAAATCTTGCTAGAATTCAAGCATTTATTTATCTTGTTAACTTTGATTTTTTTGTTTCTTACGACGATGTACTGATATCAGTTATCGGTCACCGGCTATCATGAAACTGCATCTCCTAATGTTGTTCCGCTGACCTATGGATTAGACCTTTGGGTCGAAGGCTGCGGGTGTGGCCCCCTAAGAAAACCACATGCTTCGATCTGGGCACCCGAACAGTGTCACAGCCCACACACAAATCAAGCGACTTGTGTGGCGCATATGTATTTGGTGCCTCTTTGTACCAATATCTATATATTCAAATAAATAATAGATTCATATTAGTTGTATACAAAGTTTGAACATCACAAAATAAATCGTATTAGAAACATTTTCCAGACGGTATAAATCACTTTTCGATGATATTATTCCTTATAAACTGGATTTTATGGATTTTCTGGGCTTTCTTTCAATCAGTGACAATATTGGTGTTGATGATAATGATCATGAAAATAATCACAGAAGTTTGAGTCAAACTGTTTGGTGAATAGTTGTGAAATCGTTTAATTTCATTTTGACTGAAATTTTTACAAACCCAGTTTTATATTCATTATTCTAATATCGATATTTTTCAGGGAAAAATTTCTTTATAGTCAATTTACTTCATTTTTATTGTTTCTTTTTTTGTTTTTTTTACAGTTAAATTTATCTAATTTAATTCAGATTCTGAGCGATCATATTTGGAATTCATCAGTAAATCCGAATTCCGCTCCATCATCGTCACCATCATTTTTATCTGATAATCCGTTTAGAAACATAACAAGTAGCAGTGTTGTGAAGAGTTTCTCTTCACTGCAATCTGATATAAATCATAATCATTGTCCGCATACAGCTGTATTTCTCCTTATCACGCCCAAATTAAATGATAATTATCAGACAAATTTGGAATTAGTCTTTTCGAATAACGAGTCGTCTTGTCGAACAAATCCTCATGCGCGAAATATTCGCGAATATCAGTATTTAGGTAGGTAATTCGTAGTTACACTGAAGAGATTTCTAAATAAATAGTGTTCTATCAAATGATCATCATTTAACTTCAATTTCTCTCATAATTATGATATTGGTAACTTGATACACACTTATTTAATCAATAAAGCACTGTAATTACTTTGTATGGGTTTTACTCCTTCATCTTTTTAAAGTACTTCAAAGTTATCACTATCATTACTGTCATTAACCCCACTTTCGTCAGTATGAGGTTATGGGGATTGTTGAATCTCACTGGAATTCTGAACTGATCTAAGTTAGACTGCCGTTGAAAACCTGGAAGCACTGGACAGTTGATTCGTTTTAATACAGTACTCCTCAACAATGTAAATCCATGCCTCCACACACGGGAATCAAACTCAAAACCTTCAGTCTCGCACACGAACACTAAACCTCTAAACTCCTGAACCGGGATCCAACGGTGTTAATGTCTAACTTTAATTGGTCCAAGACATTGTCCGACCATCTTCGAGATTCTTCGATGGGTAACTGTCTCACACTCGACACGGTTTAGCTTCATTGGTCACGGCTTCTTACCAGACCTCCAAAAATTTCTTTTCAAAGATGACTGAAGGTCTTGAGTTTGATTCCCACGTGCGGCGGTATGGATTCACACTGTTCAGGAGTCCCAAACTAGGACGAAATGTCCATGCATTACTTTCAGCTTTTCAATGATGATCTAACTTAGATCAATTCATAATCTACTTTTCTTGTTTGATTTTCCCATCAAACAAGACAACATACAACAATGCTTTATGCTATATTGTTTCTGATTGAAAGCTTATTGAATTTCATATACTTTTTAATTATTTTATTCAATGGTTTTCATAATTAAATACTCGTTTACCTAATTCAACTAAAATAATCTTTTAACATTATTAGTTAATCATAGAAATTCTTACATAATCAATGATTTTACATTCAATCAAATCATGAAAATATTTTCAAACCAAATTTTTTTTCCTTTCCAAATTTTAATAAAAAAATTATTAATAATTGATTATTATTTTTTTTATTTCTTTTTCGGATTTTAATTCTTATTGAGTTTTATTTATTAAAATCGATTATTTTAATAATGAAAATCAAATGAGAAATAATGAATGAATAATATTCATTTAATAATCCTTTATTATATTCTTTATGGTATATATATATAGTGATTATATTTTTACCGTGTTTTTTTAGTCTTTTAACCAGTTTTGGTTTTTATTCTTCTCGTTTTTTTCTTTTTCATCGTTGCTTATATGAAGTGTAAATGTTTGTATTTAAAGGCAAAACAAATTATAAAATGATTTCAATTTATTTTATATACTTTCTAACCTGATTATGTAATCAGCATAATGCGTATTATCCTATTGGATGCCAGCTCAGTGGTCTATCGGTTAAGGGCTTCGGCTCGAGACTGGTAGGTCCTGGGTTCGAATCTCGCTCGCGAGAGCGGGTTCGTGGATGCGCACTGCTGAGGAGTCCCATAATAGGACGAAACGGCCGTCCAGTGCTTCCATGTTTTCGATGGTGGTCTAGCTTCAATTGACTCATGATTTCAACTGTGAAAATACTAAATTCTCCACAAAACCCCCTCTGATCTATTTAAAATTGTAAAATTCCAAATAGGTCTAGAAAAAAATAATTCACTTTATATTCACTTAGTATTGTTTGTTTGAATCTTCCCATTGATGATTTTAGAACTGCAACTGGTCAGTCTCTTATTGGCATATGTGCATACTGTGCGTATTGTCTTAATTCACAAGCATGGTAAGCAAAGATGGATAGTGGCTAGCGGTGGAATCCAGGGCACACGTGAATTCGTCCTATTTGTCACTCGTCACCTGGATGTACCTGCACCTCAGAGTTGTTGTTCACTCTGGTATTCGAACCCAGTACATTTTGCTTCAATGGGAAGATTCAAACAAACAGTACTAAGTGAATTTAAAAACTTCACCCTATTGTACAAGCAAGTGGCTATCAGGACTCAGTGGCCGAGTGGATAACGCGATGTCGTTTGTAGCGAAAGGTACTGGGTCCGAGTCTCAAAGTGAACATCAACAAGTCAGAGATGCAGGTACATCCAGCTGACGATTCCGAAATAGAACGAATAGACGCGTGTCCTGGATTCCACTGCTAGCCACTATCCATCTTCACTTTTAATTCGCTCTATAGTTAGTTAATTATTGAAGTTAAAATAAACGGTTAAAAGAACTAAAAATAAATGAAGGAAATCTTTATGATTACAATCTAAGTTTTTTCGAGAAAAAGAATTATTATAATGAAAGATTATTTTTAAGGGTTGGGAATTAAATTAACTAATTAAACAGCTTTAAGCGTACCGTTAGGTAAAGCATTTCTACTTGATATATGGATGTTAAGTGTATTTGAAAGATTGAATTATCCATTTAGTGAACGTGGATCCATTGGTTGTGTGTGTGCGTGCGTTTTGTTGCATGATTTGGTAATAACCACGGCTGTTCATTTTCTATATTCTCATTTAATTTCTTCATACAAATAACTTAGAGTCTTCTGAACACATTGAGTAAATGTTTAATGATAATTCAAATATGTTTTAATCTCCCTAAATGTAAACATTTACATTAGAACTGGTTTGAATCAGTACCTTGTTTAAATACAGGGAGTTCACTAGTCAATTATGTTGATCACTGCATTTATCTTGATAGTCTGATCGGTTAAGTTGGGAGCAATAGTTGGCAAAGTCTTAGGACAGAAAGAGAAGGCTCATTCAATTTTTTCAGACTTGTTCAGCATATGGTCCAGGATAGATGTCTATCTGCTTATCAAAGGCGAGTATACTGCGCTTTTTTCCTCTCTGTTTGCTTGATTAGTATGAAAATGAGATTTTGAGGTGGTGGATATTTGTATATTACTAGTATTTGATTACGCATATCTTTAGATTGTTGCTCATGTATCGAGTGAGTTATAATGAGAGTATTCATAGAGTTCCAAGGAAAAATTGTGATTGTGGTGATGAGGCTAAATGTGAACACTCTGTCGGTATAATCTGGGAAAGAGCTAGGGTCTGGCAAATCAAGTGATATCATTAGTTATTGACCTTGGATTTAAGTTATGCAGGAAGATACATATTTCCTATCTGAAATCCATGATTTCGTCGTAATCGGTGATCGAAAAGTTTCGTTAAATGAATTGAAATCGGTGGTATTGGTACATATTCATTTAGTATTCTTTCATATCTTAAACTTCTGTAGAATTTCGTATCGTCTCGTCTATCCGGTACTATTTTTTTCGTCTACTTTATGTTTTAATGGTTTAAATAATCAATAATGACATGTAACAATGGTATGATACACTTCATTAATCAATCACTGACTGATTTATTTCACTTTAAAGTTCAATTTTAGTGTATGGGTTAGTGATTTTGTCCAGTTAACGTGAATATAGGAAATTCGAACTTTTCACCTAATAGTCTTAATCAATATGTCTAAATTGCTGGATCATCTCTCTCTTTCATCTTCTTTATTATCTCAGTCATTTGATCGTTTGTCTACTTACCTGTCATTGAATATATATGATTGAAAACTTAATAGGAGTGATATTATACTATTGACCAATTGAATAACATTTATCTCATAATTTAAATGTAGCATATTTTTCTATCGATGAGATTTCACATACCTAGAAAGAGACAGGGACGTACTTTCAAAAAAAACATTGTACAGTGTTTTCAAAAGTTAATTTAATATCAGAAGGGGTTTTTATGGATATTTCAATATTTTCATAGTTGAAATCATGAGTCAATTGAGGCTAGACCACCATAGAAAACCTGGAAGCACCGGACGGCCGTTTCGTTTTATTATGGGAATCCTCAGCAGTGCGCATCCACGATCTCGCAGCCGCGATATTCGAACCCAGGACCTATCAGCTTTGCGACGGAGCACTTAACCGATAGACCACTGAGCCGGCATCCGACGGTGTTAATGTCTAACTTCAACTGATCCACGAAGTTGAGCAACTGTTCACCAATGGACTTCAGTCAGTTGATATCTCTACAACAGACTTGGTTGAACTCCACTGGTCACTGCTTCCCACTAGAACTCAAGGAAACATTCCTTACAGTCAGTCACTAGTGAGCATATGATTATAGATCATAAGGGTTTTTTGTGGATATTTCAATATTTTCATAGTTGAAATCATTAGTCAATTGAAGCTAGACCACCATGGAAAATCTGGAAGCACTGGACAGCCGTGTCTTCCTATTATGGGACTCCTCAGCAGTGCGCATCCACGATCTCGCAGCTGCGATATTCGGACCCAGGACCTACCAGCTTCGCGACGGAGCACTTAATTAAGTTAGACATTAACACCGTCGGATGCCGGCTCAGTGGTCTATCGGTTAAGTGCTCCGTCGCGAAGCTGGTAGGTCCTGGGTTCGAATATCGCGGCTGCGAGATCGTGGATGCGCACTGCTGAGGAGTCCCATAATAGGACGAAGCGGCCGTCCATTGCTTCCAGGTTTTCTATGGTGGTCTAGCCTCAATTGACTCATGTTTTCAACTATAAAAATTAATTTAATTTAACGACTTTCTCTTAAATGAAGCATTTCTTTTTTTCTCTCTCTTTCTTCTTTTTCATTTTTTATTGTATCTCATGTCATCAGATATAATTAATAACAATAATAATGATCACATTCCTTTCATATTCTCCTCATCAAAGCCAATAGATGAATATTGTCAAAACAATCAAACTGTAAGTTTCCATTTTCCCATTTTTCTTAAAGAAAATTTGTATCATATTAACTTATTGTTCATACATTGAATCGTTTTAGTTTTATTCCTTTCCTATAAATTATGATCAGTTATCATCTTACAGTGTATTGAACTTGAATAATTTACCTAATATTAGTTTACTTTTCAGTCCGGTTAGTTTTCGCAATTAAAATTTAATACCATATAACTGCATAATATTTTAAAGTAGAGATTTTTGATCGTTTTTTCGTTCTTTGCAATTTTTTTGTAGTCATTATATTTTTGTTAAGTAAATGATTATTTATTGAATAAAAGATCCGAATTTTGTTGGCATTCGGTTTCCTACGTCGGACTCCTTAGTTAAGAAGCTCTCGTTCTTCTGGAAATTATTAATACACTATTTCAAGTGAAAATGAATCTTCTCAAAATTATTTTACTGATAATTATGAGATTGGTTGGCTTCGCAATGATTGTTATCTTTATGTATCATTGCATCTTAGTTAATCGTTTTATTCGGTTTACCTCTTTGTCTTGTAGAGAAATTTTAAAAACTTACTTCTTGGAGCAAACGTTGATGAAACTGCTTAGGAAGACAAAAAAAGCTTTATATTCAAACTATCTATCTCAGGGGGAGAAAAATCACTAAAATCATTCAAATGGGCTTCAGGTCTTTTCTATCATTTTAAATAATCTGGCTGTATTGTCAGGAAGTTCAGAAATAGGTGGTTTATGTCATAGTTTATCAGTTGTAATTTGACATTATCCTTAGTTGATTGTCAGGCATGAAATATTCGAATTGATTTTATTCTTCTTTGTTACCTATAGCAGTTCAGTCGTTCTCATGTGAAAATTACTACTGGAAATTTACTTGTCATGTTTTTTACTTGGTTACTGAATTTACTTATTTAATTCACCTATTTTTATGTGCTTGAACTGTCATATATATATCAGTCTGTGCATGTATTTTAACACCTAACATCACAGAGATACTTATTTTTATAATTTTATTGACTTACATCCAGAGTGAAATCAGTTATATCCTAAATAGTTTGGCTGTAACGTGTTTTTTAAACTAAATTAATGAAGAAACATGAACTTGAATGTTTTGTGGAATATGAATTTTCTACAGTGTAACAGTTGTAATTTCTTAGTAGAGAGAGATCTTTAGGCACAAAATCACAGAGTACAGGCATGAACTACACGACTCATTACTAACCACAAATGATACTTTTTCGAATGATGGAGATTTTATAAATTAGTTAGATGTGTGTGGTACTGTTTTTTTTAAGTGAGTAGTTTAATTACCAAATTTTGACTATCATTTTCGATATCATCACTGTCTACTTGAAGTAGATCCTCAGAGAACGCAATGCCACCAATCATTTGCTGATGCTGATCACCTGCCATCACTGAAGTAAATGGTTCTATGATTCTAGTCTGTGAATCTAAAAGTCGAAAGTCTAATGCTTTAATCATCAAACTACTGCTTCTCCATTATAATTCGCCAAATATATATAACATCAAACTATCTTTTTTCAAATGTTTCATCCTATTCGGGATTTATCAACTAAATGTACCTGCATCCCAATGTTTTTATTCACACTGTCGCCCGAACCTAACGCCTTTTATTTCAAACATCTGACGCGTTATTTACTGAGTTAATAAGTCTAGATATTCACTAACTTGTTCAGTTGATATGGAGGTAATAATAAAAGTTTGTAATTTCCCATTTTTCACATTCACGACTTCAATCATATATTGTCATTTTTATTATTTACTGTCTTTTCTTTTTTAAAAACAACAGTCCAAGTATGATAATAACAATAATGTTAACTCAGACAGTAATGATAATAATCCAGACAGTGAAGTAGAGGCAAGTTCTACTGTGAACCAATTATTGTTTCCTAATGATAATCATAATAGTGTGGAATCTAATAATTTACTATCTGATGTCGTAATTAACTGGGCTAACGATTATCCCTATTCATCATCACTAACAATGAATAACTTTGAAAATTTGGACACAACAAAAAGCATCCAGTCAAATGCTGATAATCAAAATGTCAATGATGTTGTTAATTATAATCATCAATATGTTAATACTGATGGTAGTCCACATTCCAATGAAATCACTACTACTTCTGCTACTACTACTGCTAATATTAGTAATAATGATTATTATCATACTAATGAAGAAGTAGTAGTAGTAGAGGATCCAGCTAGTATAACACCCACTGATATCGGTTATTCTGATGAATTAATAAATCTCACTGATTTAATCATCACATCAACATCAACACCGTCACCATTCATCTCAACTTATACTGATGAAAATTTAGGACTTTTATCAAATGAATTAATTACTGATAATAATCTACTTGGAAGTGACTTTACACCGATAACAACTACAACATCTCCAATAAGAACCGCTAGCAAAATTATCAATAATGACTGTAACGATTGTTGCTGTATAACAGAACAACATCAATCTAATCATAAGTTCCTTTCAAAAGAACATTTTTCCAGTGAATTATCGTCTAGTAATTTCAATGTTCATACAATAACTAATAATGGTAGATATGATATACAAATTAATCACGTTAATATTGATAAAGAAGAGATAAATAACAATCGGTTCAATAATCCTATCAGTGAAATTGATGATAATTTGAATCTTGAAACTTGCAAAAAGTCAGTAGCTTGATTTTTATTGTATACTTTAACAATAATGAATTAGTGAAGTGAACAAGTTAGATAGTTTAATTAGGAAGCTTTTGTTTCATTTTCTATTCTAAATAACATCACTACATTACCCAAGATAAATGTGAATATTCTTAAAGTGATTTCATTGAGGATCTTGTTTTACGAGTGGGTTGCATCGGTTATATTTGTGTCTTTGGATTCTGGGTATTGATATGAACACTGGTGAACTATTAAAAACCCAAGGAGCAATGGGAGATATTTTAATTCTAGTTTGGGCTTATTGGTTGTACACATTCATGAACATATAGCATTAAGGGATCGAATTCAACATCTTGTACCATTTTGGTGTGGGTTATTTATATCCACATGAGTAGTATATAACGATGGTCGGGCACTGAATGTATTTCAGTAGAAGATCGATAACGAAAGAACGGGAACGAAACGCATTTCGTATGAGAATGCATGAACAAAAATAATTGGAGACGATGGACCGAACGGTGAAGATTGAGACAATTGTTTGACAGTTTGCAAATTAACTGTTTATTGTATGGTTGTCAGATTTTAGTGAGATAGTCTGTAATTTTCGTGCCAAATATTTAACGCTGAGATTTTGAGGCTCTCTCCAGTTATAAATATCCATTCAATCCATTCTGTTCCAACTGACGTCATATATTGCAACATAGAATCATCAGTTGACATAAGTCGATAAAACGGGAATCCAACTGTACTACCGGTCTGTTCTTAGTTTTATTCGTTAAATGTCTTAAAAAGAGATCGTTGCTATTACAAACGTGTTGATCTTTCTTCATATATTAATCGAATTTTTAAGTATACATTTAAAATCCCTTATTCCTTTTTCTTGACTTTACTTCATTTCATAATTTAGTATCTACTCACCCAATCATCGTTTACCTCTGATAACAAATGTTTATGAACCTGAAAAAAACGAAGTAAGTGACAAAGCAGATATTTTATCTTGCAGTAAGTTTGCGTATTAACTTATGTATGGATTATTTGGTGATTTAATCAATTACTTAATATACTGGTTTATTCATGTTCTAAAATTTATGTTTTTATTTTTTCTTAATGCAATTTTAAGAGCATCATACAGTTTGTTTCATTAACTAACTATTAGACCCAAAAGAATGATATCTTCATTCCCAAGGTTAGTACAAGTTCTATTATCAACTAGTTGACTGACATGAGATTCACTGCGAGGATTACTAACAATTTCCTACTTGTATTTGAAACTTGACCGATCTTTGAGTACTAAGTCTTTGTTGATATCATTTTCCCTATTCGTTATTAAAACTCACTGATGATACCGCTAAAGTAAAGTAAACTTGGATTCCAATATACTAACAGTAAAGAGTTCTAACCATTATTAGGTCGCTGCTCTTCTGATTAACTGTATCGTTAATTTTAGTTTAAAAGCATTTACGATACTACAACCATTTATTGATATAACTCACCAGCACGAATACAGCTTGTTCTTATTGTCTTTAAATCTACACATTTAATCATTTAAGTACCTGATTCGATTAAATAAGTTGATACTTATCAGTTTCATCTTTTGATAGTTGTTCAATTAAATTCTTGTTTTAGTACAATTACTTAATTAGTATTCGTTCACGATTATACAATTCCGTCGTTATTAATGACAGTTACATACACCCACACCCCCAAATGCCCTGGTACGGCCGAGAGTGGGGAGAGTTTGCTCTCTCTCTAGAAATGCCCTCACATGGTCACGCGTATACAGTCACTCCCAGGAAAGTCCTACTCACTGCCTTCTCGTGATGGGGGTATTGTTTACGAAATCGAGAGGACGAAAAGCGAATGTCCGACGCTTTAACCGGGTTGGTGGGCATAGAGGATGAACCTAGAGGAGTTAGAAAACCCTTATTCCAAACCAATGATCCACATAGGCTCCAGAATCCTGAGGGAACAAATAGCGTATGGGCCAGTTATTGTCACCGGCTACCATGAGACTGTATCTTTTAATGTTGTTCCACTGACTTATGGATTAGACCTTTGGGTCGAAGGCTCCGGGTGTCCCTCTAAGAAAATCACCTGCTCCGATATAGGCACTCGAACAGTATCACATCCCTCACACAAATCAAATGAGATTTGTGTGACGCATATGTATTCGGTACCTCTTTTGTACCAATATTTATGTGTTCAAATAAATAAATACACTCACAGTGGTTTTGTTAATATCTTTTTCTTTAACCTAAAAAAATGTTTACACTTTTTTTTAGAGTCTGAGTTAAAACTTATAAAAATTTTAATGTCTGAGTTTTATTTACAGATAAGTAAACTTATTGAATGATTTTTTCTTATGATAACACAATTTAATTTGATTAAATATTAAAGTGATTGAGTTAATTGAATATAAAGTTTGCTCAGCAATTCGAGATTTTATAATAGATTTTATAATATAGAATCATTGACAAACTAATTAAGTGTAGATTCTAAATGAATTACATTTATTATTTATGTGTAAAATATATTCATTCAATTTAGTTTAACTTTGAGTGACGTATTAAATAATATAACTAACTAAAGATGATCACAAATTAATCAATAGCCTCACACGTTCATTGTAAAAGATTCTACTTACTTTTACTTACGCCTGTTACCCCTCGTGGAGGAGCATAGGCCGCACACCAGCATTCTCCATCCAACCCTTTCCTGGGCAATTCTTTCCACTTGTTATTCATCCGGTGTAATGTGTTCTTTAGTTTTCCTCTTTTCCGATTCCCTTCCGGATTCCAAGTTAAGGATTGCCTCTCGTTGTAAAAGAACTTTTTAGTTATTTGAATAACAAAGAAGTAATGATAAATAATGATGTAGAAAGTCCAGGGGTGAGACTGTTATCGTGGATGGTTTAAATCGAATTAAAAATCACTACTGTTGAAATATCATATCATATTCACTTTTCTAGATGTAAACCACTAATTTCTTATGGTGAATAGGTCGAATAAATCAGCAGAGCTGTCATTAACATTGTCCAAAATATGAATAATTTACTTATGTACCAAGCACAAATTTATATGCTCAGCTTTAAGCCACTAAAGTTGTATGCGAACTAATGATACCATTAGCTCTCCTGAACCGAAATAGGCTAAGCTGGATTTGAACCTGTGATCTACTAATTGAAAGCTAACCGCTTTAACTATAAGTTCATTACTCTTCTCCAAAATATACATTCATGTGAGTTATTTTAGTTCCAATCCATCAATAGCAAGTTAAATATTCTTACTATCATAAAACAAATTATTTAACAGGTTTTTAAACGGAAAAAACGTAATACACTTCATCTCTTGCAATCAATAAAACACTTTTAGGTCTTCACTTTTGTCTCACTACTTAATTTTACCAATATGTGCACCAAAATAAACTGTTATGAGACAAGAGTAACTATATATATAAACTACAAGCATACCAAACTTTCGTCGTTGAGAACGCCGAAAGGTTCTTTTATATTTTGTATTTATTCAGTATCCCAAAATTGTATTTTTGTTGTAAAATATGTAGAATATAGTTATTTATAAAATACCAATTCAGATTTATGTATACTTTTTCCTACAGGTATTGAATATTACGTCAAAGTGTATTCAGCAAAAAAAATAATCTTTTTGTCTTCTGGACGTTTATCATAATAATGATTAAGTAGACATCATTTTCTAACCAAATAAGAATAAGACATATCATTATTCGATAGTGGAAAAATAACTATATCTTGCTGACAATTTCTGTGCTTGTTTGTCTGAATTTACCAGTTTTAACCGACTGATTTTCAGCCTAAATAAGAAAAAAACTTGGTATGTTTCAGGTATATTGTTTAATGCCAAGATTTCTATTAATTCTGGTTGATAATGATAGATGCGAAAATCACTGAGAATCAGGTTGTCAACGCGTTACAATCTAAAGCCTGTCATCAATGAAAAGATTTGATTTCACACATAATTGTACTCGTAAGGATCAGACCTGATAATAACTACTGAAAGTTTTCTACAGCAATCTACATTTAAAACTTCAGTCAATCTATATCATTCAATTTTATTGGTGATATCAGAGAGACAGATGTTTATGGTTCTTAGATTTCTGCACCTAAACAGAAACTATTCTCTAATACACAGCATTTTTCTAAAATATTTCGTATGCTACTAGTTTTTACACCTTATTTCTCCATCATTTCTTTTTCTTTGGTAAATTTTTAAATGATTATCATTCTTCATCTTGTGTTGGCTGTTTGAATCTTCCAATTGATATTTAGGATTGATTAGTCTCTTATTAGCATATTTGCATCCTGAGTGGTTGGATTCAATATTGCCTTGAGTCACAATCATTATAAGCAGAGATGGATGGTGGTTAGCAGTGGAATCCACGACGCTCGTTCCGTTCTATTTGGGACTCGTCAGCTGGATGTACCCTCGTCCCAGAGTTGATCGTCATTCTTCCCTAAACCTTTTATTCTGGTAATCAGATTACGTACTTAGTTTTCACAAATGTTCTCTTCTCTATATAATCTTATTTGCGTGTATGGGTACGTGTCATTGCGTTTTCTTTTCTCATCTCTCTCTTCCAAACATACTCACATACGCACCATAACCTACAAATCGTTTCTAATTTCACGCACTGAAACTGATGTTTTTCATTTTTTACTGAATTATTCATTTTATTTGATAAATTATTAAGTAGTAGAGTTTATTATTTTCAGTGACATTTTATTTTGTTCTTTTATTTATAAATTATTAGTTCTGAGTTGTTGGTATTTTTAAGAGTGGATTGATATTTGTGTTTTCTTGGTTCGTTGTTAAATGACAATAAAGTTGTTTACACTGGCTTAGAAACTAATTTTCATTTCATAATCTAGAAATATGTTCATAATACTTATGGTTTAATCAATGACTCATATAGAATGTTAATTGGACTCTGTACATATGTTAAGTGGAAATTTAAGATCCATGATCAGTATAAATATAGGTCAGATAGGGTGAGAGAGATAATAGTGCAATAACAATTCCATCAAATGTTTAGTGGAAGGCTATACTGTGTGAAAAATTAGTAAGACATAATAAGGAGGGATGAATCCAAAGTGAGTGAACCATGTTTAGTGGAGATTGATAATGTTTAACCAATAATAATAATAATTTATGAATAAATATAACAATTTTATTCTATTTTGGTTGACAATCCTAAATTTACATGCTTTAAACGATGTACTTCGCCCTTAACCTGGCCAGTTTTTTTAGATTATCAATTTGGATATATAATTGTAGAATCTGAAGAGAATTTATCGAAAAGAATATTCTTCGTTCAAACATTAGTCTTAAATATGGTTCTTTTATATAAATCACTGATAATTTAATGATAATATTCACCAAGTACCAATAATTTTCTGAAGAGGAATATTGAAAACCAGAAATTACTGCCTATCCATTTCAACCTAGTTTTAAAATTGTAAACAATTTATAACCTTGAATACTAGTCCAATACCTTCCTTTTAAGACAATAGTCTTCATTTTAAACTGTAATCAGTTTGTTGCATAATATGTCCCTTTATCCAATGTTCTATTCACTTGATTTTATAAAATAAAGTCTCAAACTTAAATGGAACAACTGTTCATTAATTCCTAGTTCAATAACTAGTTCTCCAGGTTTACATTCTTTTTTTCAATGGATTTTCCACAGTTGGCTATAAATTCTCTTGTCTTTCTAATCATTACAATTTGACTGTATAAAAGTCAACGATGTTATTATACACTTATATTTTACTCATTGTTTTATTTTAGAGTTTTGAAATCGCACAATTCAATTGTCAGCAAAGTGATACTGCTTGTAATTCATTCATATCTGATGGAGTATATTCAGAGCACAGTTTCGATCAGTGCAATAATATAAATCTGCTAAAATTAAAGCTATCAGGTTAGTCTCTACTTTTTATGTTGATTTTCATTCAGTGCTACTCATAAAAGAACAGCCATCTCTTTGTAGGTAAAAATGTTTGGTGGCCAGCAATGAAATCCAGGACGCGCGTTTTGTCCTATTTTGAACTCGTCAGCTGTGTGTACCTGCGTCCCAGTGTTGATGTTCACTCTGGGACTGGAACCCAGTGACGTCCACTTCAAATGCCATCGCGTTATCCTTTCAGCTACTGAGTTTAGATAGCGGATACATCCGGATGACGAGCTTCAAATAGGATGAAACACGCGTGCTGGATTTCTTCCAGACTTTCAGTATGCTAAGTAGACTAGGCTTGAAGAAATGAACCGATTAATTTGTTGGTGAAACAATCTACCTGATCTGGCTTCCAAACTGTTCCATACAATGTTCCAGGCACCTTTAGAGATTAATAGGTGACAAGTTGCCCCATTGATACGGGTCTTCTTACTTCTCAGTAGTTATCCTAGATAACAACTGTTGCATCTTTTTGACAAAGTAATAATAGCTTCAAGATGGATTTTCTTGGAGTTCTTTGGATAAGTCATGTCACGTGGAGTTCAACCGTGTCTGGTGTGAAGCAGTTACCCACTGAAGAAAAGTAATAATAATTCTCTTCATAACCACTTATAATATGATTATTGATTTTTTTTACAGGAGACCAATTTATCAATTTTTTGTTTGTTTATATTTTTCTATTTTATTAACCAGATGATCTATTACGTTGGATAGTGTTTATTCGTTTTAGTTCATTAGCACCGGGCATTCATTTATCCATTGACATTGAAGACGAATTCATTTTATTACCAAATCATAAATCTAGAATATTTAGCAAATCATTTGATGAATCTAATTATAATAATACATCAATTACATCGAAATATATGGAAGATATACATTCTCACAATGTTTCGAATTCAATGCTGACAAATTATTTAACATGTAACTTTGATGAATATCCTAAGGTTAGTTAATTAATAGTTGAATAAAATGAAGAAAAAAGTAGTATAATTGATAACAATCAAATAAACTTTTCTTAATTTTTGGAAACTGTTTTATATCAACTGAATAATTTAGATGATCAAAGAAATATAATACTAAGTTAATAAGGTTTATCTTTTCGTATTCACTATTCTATGATAGTTGACTTATTGTTCAAGATCTTGTTTTTATTTATTTAAGCACATAAACATTGGTATAAGGAGGCGCCGAATATATTTGTGCCACACTTTATCATTAGATTTGTTTGAGGACTGGAAAATTGCCTGGACGCCCAAACCGAAGTACATGGTTATCTTAGGGGACTACACCCGGAGCCTTTGTTCTAGAAATCTAATTCACAAGGCAGTGGAGCAACATCAGGAGATGCAGTCCCATGGTAGCCGGTGGCCAACCATAGGTTCATACGCCTTTTGTTTCCTCAGGATCATTGAGCCTACGTTTATTATTGGTTTGGAATCAGAGTTTTCTAACTCCTTTAGGTGGGCTTTCCGTGTCCACCAACCGGGTTAAAGAGCCGAAATTCGCTTCCCGTTCTCTCGATTTCTTAAACAACAGTAATGCCAAGAGAAGGCAGTTAGTAGGACTTTCCTGGTAGTGGCTGTATACGTGTGACCATGTAAGGGCATTTTGAGAGGGAGAGCGATCTTTTACCACTCTCGGTTGTAACAGAGCATTTGGGGGCGAAATCAAGATCTTGAATCTGTATTTTCCGAAATTCGTCCTAAAGAATGTACCTACAACTTTGTAAAATATGAGTTTCCTTTTGGAAATAACAATTATTATTCAGCGAAGTTTTGATCCCTTAATAGTGTAATGGTGTAGATTTTATAACTTTATTGTTGAATAGTAACCGCTTTTAAAATCAATAATGTTGGTTGCATATATTTTTATCAGTTAACTATCATCATATTCATTCAATGTCACAAGAAATTGTAGCCGTGAGTTTTTAACTTAATCTTTTGACTAAGATATTAAGCCTTTTTGTCCTGGTGCGTTTTATTCTATTTAAAGAACTTATGGTTCATTTCCTCTCTTCGAGATTTTTTTATTGACGGTTTTGAATAACTATTTCCTGGTTTGAGTACTTCTAGGTAATATTATGACATTGGTTCAGTTTTTTTCTGTTAATCGTCTAAAAAACACTATAATCTTCATAAATTTTATCTGCGAGGTGTATTTATTATGTAATCCCTCACCTGTTGACTGATTTAGATGTGAATATAGTTAACTTGGTCAGTAAAAAGTTTCCAAGAATTTTTTTTTTATGGGTCAATTTGCAAACTGTTCACTTTGTTACCATCAGCTAAAACTCATCATTTAGTGTATCTTTTGTTTTGTATGCGTTGTTCAGGTCAAACATTGATGCTTTCATTTTGAATTTTTTTTTCCTTTCCACCACCTCATTGAAAGCCGCGGTTGTAAAAACGTAATAATTCGACCTTCATCTAACCATAAATAATAGTTTTATGATTATGACAGTGTATGTTTTAGTGTACATAATCATTTTGGCCAAATTGCAAGTTTTTCATACACCCATTACCTAATTGATTCAAAGATATTTTAACATACAGTATTACATGTATCACCGTTGAACTATTTTAATATCACCTTTGATTCAATCATTTTTTGTACACAAGTTTCTCTGCTAGAATTGCGGTCGTCTGTTATTATTGTACAGGGGGGAATTATATATGTCTACAGTATTAATTCTGTCATTCAGGTATTGAATTTTCTTATTAGTAAGTGAGCACAGTGCAGCTTGATCAATAGACTTATATCATCCTTAAGGACTAAACAACGATGATATTGGTTATTACTTATCAATCAGTTAGTGTAAGATTTCACTCGTGCACAAAGTCCACCTCAACGCTTATTGGTGACCCCTTTGACTAGCATTGGCGATTACTGATCCTAATCCTTCTTGGAGCATCAGCCATCTTACCTTTGCTAACACCATGATGATAATTACCAACTAGCACATAAACTTAGGTTGAGAGTTTCTCATTAATTAGCTTCAACAACCTGATACCAGACTATTTACTTATCTATGTTATCATCTTTACCCTTATGTAACACTTTAATGATTCTTTTTTTTAAATAAAACATTTTTGTACAGTTGAATATACCACTGCGACATGATCAATGTGCAGATAAATTAGAAATGTATTTAATTCTACAACTGATTGAATGGATGAAAAAAACAGATAATATTAGTCATAATAATGTTAATGGAACAGATCAAAGTTCTGTCAATTATTTATTAGAAGCTGAAAAAGAATTTGATGAATTCAATATTCAACAATTACAAGAACAAATGACTTCATTGAAGATAGATATTTCTCTTTTAAGTTGTGCAGCTGCTTTGGGGTAAGTTGTTGTTGTTGCTTGATTACATTTTGCTAAGGTTGTTTCGTTTTGAAATGGATTTTTGTGTTTGGAAAACATCCATGTTAATTACTTATTCACATAACACTAAGATTTTGGGATTTGCACATTTGAACTCTGTTAGGAAGTTTGTCTCTATGATTATCACTGAGACTAATGAAAACCGAAAAATTTATAACTAATATATTTGTGCAATCATCTGTCTTTTAAAAAAAATTAATAAATTCTGAAAGTTAACGGATTTATTTATTTCCTAATATGTTTGGTCAAATCTGTGAAAGATTATCAGTTTTATCATCTTCTTTAGAAGTTTTCATATTGGAAAATCTCACGTAATAATATACAAATTGTTTGGCTTGTTTTTACGTATACTAATTTTGAAGTGTAAATTCATTAGCATTATTGCCTTTTGATACATTTGAAGTTGAGGATTCTTGGTGTTAGTACTCTAGCAGTTAAAAAGTCAATATTTAAAGTGTTCGCTGCTTAAGCTCGATGAGCAGGGACGGAAAATCGAATAACCTAATATTGAGACATCTGAAAAGTTACGTAGAAGATCCAAACTGAAACGTAGATACAAAAAATTGGGTTAGGTAACTTAGCTTTCTTATAGAGGAAACAAAGGATAGACTATCACCAAGTTGAGTAGACAATCCAAGCAAACTTAACCAGAATGAAAGAGCAAAACTACAAATTGAGAAATGACAGCTCATATACAAATACCTTAACGAAAACTGCAACCTAATACTTTTAAAGAAGTGAATAGACACCTAAAAATACGATCACAAGTCAACCAAAACACCACGAGATCAAAAATATACTAGACTGCAGGATGGCTAACACGACACATACATTCATGTGATCCACAACATACACAAAGTACATCAATCACGCAAACTAAAAGTCATACGAATATCAGCCTACAAAACACTGCAAACAACTAACACCACTGCCCTGTCAAAAACTGTAAAATACTCTTCCAACACCCATAGGTGTAATCAATCACTGTTTTGTCGTACATAGATTATGAGCAATCAAAGGACAGGAACTAAAACCGAACACGCAAAAATCCACTACAGTAACAACTTTTGTTCCTAGGTTGTCGTGCTGTGCATTCATGTGTGCTTCTCCAGAAGTCCCTACTGGCTTCACTAACTAGATTCATCCAGAAAAGGCAATTGGATTATTTACTCTTGAATTTTCAAAGACCTGGTAAAATTGATTGGCTTACCTTTACTTTAAGATAACCTTATGTGATAGTGCTTCGATATGCGTTTGGAATCGTATCCTGTGTGGAGCTGAAATAACCTGCTTCAAAAAATCAAGTAAAGTTGACCGATGCACATCGAGGTGTTTCAAAGCAGTAGTCTTTCCTTTATGCGTTCTGAGATCAGGTACCTAGTGGACCCCGTCAAATAAAGGTTCTTTCTCAGAATTTTCCAAGATCCTAGCTGCTACATTCTTTTTTCATAAACAAATGCGTTTTCAGTACTGTAAGGTTACTTTCCCCTTGATATTTTCGTTTCAACCTGGCGTTAGTTACCTTCTGAATATCCATGCAATTACGAAGCGATAACGAAAAGGCACTACTCTTCTGTCCTAAAAATTATGTTTTCAAGAACCACAGTTACAGTAACTAACAATGTAAAGGATATAAGCTATTATGTCAATCTTAATCAAGATTTTACTGTTAACAGTTCGAACATAAGACTTTCCTTTATGAACCAAGAGCTCATTTAATTAATGGTGGTTTACATGGCTTAAAAATAACCTTCTCTGTAGTTTAGTTCCTATGGATTTGGAGTGCTTACTATCATGCGTCCATTCAAGTGCAACATAACATACGATGTGATCATGCACCAGTATGTAATGATATTTGAAATTTTTAAAGCTGTAATCCACATAATTATCAACTCTTCAATAGTAAAATAATTTTTAAATGTTAGACTATTAATGAGAGTTATGATCAGAAAATTAAATATGTAATTTTTATTAGTTAAGTATATAATTATGTAATCATGTTTACAAAACAGGAATATTCAGTTGTAAGTTTAAACTGAATAAAACTGAATACAATTAATCTTAAAAGTTAAGATCCAGATCATGTAATGTGTTTAATAATAAAAAAGTATAATCTTAAAAAAAGAATATTTATAAACATTACAATCAAGTTAAAGGAAATTATATGACAAGTAATCTTAATAACATAATCCATCTTAAGATTCTTACCATACCTTAATTGCGTGTAAAACTTTGGAAGTAAAGATAAGATTTATCTCCGAATACAATGCTATCAGGGTAAATAACATGGACATTATGTGTTTGAAAGAATAGTTTTACAATATTTCACTTAAAAATTAATGAAAGGCGTTAAAAGGAAATTATTTTTGTAAATTTCTAAGAAGTTGAAATTAGAATAACTCCAACATCTCTCGCATCAATCTGGCCCAAGCTTCTTTAGGGGAATATTAAACAATCAAAATAATCGATTATGAGTAAGCTCCCAAAATCAACCGCGCAGTAATACCACTTTCCAATCATTTCTAAGTTATTGAGTTCGGGATTTATTTATGTGCGAATATGAATACGAGTTATTGGTGTGAAATGTGAAATTAGTAATAAGGGAAGAAGAAATATGTTCATATGTGTGTATGTAAATAAATCATAGACTAAAGACAGCTTTAAGCCGTGGCAGTGAATGAAAGTATTCAATCTACAAGCCATGAAATTAGTTCAAGATACCTCAAAGTATTGGATCTAATCAGTTGTATACCGTATACTTGAAGAATATCGGTGTTAGTGTTTAGTATTGAAAAACAGATTTGACAGTGAGAAAAGCACGATAGAAAACAACTAAGTATAAAATATTTAAATAAAAGTTTCAGATCTAAAGAAAAGTAAAGATTGAATCTGCACCAGTAAAATAGTTTTAAAGGTATCGTAATTTAACTGTGATGTATCCCCATACCATCAAGCTCTGGGAATATTTGACTAAATCTTATATATGATACCAAATGAAAGGCTTGACCCTAGATATCCAAGTCTGCTACCTTTTGCAGATTAAATGATGTGTTGTCAGTTACTTAGGTCGTTATACCTCACTAAGGAATTGTTGCTGGGATTGGGACAGGTTGGAGTCATGCTGTGTTTTTCAAACGAAGATGATATAGCTTCATTGACATATTCTTTAAGCTATATTGGAAGATATAAACTTTCTGGTTCTGTTCGCGGTACAATCGTAATATATGGAAAACATAAGTGACATGGCTAAAAATTAGTCTCAGTGATGTAGTTTTTTTCACTATTTTTTCTTAATTTGAAGGTTTAATATTACATCAAACTTTTTGTCCTTTCACGGAATTTATAATTTTCAAACTGAATTTTCTATATTTGACTGTTAATATCACTGATACGATTGTTACTTCGACTTCCTTTGATTTTTTTCTTGGGCCGCACTGTTGTGAAGTATGACAACTTTATGGAAGATCATAGGTTGTTTGTGATTGAATCATCTTTTGTCTCATTTGAAACAAACTACCGTCGTTGTTTTTGAGCTAGAGAAAAAATATATTAGTCTTAATATACTTGTCTAAGTTGTTATTTATATAAACATTTTCGACTAATTATACTCACATTAACTGTATTTGGGAGACGAAACCCGACTCACACGTCCTTGTCGTGCCTCCTGGATAGTGGGACTGTTTCTATGAACTAACGTGAGCGGTAACCCAGGTGATGGAGGTCGATCTAATCATCCACTCTAATTATACCCACAAATGATTACGAAGGCTACAAAGAATCATTGCACAGTTATTATTGGTTCAAAAAGAAAAAAAGAATGAGTCTGCCCAAAAAAAGAAAGATTTGCCCAAGAGAGAGAAAAAATAAAGAAAAGAAAGGAAGGTGTAATGATTCTGCCCGAACAATGCAAAAACAGCTATTGAGCCCCGGCAGTAGCATTCTTTCCCAGAAGGGCCTACTAGGCTTCACCAGGTTACTATGGCTGGAAGGGGTGGGGAGGTGGATTAACTTTATTTATCCTAGTTGTTCTTTTTAATGTAGCCTTGTGTAGTTTTGGGAATGAACCTAATGAAAAAAATCCCCTTATTAAAATTCTATTTTTATCAGTAATTTTTATTTAGAAGTACTGTATACTCTAGCATCTACTTAAAAACTTACATATTTGGACTATGATTTAATAGACTTGGTGAATTAGACACAGACGACTGTTCGAGCACAAAATAGTAGGTAACTTAAATATAGTTCATATATAATTACCAATTGAATTTCCTAACTCAATAGTTAGATTAATTCGGTCTGTAAAGCTAGAGATTGTTGTTAAAAATTCCCTTGTATTTTTTGTTGTCATTTTGTAAATAGAGAGCAACTTAACAATTATGATATGGTTTCGGACGTCTTTGGTTAGTGAACCATTGAAAAGCAGGGAGCTATTGATAGCTATTTCATTCTAGTAATAAGATTTTTTATGGGCGCGTTTCCACAACTTCACCATGAATTAAGGCCAGGACTTTCCGATCTTGCTGTTGGTGCGTTGCCTTTAATCCACTATGTTGAAATTCGATGATCCGAATTCTTATCTTCATTAACTCTGTGATAAATCATTGTAATGTGTTCGTTGAGACACAGTGAGAGTCTAGGTTTGATCCCTGGCAGGTTCGAAGGTGTGCTTTACTCTAGAATCTTAAACTTGAACAAAATAGTTATCTATTATTTCCTGGTTTTCAATCATTTGCCTGTTTAAATAAATCCGTCTGTTTATTTTCTCATTTTTAGTTATCCTGAACTGATACTAGGACTGTTGCAATGGGCTGTACGAATTTACTGTAATCAACCTACATCGTTCTTTACAGATCACTGTGATACAACTTTACAATCGAATGTCGATATCGATTTATCTAGAATCTTATCTCTTTTACATGGTTAGTCTTTATATTTATTAATTTTGTTGTTCAACCAATAAAACATGCATTCCTGATCATTTATATTATCTCTGTGTTTAGCTGCAATGTTTATAGTTTAAGAAAAGTATTATGTATAAATCGTTTACATAATGTTGTTAAAATTGTTTGCAGTGACATATAGGAAACTCTTTATATAAAAACGAAGACATATCCTAGTTGAAAACATTATCCTCTACAATACAACTCACTTTTTTCATATATTTAATTAGTCTTTTAAAGTTTGATTCGTCAAATTATTAGATTGTCATATCCATTTCGTTTTGTGTACAGATAAAATGCGATAATTTCAGGAATGAAAGTGTACCATCTCAAATTACCGCTGTTGTAAACACACGATACAGAAATTCTTGAAGAGAGGAACAGTAAAGTGCATTATGATGGCAGAGGTTACAAGCCAATAGGAAGCAAATAACTATAAACATTTTGAACAGTAGTTCCAGACGTGTGACATAATAATGATTGATAAGAAATGCGCTAATTTCTGTCTCTCCACCGATATTAGTTTGTCATAAAAACTTCAAAATGGTTAAAATAATTTGAATACAGTATATGTCAATGAATTTTAAAATCAGCTGTAAACCAATGTATTAAGAATTTTTTCCCCCTCTTGGATGAACTAAGGATTAAAATTATACTACAGAACCAGTCGTAATCAAAGTATACTCTTTCATTTGTGTTCGTGACCTTTTATAGGGTCGTCACTTGGTATCATGTGTTGTTGCGAACTTAGTGATTGATCTATTTCATAAATTTGTATTGTTTCTTATGTTTTGTAATTCTCTGTTGTACTTTACTCGGTATAGATCTAACCCCAAACAATTCCACCTCCCTTACCTATCCAATACTCACACCATTGGGTTCAGCTATTCTGTACGAACAAGTTGTAACAACGAAACTCTTGGTAGTATGGGAACCAGATGCTCTTCATAAACCTTGTTTATATAATTCATTATCGTCGTGTTCAAAATTGGGTGGTGAATTTACGCCGAAAGAAGTAAGTGAATTATTTTATTATTCAGTGAAATATTCTCACATTTCTTGTTTATTTCAATGAGTAACTGCTGATTCAGTAATTACATTCACTTTTAATATCCACATATTACCATGGCTTTCTTTTAACGATTAAAACCTCAAAAATTGCTTCTCTAAAGTGGTATATTTTATTGCCATGATTCAAATATCCAAAAACATTCGCCTTGTTAAGCGCACCTGGCATCGGGTCAGTTAATGTTTATATATAAATAATATCAAAAATAGTACATTCAATATTGAGTCACTTGGACTGATAGTCACATTAAAACCTGGTCGATAGAATCCAATCAACTTTCAGAAATTTAGACAAGCATGACATCAATCACTACTCAGTAATCAGTCACTGTAAATATCTCAGTTCAACACCAGGCTGCGCAATAGACTCAAATAGCCTAGCAGCACCATTTCAACCTGTGAAGCAGATTGATGTGGGTTCAAATCCTACGGGGTCTATTAGCTTTCTCATGACCTGGATGTACGCCTTACCAGCTAACACGAAACTTGGATCCAGGATTTTTTATTGAATACCTCGAATAACCTAATATGTGGTTAATATTAATAGTCTATATGAGTTGTTATGATCTACACATTAGGAATCTCCAACTGGCTTTTTAAATAATTGATAAAATATGTTCAGGAAACTGTGCAATAGAATAAAAGTTACTCATGAAATTCCAGCATATACCTTTACAGTTTTCCATAGTTTCGATCTCAACATTTACATCTGACTGAATCTATGGAAATTTGATGTTACAATCATAGTCTTTGTGACAAGAAAAAGCTTTCAATATTCGCTTATATGTGTGGTCGTGATAGGAATCAAGAAATTGTGCAATAAAATGAAAATTACTCGTGACAGATATAAACTGTATAAATCTCACATTACTTATTTTCCTCTTGCTTTGCCATAAAAAACGATTCTATTAATACAACATTCAGTTAGCTTTCAACATTTGAATCAATTTAACCAAGAACACTTGAACAAACTTTTAATTTAACGTAAAATTCACGTAAAAATTAGTTGTGAAAAAAACTTAGCAAGTGAAACTGTTATTTTAATTTTATGGATTTGAATTATTGGTTTTGTATGGAGATGAAATTTTCTAATATTTCGAATTCAGATTGTTTTCTGATTATACAAATAGTTTGGATTATATCGGATTATATCGAGTTCTGAACCTTCCTGCACCATTCCGTCTTGTTGCTCTAGATTTTTAATGAATCAGTAGAAAATTACCTTGATTATTCGAATGTTGCTTAGTTATTCATTGAACTACACACACATACAGTGTTGCTTATTGTTTCGTAACCTTCAGTATTATTCATATATATTCCACTCTATTAACTCTCACCTACTACTAATAATAGCCATTAGTAAGAATGGATCTCAGTACAATGTTTTGTTTTATGAAAGATTCATGATGCTTGCAAAACGAATTCACGGATGTATAGATGCAAACACCAATGTAAATTCTTTCTCACAAGCAAATCATTTCATTAAATGATAAAGTTAGTTTTTACTCGGTTATTGGTCATTATTTGAAGAGTTTCATTGTTCATCGAATCATTTATTTATCATAAATCATTTTTTTCATAATTTAAATGAAATGGAAGATTGAAAAAGTAAATAAGTTTGTTTTTGTCTAGCTCGTTTATTTTTCTGATTTCAAACAAACCTCGTCAACATGATTTTCAATGTTAATTACGTTTTTGTTTTCATTGAGTAAAATTCTGTCTTATATTTTTTCTAGTTAGCATTGATTATGAAAAGTGAATCTATGCAAAAATGTATTGAACAATTAGAACTACAATATTTTTCATCAAATACACAAAATTATGCAACAGATACTGTCATAACTAAATTAGAAAGACTTATTAATTATACAAAAACATTTTCACTACCAAATCATATTGATCTAACTGAAATTGATGTTAATTCAAAACCGTCGTCATTTCCTCACTCATTGTTATATACACAACCAAATATGATTAAATTAGATTATTCAAAGCAAAATTATAGTCTAGACGTGTCTATTGATGATGATGATAATATTCCAGGGGAAGAATCACTTTATCACTTTAAATCCTTACATAATATCTCTAGTACAAGTTATCATTCAAAAAACTTGAATAAAATGTTAAAGTCTTTACCAACACCAGCGACTAATGTGTTTATAAATAATTCAGATAATTTTAAATATGCAACTGAAAATAACAACGATTCGTTTGATACTCCTCATCAACTTTATGAGGATGATATTATTTTGAATTCAAATATACAACGTGAAAATATATGTACCTGGCGTAAACAAACATACAATCGTCGTCATCACTGTCATCATGGTTGTTTAGATTCAACTTCTCTTTATGCTAGTGTGACAAATTTGATGAATGATGATCATTCTCAAATGTTTTGTTTAGCTGATAGAATAATTGAAGTAAGTGTTTTATAAAATAAAAACGTTTGGTTCAGCGAAGAGTTCTCCTTTCGGCTAATTCTTTTTCAAAACTGGACAATCGCAAATATATACCTATTTTTCAAGATGATAATAATTACAATGATAGTGATCATAAAATTATTTTAAATATTATCATCTTAAAAAATCGGTATATATTTAGGGTCATACAGCTTTGAAAATGAATTTGCCAGAAAGAGAACTCTTCTCTGAACCAATCTTTATTATTTTATATCTCAATGGATAAGTGTTTTATATTACTGATTTCATTTTTAGTAATTCATTTAATGTAATCTGTTAATCGGAATTTGTTGTTTTGTATTAAATTAAAAATCTTTAAGTAGTTGATTATGTTTTCGGTTGACTATAGTCTATTTACACCCAATGTTAAGTGCTTATATGAGCTACGAATACATAAATGAGTGATGCTTTGTTTGAGGAGGCATACCAAAACCCTAGATTATCTGCAGAGTAAATACTTTTATTTAGAAACTATATATGAAATAAATTAGAAATCTCAGCTCGTACGGTGTTTATAGTTTTTACTAAGCTCGTGTACAATCACAGAAAAGGGCTCCTTAAGATAAATATATAGGGAAATTCGTAACAACATACGATATGACATGTGACACCTGATAGCTGTGTCGAAATCAAAGTGATAGATAATGTCAAAACAAGAACGAAGAACATCAACATCATGGAACCTCTAGACCTCATGACAAATAGCAACCAGGTGTGATTATTTACTACTCTTAGTATCATAACGTGAAATTTAATAAGAAAATTGAAAACGAAGTGAAATGAAAATACAAAGCATCAATTTTTGGTTCATCTACTTCAAATTAGTGAGAAGAATCGGCGATGGTATAGATTTCTCTGCATAACTGTACCGATATGCTGTACACACCATCGATCTTTAGAGAGTCCAAGATGCGTGTTTTTAGATGATTCTGTTAAAAAACACCACATCATTCTAGTGACATTCCCTATGTACTCGTTTATACTTACTCGTACTAGCTATTCGTTACGTGTTGATACCTATTCCGTAACTACATTTTAATACATAATATTCTGGTTTCGTTTTTCTCGATTTTTGTCAAATGAGCCGTCGTTGTCTTTTCTTTGAAAATTTCCTCCATAATGCTTGGCGTGCAGTCCTTATCAATATATCTTGTAATCCTTAATGAGTTAGATAATCGATTATAAATAATCATTTTCAATCGATCATGCTTTTCCATATAATCACAATTAGGACTGAAAGAGTAGGAATTTCGTCAGTTCTCAGTTCATCTAAATGAAATTCATGTCTCAATTACTGGGTCGTTTGGTTGCAACTCGCCTATTTATAATAAACTTTAAGAATGCTGTCAAAATTGAGTCAACTTGGAACATAACTTGTTTGTGACCTTCTTGTTTTCGATATTTTCAGCACTGAATTGATCTGCCTTTGGAATTTCAATACTACAATTTTCTCTGACTTAAACTGTGTACCAACAGTATTTATAATTGAAAAAAAACGATGACTTTTTAGGGTCTATTTAAAACCCACATCTTTAATGTGATTTGATACCATAAACTTTGTAGTGAAAATCATTTTTTTCTTTTTACAGGTGGTATCAACAGATTAATCCGATGCTAAATTCACTATATTGGTCATCATTTAGCACCTACGAAAAAGCGATTTATCAACTAAGTATAAGTTTATGTAACCTAAATTGAGCCATTCCTTTTATGTGAAGTTCAACTATACTCTCGGGCTAGTCAAACTGAAGCCGGTGTAGTGATCAATCAAGAAGTACAGAGATGAGAACGTTAACCCTTACAATATACCTATTGAATACTGTTAAGTATTTACCTACCCTTTATCTGTGATCGCTTCTGTCTTCTTGCACTTCTTTTTCTCTAAATCTGAAACACTTTTCATAATTTTTTTTCTGTTTCAAAATATTCTTTTAGGCCATGCCCAGGCGCATTGTGAATCTTCATAATCAAAATTGTGACGATCTATCATCAAATCATATTGATTATGATAATAGTGATAATGGTGAAGAGTCCTATTCTTCTTCTATCCAATTTTCTGATTCAGCTTTAGGTGAAAGTATTGCTTTTAGTCGAGCACCAGTTGATCAACTCAAATCACATTCTTCATTGTTTCATTATGAACCATTCACTTTAACCACTAATACTAATTCTATTACTAATCCTATTCAGTTAATAAACAATGATAATACAAACAAATATCCAGTTAAAATCTTTCCAAATATAACAACAAAATCAGTTAGTATTAATCATAAAAATAGTAAATCAATTGGTTCATTTAATTCACTTCCATCGAAACGACCTTATCGTGATAAGTATTTGACATTATATAACAATTTTAGATATCGTGGTGTTGGCCTCGATGATTATCCAAAGAATAATATAAACCGTCAATTAAAAAGTACCTTACTTAGTTTTCATGAACTTTTGAGAAGAAGATCATATTTCACTCCTCCTATTCAACAAAATAAAAGTAAATTGAGAACTTTTAATGATGATGATGATGAATTGAATTTTCACGAAACGTAAGTGTAATTTTATGATTACAGTACTGGTTTTTTGTCAAGACATTATTCTTTATTGCTAGTCTACATAATACACTTATTTTAATTTGATAGCCATTGAAAATCAGATAGCTTCAGAATTAATGTAACTCATCACGAGTATGAATCCACTACTACGACAAGCATGACATCAGATTTTCTTTCTGAATTAAAGTTAAACCATTTGTTTCCGTTTATATCTTAAATTATATTTGAGTGTTTCAATTTGCACAAAATATCTTATGCAAAAAATAAATCCGAACTCTTTTTATAGAATTAATGTTTGTGGAATCCAGGACGCAGGTTTTATCTTGTTTGGGGTGCATCAAGTAAGATAAGATCAATAACCGGTTAATTCAAATTACTACAGATAAAATTAAATACCTACCCGTTGTACGATCTCGCAGCTCTCTGAACTCAGTAACTCAATGGATAACGCGTTGAGCTTTTGAAGCGAAATTTAGTAGGTTCTACTCTTAAGGTCTATACCAGTTCTCGGATGCAGATTCGTTCAGCTGACGAGTCCTAAATACGACAATTCCACTGCTAGCCATAATCGATTTACTCTGTAAAACTTGCGGCATAAGAGTCACATCGAGAGGGTCTGCATATATCAAGTCAAGACTAAGAATTCAGTCGAAAGTATCAACGACGAGGTAATGCACAGTATTACAAATTCAATTAATCAAAGTATAAGGATTAAATTGTCCTAATGATTTCACGGGTTGTACTTTGCCTTTCTCTGATCTAAACCATAGATACGAGAGTTATCACGATTTTTATGATTAATTTTAATTCAATAGTTGATTTTAAAATCGGTTGTTCTTAGCCGATGATGAGCAGCGTACGTTGATAAATTGAACTATATTAATAGTTTAATTACTAATTGATTTCAGCTTTACCACCACGGAAAACCTGAAATATTGATGGAGTTTTTTTTCTCTGAGCTGGATGGATTGATCGTGGAGCTGTGATCGTTCTTCTGAACGACATCATGAGCACAAACTTCAGGTAGGAGTCTTCCCCACCATTTTAAAAACCTGAAACCACTGGACATGTTTTGTCCTAGTATGAAACGCTTAATCAGAGCATGTCTAAAATCATGTCACAGAGAATCAAGCCTTGAACCTTTCGTCTTGCGTGCGAATTAATTATACTTTATTAGTTACTAAGATGTGGTTATCAAATATTCTGTAGTACTCTGCGTTTATATGCACTGTTAGCTTCCCCAAGAATTGAAAATAAAATTTTAGGACGTTCTAATTAGTTTTGAAATTTTCATACGTTCATTCCATCTCCATTTTCAAATAATTGTTTTAATGTCTTTATTATTTATAGTGGAGTTATAACATCGAATTCAATGTTCGATACATCTTTTAGTTCTACTAGTTTTGTGAGTTCAGATATAAATAATGAAAGTGATTATGATGTACTTCGATATGACCGTCAAGGGAAATCATTAAGTGCTTTCAGTTTAAATAGTCCACCACCGTCTACAGCACAAATTGCTGAACATTTTAATGCGGTACCGGGAAAATTTATGGAAACTGACTTAAGTAGATTAACTTTATCGGATATGGAACAGAAACGTTTATACGAAGCAGCCAAAATTATACAGAAGTATTATCGAGCTTATAAAAAACACAATCAGTCGGTCATTATTCAAAATAATAATGATAATAATAATAATAATCAATTGTCCAATACATGTATACCTAATCCTGTTTTATACTCTCCATCAATTCATGATCATACTACTCAAACAGATTTAAGTACTTTTGATAAATCCTTGTCCAATAATAATACATATTCAAAAAGTGTGTGTGATGTTAACAACGTGCATCAGATTGTACAACAAGTTCAACAGAATAACAATACTGTCATCTCTCCAACCGATAAACAAGAATGGAATAGTGATATATTATTTGGTTTCGAAATTGATACATCTGTGGGCCTTGAAGTTGAAGTAGAAACATCATACGATAATACAATAACCAATGATAATGGTAATTCATATCAAACTCAATTTACTCAGTCTGGTCAATTGTCTTTACCTGGAGAAACAAATTCCAACTGTTGTTTGAAAACAACAAATAACTTTTCCAATTGTGCCTCAACTTCAATACAATCATTGAATCCATCACAACCATCAATAACTTCATCCAGTGGGCCATGTAATAAGGAAATTGAGGCTGCAGTTATTATTCAAAGTTATTATAGACGTTATAAACAGGTACTTAGTATGTTTGTTGTTTGTTTTCTTACCATTGTAACCAGTATCTTATTGACTTATTTAATGTAAATTTTCAATGAAACAATTATTATTGAATATTTTTTGGGAATTATTACTTATGGATGCTGTAGCATGTTTGTGTCATCTTCAATTTCACGTCAGTTGATTTACAAAGAGAAATGACTTAACCTTATTTCACAATGTTCGTCAATTTTGCTTTAAAAATAATGTGACACAACAATTTTTCTTGTTTCTTGACTTTTTTGAACTCCTTTTGAAAAAAAATCACATTTATATGTGACAATTAAGTTACTTAGCTTGACTAACATTGAGATAAATTTTTCTTAATATCATGTGGCTGGAGGAAATTAGGAGAGTGCCCTCGATCTAAGTTTCGTGCTGATTGTTAGACATCAATAAGGTGTATCTACAATCTTCTGAAAACTGATCACTAGAAATTCAAACCAGTTCCACATAGCACCGCAGCAATTAGCTATTCGAATTACGACTGACCTGTAGAACTCTAAATCGGTAACTTACTGAATATTTAAGTTCATTGAAAATGGTTTCTGAATGCTCAGTGTCTACAAAGATTAATACGTGTTTGTATATATCATTAGTTGTAACATTCAATTCTTTTTCTTTATTTCATTAGTATGCATATTATAAACGATTATGTCAAGCTGCAGTTTTAATCCAAAATCAATATCGTTGGTACGTAAATCAAAAGAAGAATGGTAATAGCGGGGGAATTTCAGCTGGTCCTAAACTTAGAAAACCTAGGTCAAGTCAATGTAACAATCCACGATACAGGTTTGTTTTTAGTATCAATATTTAAGTGTCTTGTTTTATTTTTAGTTAATGCAGTCTTAGGTTTATTTTATGAAATCTAGCTGGTTGGAAGCGGTACGATTGTCATAACCAATGGGTAGATACTTTGAATAACGTGGCTCAGAATCGTTCGAAGTTGCACAAATGCACTCACTCTTCGACTTTCTTCAGTCTCCAAGTTTCCCTAAAACTTTAATTTCCTTAAAATTTTCTACTACTTCTAATACTACTACGTCTTGAAATAATTTATTCTCGCTGTGCTAACATGGTATGGCAACTCGGACTGTTGTGGACATAGATTCCAGGTTTTACATTGTGTATGCCTAACTAATTAACTGATGTAGCTCATCATCTAAACCTTTCTCATGGAGTCGAATGATATGGTTACTGACTCAGTGATCCAAAGGTTAAGCGTTCGCTACGAGACCTAGAAGTCTCAGGTTTTATGTCCTGTCGGTTCGTAGATGGGTACTACTTGAGAAGTCGCATATTAGGACCAAGCACCTGTCCACTCCTTCCTGGTTTGCAATGGTTGTTGAACTTGTGTCAGTTCGTGTTCTCAATTACATTCAAAAATCTGCGTAAACTTTTCTACTGATATTTATTTATTCTATGGAAAAACGATTCACAACAATTCACGAAATTTCAGAAATTCAGTCGCCTACTCATTGAAACATTGCAAATAGATTTTTATCTGTATTAGTATTATTACATACATATGGCAACGGTTTTTTCCTCTATGTAAACACACATCTACATCTACACATTGTGAATAATGTACATCGTTTTTTACTTCTAGGTCAGTATGTACACGAAAACCAAAGGTGAATAATAACACAGGTGGTGAAGTAAATATTGGGTAAGATTAGTTAACGCGATAGGTTCATCTCTTTTTGTGAGCATTTAGTTTTTTAGAATACTAAACAGTCCGTCTTTTTGCCTATATCATGCTCAATACCATTAAATATACTTTATGAACACCATTGAATGTCGATTGGGTGGTCTTGAAATTAAGTGTCTGCGCACGGGGCTGAGGGTTTTGGGTTTGATTCCCGCTCTCGATGTCGTGGGTGAGTACTGCTGCGGAGTCCCGTACTAAGACGAATCGGCCGTTCAGTGTTTCCTAGTTTTTAGTGTTGGCCTTATTTTTATCGGTTGATGATTTCAATGATACTGTATACAGTGCTTACTGTACATGGAAATAAAAAAACTTACTATCGGTAAGGGAAAATGTGATAAAAGCTAAGTTAGTTAGTGCCACTTAGATACGGAGGTGGTGGTCTTCAATATTAATTTTCTACATAGCTTCATTCAGTCTTACTCACTTCCGATTTTTTGGTAAGTAATTTTCTATTTAGTTTTATCACAGCATTACTCAAATCAAGGAAACTGTATAAATAATCAGCAAGTTATAATTTTTTTCGTTTCATTTTAGTCTTTGTGTTTATTCCACCTTCTAAGTCTATCCTCTACTTCCTTCACTTAATACCACCCATCTAGTGTTCGTCTCCGAAAACCTATTGTCTCAGTAAGTAATGATGGTTATTTACCAATGACTTAAAATAATTAGTAACAGTGATGTAGTATTGTATTATTATTGTAATTCCACTATCGTGTTTTCTTGATCATAATGTTGTCGATACTATATTTTGTTGTAAATTGTTGAAGTATGTTTGTTTTATTTTTGTTGTCAATCCTTTAGTGTTCAATGGTATCACGGTCATTGTAGTAAAAATGTTTGTGGTGTGATTTCATTCAACAAATTGATCGCATATGTTGAAAAAGATTACTGAAATAATCTGGGCCTAAGGTGAAACCCAGGAAACATATATTTTGATCTAAGTTGTTACATTGAAAGTGCTATTCTGAGCTAAAAAAATATCTCTCTACTAATCGCTTGTTTTTTGTAAAAAGTCACACTCCTTGGTATAATTGTCAAATTTAAAGCTGTCAGCGCTTTGAAATCACCGTTTGAATTCTTCCCCTAATATTCATGTCAGAATTGGTCAAAACTCTGAATGATTCATTTCTTTTCCTGTTGTTGGATAGTTCATGAAGAGTGATTGCGTTTAAGGATTAATTAATAGTATGTGCCATTCAATTTCGACTCTAAAGGTTTAGTGTTTTCTGTGAGATTTGGTTTTTCAATTTTTTTCTTCTCTCCATTCGACTTCAATTTATTATGAAAACTATCATATCTGTTGTCTATTCCGTTTATATATGTTTCTATCGTAAATTAGGTTTTACAGTAATACTGTTCATTAAATATTCCTTATTTTATTGCTTACTACTACTCTGTAGAATCCCGGACGCATAAGACATCTATCCGCTACCCGGTTATCTCCATTCAACAAAACTCCTTACATCCCTTTAATCAATTCTCATCATGTAAATCCACCTTCAAGGTTTATTTGTTTTGAAGAGCATCTAATTGAATCCTATGATAATCGTCAACAACGTTTTTTAAATAATTTGTCCTATTGTTTAAATGATAGTAAAATGCTTTGACTATAAATATGTTCTACTTAGCTCAATTTTCATGTTATCGTTATTGTGTGTTCGTTCATTCAATAGAGTTTTGTGCTTTAATTATTTAATTTTGATTCATTTTGATATACTTGTTATGCAATCAATGCAAAGATCATTTTTATTCATTTATTTACTTTTCCCCCTATTTTCAAACAATTTGCTCACAGGTGATAAAATTAATTTTTATTACTTTCGAAATAAAATCTTTGTCAGTGATAATAATAATAATAGAAATATAATATCATTATTTTAATTAGTTATGATAGCTATATTTTTGATTATGTTTCCCGCGTTTGTTTGTTTTTGTTTTACCAGCCGCTTTTTCAATTCAGTTTCTCCTTATCTTCAATTTACTTAATCGTATTCCGACTCTTTCGTTTCAGTATAACTTCTTTCTTTACTTTACTTCCATCGAATCGTGATCTCTAGACAGTTTTACTCATTGTTTGTGTTGTCAGTTTTATTATTCTCTCACTTTTGTGTCTAATATTTTCATCTTGATGGGCGCATGAATCGACACACACACTTGCGCCTGTTACCCCTTGTAGAGAAGTAAGGCCGCCCACCAGCATTCTTCATGGAACTTTGTTCTGAACATACACACACAGCAACAATAGCATCATTACCGACACTAAGCTTTATCTTTTTGCTTTCGGGTTATTTTGTTTATATTTATATTCTTAGTATTTCCTTAACTACAATTGTAATTTAGTCTTTCCTCTAAAAAAGATTCATTTTCCTTACTCATTAATTGATAATTGATTACACTCACGCACAAGTGACAAAAACTACTGTTTTTGAGAAAAATTATCTACTCACAGCTGTCAACTTCCTATTTATCTCTGTTATTATTAAAATTATTGCTTTTTGCTAATTTACTTGAACAGATGAAGCAATCCAGATGGAAAAACGATGACCATAATATTTATTTATTATTGAATGCATCAATGTTTTCTTTCCTGTTTCCTTCTAATTGACACACTGGTTTGTATGATTTAGGATTCTATTTGTATGACACCAACAGTTGTTGTCAGCATAATAAACGTTATGAATATGTTTTGCATAGAAATGATATGATCAGTCAGTCAGTCATATACAACGCACGACCAGGGACATATATGCGTCGGTCCAAGTTGTAATACCTCATTAGCACAACAAGACGAACACCAAAATACATAGAAGTAGTTACTTCAACGGTAGTAATATATAGAAAAAAGATTGAATATAATGAGAAGGAATTAATGACCCAAACATCTTAGTCGATGAAGATCCACAACCTCATCAACTGTTTCATCATCAATTCTTAATATCTTGCGTCTAACTCCACTATTGCTTACCCTGTGATCCAAGCAAATACGAGCAATATTTCTAAGACATTTATGGTCGAATGCTAGTAACTTACGAGTATCCTCTACCCTTATTGGACACGTTTCGCAGACTTAAAGTAGAACAGAGCGAACTGCTGCACAGTATATACTTTAATTGATAGACGGATATTTCCAGTTCGCCATAGGTGACGTAAGTTGGCAAAAGCCAAAAGAGCTTTTTGAATCCGTGCAGAATTTTCCTCAACCCATTATGGTTGATCAGACTTCCAAGATAAGTGAAGTTGTCGATACGTTCGATTACTACACGCTCTATCCTCAGTTCAGCTGTTGATGCAGGCTAGTCTTGATGCAACAGTTTGCATTTAGAGGGGAGAAACGCATCCCAAACATCCTTGCATTGTTACTCAGTGCTACGAAAAGACTGCATTTCGTCAGCGTCTTCATCAAACAGGACTATATCATCTGCGTATGCTAAATCAATAAGTGAACCTCTTAGTAAGAGATCAATTCCTGGAGATTCAGTCGACGAGATCGTTTTTACTAGCGGTAGGTCTTCGGTGAAACTGAACAAAAATGGAGATGGTGGACAGTCTTGCCGGACACTACTTGAGGGTGTAAAATTAGATGACATTTCTCCATAAGCTCTGACTCGACTGGTAGTGTTCGAGTAAGAAAACCTTCAAAATGTTTGTACCACTGAGGTTCACCTTTCAATGACAGACACTGCCAAAGAACCTCTCGGTCTACAGAGTCAAATGCTGCCTTTAAGTCAAGGAAAACTATCATTGTCTGACGCTGATAATCATGTCTATGTTGATAAATATTCAGGCTAGTATTTTAGATGCTATGTTAGTCACACTATTCCCTCTATGATTATCACAGGATGGTTTTGACCCCCTTCTTATATGTTATGACAATCAGTGATTGTGAACAGTCAAATGGGATTACATGTAGTTTCTAGATTTCAGTTAAAATATTAGTCAACTTAATCGCTAAAACTGGACCACCATACTTAAAAACCTCTGGAGTCAATCCATCTGGAATAGCTGCTCTTCCTCGTTTCAGATTAGCCATAGCCTTTTGAACTTCAGCTAGAATAGGGGGACCTACTTCAATGTTTCATTCAGACTGTCTGGGAGCAGTGAGTTACTGTAGAGTAGTTTATGGCCAGCTAAACTGTCCTCTAAAGTGTTCTGCACATCGTTCTAAACGTCTGGGCTGAGAGCAGATAAGACTTTCGTCTTTTTCCGAGATTGCCGCGCCTACATTTGACTTCTTAATTGCGGTTTCTCTTATTAGTCTGAAAAATAGTCTTGTGTTACCTACAGCCACTGCCTTTTCCATCTCTCTTACTTTCGCGGTAAAAATCCATTGGTTTTCATGACTTTTTGGTTCAAATCACTAATAGATGTCGCTACTGCTCCCACAGCTTTCCAAGCAACATACGGGTCAGTCCTGTTTTCGAAATCGCATAAGTGTGATTTCAGTTATTCCTGGAATTTACTTTTGGCTTTTTCGTCCCTGAGTTCAACTCTAATGGGTCTTTCTAAGTTGGTTTTTCTGCGTTCATTGAGGCGCAAGGAAATGCGCTCGTATTAGAGCATGATCAAAGTCTAAAAGTTTATTTCAGAATCAGCGGCAGTCTTCTACCGAGCCTCTCCAATGATGACTAATGGCAATATGGTCTATTAGAGTCCATCGTCGGTTTGATGCAAGGGGTCAGAATGTTGGACGATGTCTATCCTTATGCTTAAGGTTAGTGCTTGTCAGAAATATACCATTGTCTGAACACAGTTGCAGCAGACGATCCTCATTATCTGTTCATTGAGCCGAAATACCAAAATACTAATCTAAATGTTTTTCTGCTTGGTGTAAGCTACTTGGGCATGAAAGTCACCCTCCACGAGTACAATTTCTGGGCGTTAAGCTTTCTGCAAAATTCATCTTTCACTTCATCCGGGCAGCAGGAGCGTGGGCAGAAGTGAAGAAAAGGCGACGATGTGTGTCTCTATCCTTTCATGTTCTTCGTTTAGCCGAACAGCAAATAGGCGACTGTTAACGGGGATCTATTCTATTAGTGCTTGTTTTGCCCTCGTACCTAGTGCAATGCCTTCACCTGCCAGTCCACAAAAACCAGCTATAGGGTGTATCTCGTAGGCTCCCTGTTTTTGGCTAGGTGAGGTTAAGTGAATGACCACGTTAGAATCTTGTATGCGCGTTTCGGAGACACAACATACATTAACGGTATGATGTTCCAGAGAATGCAGCTCCGCTGTTATGCTAGTTGTGAGGGAAACAAGTTACTGCCGTCACCTCTGTACAGTCAGCGGTACGACTTCGCTCTCGGACCTTCAGTTTGTTGCTTTTAGTCTTGCCGTTCTTCAACCGATCTACCTGGCATGGTAGGATCTTGAGGAACGATTGTTCCAGACAGCATAGCACGATAGGCAAGCCGGACCATCACATCAAGGTAGAAGCAGCGGTCGGAAAAATGATATGATATCATGTGTAGTCGTTCTTTTTCACAGATAATAGTATCGAATTGTATGTAGTAGTGTTCAAGCTGTTATAGAGAAGTCAATAAACCAATGAAAAGACGAGGAAACCAGAGCGAATAAGTGCAAAGTGATGTGAATTCATTGTTCATCATTACTATCAACCCTGAGGTGGTCCTTTCTGAATGCTCATCATGATTAGTTTCATAAACAATTAATCATCTAAAAAATATTTATTAACAAATTCTCTTAGGAGTTAGCGGGGTGAAGTTCTATAATAACATCATGGAGATGTCATACGTGATTACAAACTTCAGGACCACTATCGTTTTCCTCAATACTGCAGATACACTTTACTGACGAGTATCAACAAGAACAAGTCCTCGATGCATTGCTTCCTACTACCAATTACCTTCCATTGACTGACATGAAATCTATAACCTGGTTAAAATTAAAACAATATTATATAGATAAGAATAAATAAGTATCCATATTTGTTCAAGACAAAATAAAACAATTCATCGTTATGATTTGTCAATACACAGCAAATAAAGGGATGAACATCATATTATATAATGCACTATGACAAATAATAACGTGTAATGTTTTCACGTAAGTTTTTAACATTCAGTGAAAGAAGACAGAATCGATACTGAATAAATATCATCAGTATACATTAATGTAAAAAATAATAATAAGTAAACGAAAAGCCAAGATGCAAACTTCTTTTAACAACAACAATAATAACAACACCGACAATAAAAGCAACAACAATCTAGATAATTATCACAATAAGAAAAATTACTATACATACAGCCAGTCCAATGTTTACATAAAGAATTTCGAAATACATAAAGTTCACAAGATACTGTGGTGTATTTTGTTTTCTTTTAGCGAAAGACAATGAAAAAAAAACACATAGTATACACAATTTTTGTGTAGGGAAGAGCACATATATTTGTGGGCATCATCAGATGTGAAATAATCCATTAAATTGAAATAAATGTATCAGAAAGATATATATTTCTTCTCCATTACATTTACCTAAAATTTGATAAGTGATATTATTACTCATCAATTAAAGTCATACTGAGATAATGAATGAGGTGATGCAAATCAACATTAACAAACATTCAACCTAATTCAATTAATATAAATTCGTTGCTTTCAATTCTCTTATTCAATAATGATTGTAGACAAATTCACTGAAAATGACAGAAGAAATGTTAAAAGAAGGGAAAATAAAGCAAAAAATATCTAAAAAGGAATATGTGAAATTATAAAGATAAAAGAGACGGCAATATAATTTAACCGGATAAAATGCATCAATAATAAGAATCATTATTACGGAAAGTTTAACAATTATCTATCTATGATAGATGAAGCAACAAAGCTAGAAGAACATCAACTAAATAAAACAAACTAAAAATAAAATAATCATCAATTGAGATTATAAATATAAATAAAAAATTATAGACAATGATTATAATGAAGATAGGTAATGATTAGTTTAAATTATTCAAGTATAATTACTGAAATCTATTTTCAATTTAATCGATGGTAAATTGGTTTGATATTGTTTTATTATTTTTTGATTGTTATGAATGAATGAGATACCATTATTTAATTGATATTTTGAGTGATTGTAGTCATGGTTACTATTATTATTATTATTATTAATTAATGGAGTAGTAAATTTAATTGCATTTTCTAAACGTAATTTAAACTCATTAAGTATTTGAAAAGTTGAACGAAATTCATTTGGAAAATATGGAGCTATTATGATTATATGTTTTAATGTAATAATATGTATGAAATAAATTAAATCTAATAAATTTGTTATAGTAATGAAATTATTTTTATAATTTGACCGGTTTATTATAATAGATGATTCATTTGTAAGTAGATTACATAATAATGGTAAATAAATTAATAATAATGCTTGACGATTTGAACTATCTACGATACGAATTAATGAAGTAAGTAAATCAAATGCACCATTTAAACATAGAACTAGTTCATTTAAATTAATTTGAATATTGAATAAATCAGATGATGTATTTAACTTTTGTTGTTTAGATGAATACGTTTCAACAATATTAGTTAGATCATATAACCAATGAAATACCTGAAACATAGAATATTTATTGAGTCATTAAAAAAAACAATTCATCACGAGACCGTAATTCACTACATATATATATTGACCAAGGGTATGATATTTGAACGCTTGATAATGAGTCCCTAACTGCTTATTAGTCATCCCCTGAACAGTTAAGAGAAGACAGGAAGTATAGAAAGAAGCATAACTTCAAAGTGGATTTATGTACATAAAACAAGGCGGGTTTGGCACTATAGAGGCTTCTGGAAACACTAAATCTATTAACAAACTACATAGTTATTCAATCTGAAACTGACACATGACCTAAGGTATTGATCTATGACTGTATCTAAGAGTAGGGGATATATTAAACTTTCAGATTCTTGATAATAGGTATCTTGGATGAATTGTTCCCGTTTCGTGAAACGATCAACACAGCAATATTGAAGTAAAGCAAAGGGTACTACATAAAGGTGAGAATTCGGTTGATTGGGTTAAAAAATATTTATTGATCGAGGTAGTTGGGCAATGTGATATGCATACCTACCTTGACATGGGATGTTAGCTGGTGGTAGAAGCAAGCTGGATGAAAGATTGGGGTAGTGAAACCAACACACAGCATCACTTTACGAAATTGTTGATTGTTAGTCTGAGCCAGGTTGGTAGATGCAAACAACCTGGTTGGAGTCCGCCGAATGATGGTGATCAGTGGATGAAAACGTTTGTTAATATAGCTCAACATCATTCAGTGGCATAAGCGGATTACTTCTTTGTCTTCCTTTAGAGCTCCAGTTTTAGTATCCCTCCATAGATTTATGTGTTTTGTTTTTTTGGAACCGTATTCACATTTAAAACCTTAATTTACCTAGATTATTTAGATCACTTTTAAATTTCAAAAGCTATGACTTTTCTTTGCTAGCTAAAGTAATTTAGTGGGGTTTTTTTTCAAAAAAAAACTATTAGTATTCTGATGTGAGACCCAACACAGTAAATCCTCCCAATAACAGAACGATGTTATTTCCTGAGATCATCATCAAAAGAGGAATTTTTATTACCATTTCCTCTGCTTTTCTGTATTACTTTCACACTGTTGTGAAAGATGTTAGTTTAAGAGCAAAATACAAGTTTCTTGCAAAGATAACCACATTCACCAAACCTAGGTAGTGACGTACTTAGATGGAATTATGAGATATAGTCGAAATTCAAAGACAAAACATAAGAAAATATGAAATATGTTAAGGTAAATAATCAAACAATTACAGCAACTGAGTTTTTAGAATCTTATCAACTTGAAATTTCGTAATACGAAATTAAAATAAGTCAATAAATAGGCATTACATGGAAGTAATTATTTTGACAACTTTCAGAGTAGTCATATTATGCAAACTACTTTTAACTACTGTTAGGCCAACAGTAGTATACTGTAAACATCACAAATGTTCAACTGCTTATTAAAAGGCGAAAGAACTCAGAGAAAAATACTGGCTTACTTGAGGAGTTAATGTTTTGATAAACAATGATCGAATTGAAGGTTCATGATGATTGCATAATAATTCAAATGATCTTAGGCATATAATTCGATTTCGCAAAAGTTTCGATTCGAATAATTTAGAAAAATTCATTAACGGATTTTCCAATGAATTATCATCTTTATTCGTAACACCATTTGATTGATTGTCAGAAATCGAAGATAAATGCCATCCACGGCAAAGCAGTTGTGAAAGCTCACTGACTAATTCTTCTGACTTAAAAATTTGAATAGGACATTTGGCACATATACGGCTGACTATATACGCTGATGCTAGACAGCATTTAGGTAGTGAGGAATTATCAGCCTGTATAGACAAAAAAATAAGGATACTGCTTCAAAAAATAATATATAAAAAATATTTAACTAAAAGAAATCCACTCATCAGTTCGAAATAATAACGAACATTTTATAAATTGTTGAATATAATTGTGTACAAATACAAGATGGAGTTCTAATTCAAATAGTCTAAAATACATTTATCATACACATGAAAGTCGTTAGAGTAAACTTGAATATACACATACAAACACTAAACTTCGTTTAATTCTGAAGTTAAATTTAGTTGTGCATTAATAATATATATAGGACAGTTGGAGTTTAAAATATACAGATGTGACTGATTCAATCGATAACATTACATATCATTCCGGTTCCTATAAATGGCAACATCATATTACTGACTAACTAAAGTTAGAAATGCAAATCAGTGAAGTGTGCTTTCCTAGAATAAAATTACCACCAACATTTGGTTCGATTGCCTAAGAGGCCATGTATGTTTAGATCTGAGGAGTCTCAGACGAGAATGGAACAGCTATTAACTGCTTTATAGATTTTTAAAGGCTCTCTAGATTCTTTCCGTCAGTGATGAAAATTATCTTCAAAAAAACATTCAAAACTGCTGTATATTACTTAATCATTACTGTAATGATAATAATAGCATGTGTTGAAAGAAATGAGTTGCACAATGACGTATACCATGGGAGAAAGAATAATTTAACAAAAAAATAGAAAAAGAAAATAGTAATCAATCAACTGATCGAGCAAACGGTCATCATATACACGATGTAGAAATAAGAGACATAACCTTGGAAACAATAGATCTGAATAAATCGCTAGTTTTCTGCATTTGTTACTGAATAAATGAATGAATGAATCAATTTTATTTCATCTCTTCATGCAGCACTGATTCAACGTAAATTCTCACATAATAGTACAGATGAGAATATACATATGCCACAAATGGTGAAAAATTGGTAAATGAATATTGGGGAAAAATAAGTGAAAATAAAACAATTCAACTTTTAGAGAGCTAACAATATTTCATCTCATCGTGCGCATAGCAACAGTATAGATATATATCTTAAAGCCACAATAAATCATCAGTCTACACACATAAATTTGTATAGCCAGTACTATGTATTACAAAGACCTATGAATCAGATAAGCATCATATGTTGAATAGATAAACATAAATTTCTGTATGTACATACGTAAGCACTAGTTTATGTGAAGAATTTAAGGCAATGTTACATAAACGGAGTTTCTTTTTTCAAGGAAATTACGGGGTGAATTGATAATTAAAATTTAGCACGCCTACAAAAAAATCTCATGATTTGAAGGTAACGTACGACATAATTAAGGATTTGTTCATCAGATAACCCTCAAGTTTCGCACTGAACTACATTCTATACAAAAATTATCAACTGATTATGTGTTGATCAATTAAGATTAAACAACAATGTGAATATGAGGTAATAAAGAATATTTTGAAAAACATTTACAGGGATTGATTGTTTGGTGAGACATCTGTTATATTTTATCGAAAGAAATAGCGTTGCACTAAACTTACCCTTGTTTCATTATCGTGTTCATGACGTAGAATTGACAATAGACTAATTGAAATTAAATGATACCATTCATTGAACGCATTTAACACTGTATTCTCATTTGTATTATCCATAGTTGAAGATTCGCTGACATTAGAATTAAGTGAATTATTACATTGTTCTCTTACATTAGAAATACTACTACTATCCGGTTGAATTTCAGTTGTTTGTGATAAATTTACCGAATATTTATTTACATTTAAATCCTGATCAGATGAATTGGCTGATAAAGCAGGATAATGATGTACAGCCAATTTATTCAATAATGTAATATAAACTTCAGCTAATTCAGCTGATTGTTCAGTCCAACCAATTAACTGATTAATAAAACGAGATTGTTGATAATTTTGTTGACATGATTTCACTGATGTTAATAAATTATTAACAGAGCATACAGATAAATTAGTTGTCGTTGATGAGATTTCTGTTTCATCTTCACCAATTAAATATGAAGTGAATAAATTCGATGACTGACATGTTAGATCACATGGCTTTAATATGGACAGATTATTATTATTATTAAAACTGCCGTTTTTATTATTAGCAAAATTATTTTTCACATTTGAACATTGAACTGGTTTTATTAATATACTCTATAAAACAATCAATAATTTAAAGAAAAAAATATAATCTTATAGTCATAAGAATAACCATTTTAGAAACTTATAGAAGAAAATTTGGTAATGGATAATATAATAACATTATTGCAAAGATTAAACAGATTTCACATATTCAATGACCCCGTTTATGTCTTAGACAGATTACTCTACTTGTAAACTGCAAAAACAACAACATATAAACTCATCATTACAGATATGGATTATGCGTCTTCTCAAATCCTTATAAGGACCCAAATCGAGTCTCTACATTGTTTCGGGTTAGGGTTAAGATTAGGGGTATAGGACTAGAGATAGGTTTTCCATCACGATATACGACATCAGTTGTAATGCAAAACTGCTCTGCAACCACGGGTGAACGAATTTCGCTCTAAAGTACAAGGGTTGTTATCTGATTAGTTCATTCATAAAATGTAATACAGCCTAGCTAAGTTTTGTTCAAGATTAGGATATAAAAATCATATTAATTTTCCTGTTATATATAGTCTAAAATACCACATTTGACACTATCATTTTTACTCGTTGGTTGCAAAAAATGATTTCCCACTATCGTTTTAAACGTTTTGAGTAGTATATAAATGTATTTCTACTCTTTGCTTAACATTATTTTTGAATTTAGCACAAAAACCCAAAAGTCGTGTTATCTATTCTGATCGGTTCTTCTTCATAATACATTTTAGCGAAACCATATTTTTGAACAAAGTCGAGAAGCTTTAGGGAAAAAGCATGTTAGCAATGTGTAACATATAATTACAACTAATCAATTTAGTCAATAAAAAGATGACAAACTGACATAATACCTGTGAGAATGATGAGCTCACTTCTAGATGAAGTAAGCTTAGATGACATTGTTTAAAGTGACAATGAAAGTTCCTTCAATCAAATTAACTAGCTTAGAAAAAACAACACTATCCTACTTGTAAGCTGCTGCTTGGCGCACAAACTATTATTTTATGTTTTACCTACTCTAAGTTACCGTTTATTGATTGTAAAACTATTACTTAGTTCTTTTTCACATATGTTGTAGCTGTGCATATATTATAATTTCTTATTTATGTTGATGTGCGGTTCGGACACTAATCTATATTATCACACTAATCTGAGTTGTAAATTGAACTAGATAGAAAAAAAATCTACCTGCTGTGTTATTGTCCTATTCTAGCTATCGGCACGTGAGTGTGAGGAAACTGCATCCCGAAAAGAAGAGATAAGGATTATCAACTGAATGTTGATCTTGCCATTCGAAGAGTATTAATGGTCAAAGCTGAGGGCTTTAAGATCAAAACAAAGTAGTATAAGTAAGGTAGATAAATAATACGGAACCCTTATTGATGAATTAAATTAGTGATTTTGACTGTCATGATTCATTTTCACTACAGCTATATTTCAGTCAATCCTTCAATAGAATATAAGTAATTTTCAAGCATCCAACACGACAAATATGAAGAAACTAAAAACTAGTACATCACGGTTACAATGATATTAATGCATAACTTTTTTCCCAAGAATAGTTAATCGATCTACTTCTCATTAATGACTCTTGAAGTAATGCAAAGAAATTCATGCACGTGGTGAGGTTTGAACTAATACCATTCAATTTTACAGACAGAGACATTTTCAATGACCTATTCGATTTACATCTGACCGTCTGTATGACTAAAAAATTTACACTAATCAGTTACTTTTGAACAGTAGATCAACTTAATTTATGACAAAAGATTCGGAGGTCTACTAATCCTTTGACTGGTTGGATAAGTTAGTCGACCAACGATACACCTCATCATTAATCTTATTAACGTAAATTATTATCGCACATGAAGTTTTATTTTAAAAATTTCATGAATATATTTAAATGGGATTTATTTCTAAAAGAAAAAAAGATACACAACTAACCTTTACTATTTCTTTAGATAAATCTAGTAGAATTGGCAATAAGCATTCTTGTTGGTGCATTGATGCTTGAGACGTATTTGATTGATTAATCTCATTCTCAACACTAATATTACTAATCACAAAATCATTTGATTGATTCTGTTTGGCAAGTCTTAATGTGCTTAAAAGGGTTCTTGGGGCGCACAGATCAACTAATGGAATTAAACACTTCAAAGCCGTAGCTAAAACAAGCGGAGCATTCACGTCGGAGGCGCATGTAGTCTCTGGAATGATATGATCTTTAAATAAGAAATAACAAGAAAATATATACATAAATGATGTACTATTTTCACATCAATAATATGTAATCATAGAAGAGAGGAGTTATAATAGGATTTGATTCAGTTATTGTAAGCTGTAACACTTTACAAATACCTAAGTGTATAATAATCAGAAGTTACAAAACTAAAACCGCTTATAATACTTATTTACTAAGACAATGATAGAAGTTTAAAGAGTTACATCGTAAGACACATATATCGACCTGTGACCTAAACAGTAAAGGTTCAGGGCTTTATCAATAGAACTGTAACGGGACAAAGACATGAATTGTGTTCAAATTTCACTTCAATTATTAATCAGTTCACAAGATTTTCTCCCAGATCTAACTAACACATCGTAGTACATTGGTTTATTTGTACCAAAATGAAAAGCATGCATCAAATCTTATCGTGAAGAAAAATAAAAAATATTCATGGAAGTTTATGTGAAAACATTGCAAAAGCAAAAACTGCTAGAGGGTAAAATGATACGTTTTCCTAAGAGCGCTACTCTGAATAAGACTAGCACATTGATTAATAGGACAGTGTACACAAGACCAATGCAGTTGCATAGTTTAAATTTCTTGTTTGAAAGAAATGAAGTTAAATGAAAATTCATGTTTCAACCTACTGTATTTAATAAATCGTTTAGAAGAACAAAGGAGTAGATATGTACTCGATGTGATAAGTATTTATTAAACAGTATAAATAAGTAATACATCGGATTGAAGGTGATCTAGTAAGAAAATCCATAACAGTCAACATACAGTAGACTATATATATTCCAATATACTAAATCCAACGTTAAAGAAGAGAGCGATCGTTAACTGAGTATTTATGCTACTTTTCTTTGTACAAAAATAATCACGGACAATGTAAGTAATTCCATGCAATATGAAATTCAACACAGTAGTTGAATGACATCGATACTCACTCTCATCATGTTAACTGGTTTTGATAGTTCCGTAAGGTGTGTGTACAATGCTAAAAATTTCAAACTAGGAGGAATTAGCTGATATTCAATAATTCAAACTAACTCTCAAATATGTCTGCGTGAATATCGATACCGAGATGAAGTTACATCCAGGTGACGAGTCCAAGATCGGACAAAAAGCGCGTCTTAGATTCCACCATTAGCTACGCTTTAGCTGGAAAAATAACTGTCAATACATTTTCAATTGATGAAAAAATAACTAAATTGTAAGCTTTAAAAAACGACACGATAACACAACTTACTTTTATACTCAAAATCATCTTTAGTATTGGAGAGAGGGAATTTTTTAACAATTTGTGATTGATAGCGTACCACTATACAGACAACAATTTCTAAGCACGTAAATACAATTGATCGTTCTGGATGTAAACCAGCAAATGTTTTTTCTCCATATTTACCATTATTCAATTGACTGTTGATCGATGTTTTATTAAATTCATCATAATCCATGTCAGATTTATTTGAGATACGATCAAAAAATTTTGACAAATAACCTCCATCGCCATGTTCATATAACTGAGCGTCAATTAAACCAGTAGTTTGTAACATTGTACTTGATGTCATACAATTATTTTTTGAATTTTGTGACTCTGGTGAAATAAACATACTTGAAGCATTCTGTGTTGATTCTTTAGGAGATAAAAAGCAAGAATTAATAATTAATTAAGATACCTTGGTGAAGTATTTTTTTTATTCAAAATTCATACTAGAACCGATGTATATTTGATAAAAATCCAAAACGAAGTAATGTTTTGAAATGATGTAAAGGATTTACACAACTTAGGGGAATGCTATTGGTGGCATTGTGTTCTTTGAGCTAGATTAATCAATTGCGGAGCGTTCAGCGTCATTCATGGAGTGAGAGTATATGTTTTTGTTTACAATTACTATGAATGCTCGTCATTCAAATCTCACAACTCAGAGAACACAATCTAATCGAATTAGAAAAATATCACCTACTTCATTTCAAGATCAACCAATTATTGATAATGTAGGTAAATGGTTTGAACACTAATCAGCTTAGATGTAAGAGGACGTAAACTGATAATACATATACTGGATACTCTTTCTTATTAACACCAAACAAGAAAATAAATATCAATGTTCACTTAAGAGTTTATCATGAGAAGGCAAGTGAAAAATTATAAGACAATAGCTTAAATATTTAACAAGCCATAATCTCCTTCAATCTCAACAGACTTATAGAAAGTAATACCATGCTGAACAATCTTACATACAGAAGACCCCGTAGTTTATAAACAAAGTCAAATACATATAAATTATAAGAGACAAAAGAATTGTTTTGAAATCATACTGTTTTACTCAGGCGTATAAGAGCATAATATAGGGACTAGCAAATCAGAATCGAGAAGGCGATTTTCAACTTTCAGAAAAAAGATCAAAAATATCGTCAATTGAGCAGTAAAAATACCTTCGTATACTGCTCAAAGCGTTTAAAATTAAAACAAAACAATAGCTTCTTGCCATCGTACAGTAAAACTGATAGTATCAAACGTATCGAAAGCCCAGTTCTTTTAATACAGACAAATCGATACTACCTCTAAATCCCTGATCTGGAAAGAAATATTAACTTGGTAATACTTGATCTCATGAACAAACTAATCAGATAAAAACCCTTGTACTTTAAAGCAAAATTCGTTCACACGTATGGCTGCAGAGAAGTTTTGCATTACAACTGATGTCGTATATCGTGATGGAAAACCTATCTCTAGTCCTATACCCCTAATCTTAACCCTAACCCGAAACAATGTAGAGATTCGATTTGGGTCCTTATAAGGATTTGAGAAGACGCATAATCCATATCTGTAATGATGAGTTTACATGTTGTTGTTTTTGCAGTTTACAAGTAGAGTAATCTGTCTAAGACATAAACAGGGTCACTGAATATGTGAAATCTGTTTAATGTTTGCAATAATGTTATTTTTTTGCATCTACAATACATTTACGAAAGCGATTTTTAGATTGACTAAGAAGTAACTGCAAATTCGTAGAGGTTGTTTTATGCTCGTCCCTGTACTATGCTACTATTGCGTCGCGGTGTTGTCGATGACAATTAATAAAAACAAATCACGAGACTTTAACGAATGAATCTCTTTCCGCAGTAGTTTAGCTTTTCCCATACTTTGTCAAGATTTCGTTGAAGTGATTATTTTATTGTACTTACACTGACAAAATGTGTAAATATTAGAGAAACAGTTAGGGTATACATAGTTGAAATTTTTACCAGTTGTAACTAATCATCCTCCAGATTACAACATGAACATTATATTGAACAATACTACACTTTCGCTTGATATACTTGTGGTATACTCTAACAGGATAATATTCGTATGTAATATTCATAGCTTATCAGAAGATTTTTTCAACAACATTACATTAAACAGTTATACATTAAATCAAGGACATCAACTATAATGAATAGGTATAAGCAAACTAATAAAGAGGTAAGTTTTTAGTCCCACATGAAGAAACTAAGCCATTGAATTGTTAAGAGCCCCACATTTACTTGACACCGGGCATACTGTTGACATTCCTCAAACTTTTAAAATTTTTAGCAGACAAGGAAATACTGCTTCTCTTCGGTTTGATGAAGCGATTGCGATAAAAAAAAACTCAAATCTGATCTATGCATTCAAAACCTATTACTACCCTGTTAATTCAATTTTTTGGTAATTAGTTTTATTTTGTTAATGTCTAGTTTATTAATTATTAGAAGGGGTTTTGTGGAGATTTGGTGTGTTTCATAGTTGAAAGCATGAGTCAATTGAAGCTAGACCACCGTGGAAAACCTGGAAACACTGGAAGGCCGTTTCGTCCTATTATGGGACTCCTCAGCAGTGCGCATCAACGAACCCGCTCTCGCGAGATTCGAGTCCCATAATAGGATGAAACGGCCGTCCAGTGTTTCCAGGTTTTCCATGGTGGTCTAGCTTCAATTGACTCATGCTTTCAACTATGAATGTTTAGTTTGTTATATTCCTCTTTCATTACCGAATTCTTATTTTATGTAAATTTAAACCACCCCGTCACTCATGCATTTCTACCCACTCAATTCTGTTAAATGATGTGAACTCATCAAATCTTGTTTAATTATTACGTAACGCGTCATACCAGTTTATTTAATTCCAGAAATCTTGTGCAAATCTATCATGACCTCTAAAATTATCACACAATTTATCCTGTCTATGAACTTCACGCAATTATTATGTCGCCCACCCCCTCATGTCTTCTGATTTCAATACCAAATGACCTCTTACCTATTCTTGCACACATATATATAGTTATTATTGATAACCTTTGTCATTCCAATTCTTTACATTCACTTACGTCAATTGTTTCATACTATATCATCTTACCTCAACGGTAAATTTTCATACATATTTGGTTGCAAGCAGCTGATAAGAAACCATGAAATATAACGAATTCATATTATTTTGCATTCAAGTTCGTTCTGGCTTTATATACAATCTAATAGTCTATATATATATATATATATATATATATATATATATATATATATATATATATATATATACGCTGATACTGTACGTAATCAACTTCCGTCAATACCGTTCATTATCTGTAAGGTCTCATTCACCATTTAATCTTAAGCACAGCTACTTGTTATGTTTAAATAACCTCAATCTACCGCCTATATAATACCAACTGTTTATCACAATTGATTGATCACTGGGTGGTGATTAATGTCATGCATGTCAAGTCCTTCTTAGTGCTGATCGAATGCTATCGATCAGGTTGCAATGTGGCCACCAGTCTAGGTGGCTCGACAACACCTTGACCACCTCTAACCACCACCTCACCAACTGTTTATAAAACGATTCAATGAAATTATTCATAAAATTATTGTAAAGAAAAAAGTTTTAATAAAATAATATCGTTATTATTCTTTCATTTTAACATTACCTTTAGTTAACCAATTATCACGTTCTTTAATTAAACGTTCATTACTAGCAATCATGATGTGAATTACATTGGCTAAGCATAATAAATGTGTTTCTACACAATCGCGAGTTAGTATAAGTCTAAAAAGAAAAGAAAAGAAATACAAGATATTTTCAAGGTAAATATACTAGAAATATTTATAAAGAGGAATGAATAGACCAAACATTTGCTTATAATATAGCAATTGTATATATTGTTAAAGTATATTTTTTAAAATTGCTATTGTCTACAGAATTCTACAAATCTTGATATATCAAGACCATTGGATTTGTGTGTTTGTATGAACTCGAGATATAATTAACTAAGATGTAATATTGTGATACTATTCATTTTAATAAATTAAAAGCATATACATTTAATATGTATACACATACACATATATATCAAATGTATTCTTGAACACTGCATTAGTAAGATAAGCATGAGTTTAAGGGCCTATATAATAAAGCAAATGTTAGTTTGTATAACCAAACAAAAAACAAGTAGTATGTAGGCTATCACGAAACATACAATTTAAGTGGATGAAAAAATCTTGAAGAAGGAATTAGAGCTAAAAATCCATGATTTATTAGTGTTTTTGAAGGAATAGTATCGTCTGCTGTAAACACGAATAGTGAACTGGCTAGCGGAAGTTATCAGCTTCAAACACCTTCATCAGAAAACAACACGACTTCGATACGATTTGACGTCCACAAAGTATCGAGATGTGAAGATATGCATTGTCGAATTCGCTCTAACGCTCACAAAATGTCCATCTCTATTCACAGTTATTATCAGCTAATAACAGTAAAAAGATAGACATTCTCTAGATGTTTACGTCACATTCTATTTGTTTAAAATCGGATCATCGAACAGTAAACTATCTTCAGCCCCTGTGATGTGGCTTCGGGGGTTGTAAACGGAATCGTTGTAGACTTGTGCGTTGTACAAAATCTGTAGCTAAGCAAGCCTATTATATTTAAACTTATTCTTCTAAAAATCATTTGAGATTCGTACCTACCCGACTCCACAGTTCTAATGAATATGTGAATACATATGCTTTGTTATATGACGGGTTTGAAAATTTGCATAATATACTTAGCTACAACAATCTGGTCAACAGGTTGCACAAAGTCAATGACTTAACAATATGTTTAATTTCCGGAGAATAATATAAACAATCAATCCTTAGTGTACAAAGTTGCATCACGTAAATGCACACAATGTGCCTATCAATCTTAAAGCTTATACAGTTTAAACAATTATCATAGTTCTTTAAGCAAACAAGAGGTTTTTTATTTTGTTTATTAGTAAACACAGAGAAAATTCATTGACTAGTTACCAATAGGTGTATGGTGCTGTGATGACTGAAATACTGTAATTGATCAAATTGTAGAAAATGCTCGCAGAACAGATAACAGATATATTCATAACCTAATCTCTTATAGGGAGTCAGTAACAGCTTGGATAATTGGGTAATAAACCATCCTGTTACAATTCTAACAGTACCTTTATAAATTCCACAAAAGACGAAGGAAAGCTTACATAAAATTTCAAATATAATAATAGGGAATCAACAAAAACATAATTTTTCCTGGTATACCCGAAGATTAATTGAACGGTAACTTCCTGGAACCATATATATATATATATATATATATATATATATATATATGATCGTTTATTCATAAGCTTTTACGTAACCCAATAATTACGATTATACGATTTACAGTTCTTAATTTATTCCCGATCTATTAGTTACAGTATCCTATACTCATAACCACTTTTTGATTGGTCTTGCATAATTATTACATTTTACTTTGTGGTGTGATGAGGTCTGGTTTTCTTGTATATAAACTACGTAAGCCTGAAATACATTATTTATACAATGGAAGCAGACATTGTGTTCGGGACTCAACGGGCAGGGCCATGCGAGAGGCTACTATAACGAAAACCAATAAGGACTCAGAGTTGAGCTGAAAATGTCAAGGCTGCTAGTGCTGGTTGATGTGTCATCGGTTTAGCACAGGGATAAAGTCAAAGAAGTCGATAATCTAATTGTTGATTTGACAGGGTCAAAAGCCGTAACAATTACACACTTATTATTTTTGCCATAACACACTGCATTAAAGCGACTCGGCGGAGGGATGATAAAATGGCAAACGTACCGATGTAATATTTGTAATAGCTCAATAGATATTTCTGTTGATGATTGCATCAGATAAGCGCGAAATTTCGGCTTACTCAATAGGCATAGAATACAGCGCAAACATGTATGAATGATGGATATCGGTTGTTTTGACGTTGAATTACACATAGCTTCTGCACACATACCTTCAAAGGATAAAAATAGTAAGACAACAATAATGAATAAGCAATCAAAGGAACACCATTGCCATCAAAAAAACCGATATAGCAGGTTGAAAGAAAAAAAATTGTATTAAACTATATTGTCTGATTTGTGTTAGCTCAAGACACTATTATTATATTACAAAAACCTGCTAGGAAGTGATTAAACTGTTAAAAGTAAGGCGAATAAGTACAGTTAGCTAGATGGAACAACAGTAGATTTTATTCAGCGATCAGTAAAAAAGGCACACATCTTGTTCAACCTTATAGTTTTGTTGTTGCTGTCAGTGAGGTTCATTAAATAAAAACAAACTCTCGGATATTCCAAGCATCTGATATTACTATATAGCACTAGCTTCAACGCGATCTTATTTGGAGACTCTGTGATCATGAGAGACTGATCTCTCTTTCTTTCAGATAATTGAAGAGGGCATAAAGATAAAAATTCAAATGGGAAATCATAAGTATATTCAAAAGTATCATTACTAAGGTTCGATTTGATAATTTAGAATAAATTGACTATTAGGTATATTGTTCAAATAGTCTATTTAAACTTATGTTAATTCAGTTCTGTTATTTCTTTACAGTAAGCCGTGAAATTTCAGAAACTCGAATTTTTACCCATTGGGATATTACGAATGTATTATTTTATTAACATAAATTCAACAAAAAAGCAAAGAACCAATCACATACATAAAAATGGATTGAATTTAAGTGATAAATAATAAAATCCTATACCCTAAAAGGTCCAATATACTATTCTAAAGATTTTATAGGCTAGTGAATTTAAACAATCGAATTTCTTTTTAATCTTGCTACAGTATCCTCAATTTGACTATTATATAAAGAAACGTTAACACCTATAAAGTAAATGAAGTTCACAAACCTAATAGATAAACTTACACTAGTTATCTCAGTTATTTATGTGAAATTTTAGGTCAGGGTAAACTTTTCCATACAAACTTGGAGGAACAATTAACATGTTGTTACTTGATTTCTTTATCATAAAAAGCTTAATAGAATTCGTTATGAAACAGTTGCATTTAAATAATCCGAGAAAAAAATGCTACATGAAAATTATCAGAAAATATTCAACTCTTTCAAAAATGAATATGTCATCGGCTTAAAAAAAAATCATACATATCTAGTTCGACTTTCAATCTTCACGTAGTAGGCACAAAGTACGGTTCGGTCAGTAAAGCAGTAGTATTATTAGTACTCGGAGAACTAAAGTTTGATTGAAAGCGAAATATCACTTAAAAGTAATCATATAGCTGATCTCTTTTACTTTATTAAAAACAAACAAATTATTACTTACCTAGAATTAAAAAGAATTGTCGAGCTGATTTAGACATTTCATTCTTTGATAAATTCGTATCAATCTCTTCTACACATAACTCATTATTAGTTAAGCATAATGCTAATGCATACGTCATACAAGGCCAATAACGTGCATAATATCCACGTATTAGATCAAGATTATAATTAATAGAATTATTATTGACATTGGATAGTAAGGTAGATGAGTGTTGAGTTGATAAATTATCTGGTAAACACATATATGCATAATGTTTTAATGCATCTAACCAAGCATTACTTAAGCTTGGGAGAATCGGTTGAATCCATTTCGATAATAAATGATAGATAGATTTACTTGATGCTGAACAACCACTACTCGATTGAAGGTAAGGAGCAGGTTTACAAACTGACAAAAAAAGATGGACATACGGAAAATATGGAAAAGCAATTAAAATAATCAAAGCAAAACGTGCACATTTTGAACTCGAATAGTTGACAACTTCATTCCAGATGATAAACCACAGGATCAATCGAACAGACAATTACAATCACAGAAATACTTGGCATTAGTATCTATTTGTACAAACAAGAAATATCTGTAAAACAAATAAGTATCGGCCTCTCATGCGAAGAGGAAAACGACCAGCTTCCCTTCCCGGATATACTTCTAAGCAGACGAAAAGATGGCTCAATCAAACGATCCATTTTTCGAAAACCAACATGGAAAGGCCAATACTTTATTTATTATAGTTATTGCCCCGAACAATACAAACGGGGTTTGAAAAGGTGTCTAATTAACAGGCTTCATCGTATTTGTACAAACGACACTATTGATGATGTTAAGTTGGCAAACAAGACATTAGTGGGGAATGGTTATCCACTTAAACTTATAAATACATGGGAAGCTCATGTTACAGTGAGACCTAATGTAACCTTGGTGAAAAAAAGCCTGTCTACATCACCTCATCATTAAAGGTGATTCAAATAGCCTTTTGTTGAAACAAAGGCTTAAATCAGTCATCAACAAAACGAATTGTGCAGCGAAGATTATTATCAAAGAAAGAACGAGGTCCATGCTTCTTGCAAAACCTAAAAGACATGAAAACCATTGTTTCACATCCCACTGCGTTTACGAATTTGAATGCGTGTGTGGTCAGACATACATAGGGGGGAGCAATCGTGATCTGAAAATTAGGGTGCGTGAACATGTACCAAAGTGGTTGCATTAACAAATATAATCAAATGACTCAGTAAGAGTAGAGGATAAACACCCACCATCCTCTATTGGCAAACATATAATCAGAATAGGGCATAAAACTGATCATAACTCAGCTTTTGTGGTGTTGTGTTGAAGTTTAAAAGGGCGTATACTAAGGTTTATTGAAGCCTTGGCCATACGAAAATTCAACCCCCCCTTGTGTATTCAAAAACAGTTTGCTCTCACCTTAAACTTACCCTGCTAATATTAGCTTATTATCCAGAGTGATAAGGTTTCAAAAGTATCTTAATTTATTTATTGGACACTGAGCACGGTATACACCATTTATTTTGCTAGTTTATGTGTATGCAAGCACTAATACACAATAGACATGGAGTGTGTGTGTATACCAAACTCTGTAGTTTCGGATGTCAAAAACTGTATTCAAATAACTTCAAACTCAGATAAGTATATCGGGTAAACAAACATATTAATTATCAGAAGGGGTATTGTGAAGATTTAGTATTTTTCATAGTAGAAAGCATGAGTCAATTGAAGCTAGACCAGTTGAAGTTAGACATTAACACCGTTGGATGCCAGCTCAATGGTCTGTCGGTTAAGGGCTTTGGCTTGAGACTGGTAGGTCCTGGGTTCGAGTCTCGCTCGCGAGAGCAGGTTCGTGGATGCGCACTGTTGAGGAGTACCATAATAGGACGAAACGGCCGTCCAGTGTTTCCAGGTTTTCCACGGTGGTCTAGCTTCAATTGACTCATGCTTTCTACTATGAGAAACAAACATAATGCTTAGCAGCCAAACATGGTTGAAACAGAAAAAAGAGATGACCTTAAACTTGGTTTCACATTTCCATGAAGAAGTTTTAAAAGCGAGATTTTATGATTTTATAAGTCTCCAACTGGTCATCACTTTCAATCTGTTCTGGTGATTTGCACGCTCCTTTGAACAGTGTATCAATTTTCTACTCTTTCTACTATATACCAGGGGGACCACTAAGCGACTTAGAATACGCAGATGACATAGTCCTGTTTGGTGAAGACGCTGGCAAAATGCAGAGTCTTCTGTTGGAACTCAGTAATAATGCCAGTATGTTTGGGATGCGTTTCTCCCCATCCAAATGTAAATTGTTACTCCAGGACTGGCCTGCGTCAACACCCGAACTAAGGATAGGGAGTGAAGTAGTCGAACGCGTCGACAACTTCACTTATCTTGGAAGTCTGATCAGCCCTAATGGGTTGGTGTCTGACGAAATCTCAGCACGGATTCGAAAAGCTCGTTTGGCTTTTGCCAACTTAAGTCACCTATGGCGAAGACGAGATATCCGTCTATCAATTAAAGGACGAGTATACTGCGCATCAGTTCGCTCTGTTCTACTTTACGGTTGTGAAATATGGCCATTAAGAGTAGAAGATACTCGTAGGTTACTAGTATTTGACCACAGATGCCTTAGAAATATTGCTCGCGTCTGCTGGGATAACCGGGTAAGTAATAGTGAGGTTAGACGCAGGGTATTAGGGAACGATGGTAAATCAATTGATGAGGTGATGAATCTTCATCGACTGAGATGGTTGGGTCACTATTACGCATGCCTGAACACCGATTACCACGACGCGCAATGCTGACCAGCGTAGGGGATGGTTGGAAGAGAGTTAGGGGCGGCCAAACCAAAACATGGCATCAATGCTTGAAGTCACTAACTTCTAGTCTGAGCCATGTTGGCAGATGCAGACTACTTGGTTGGGGTCCGCGTGACTATCGTAACCAATGGTTGGAGACTCTGGGTGGCATGGCTTAGAATCGATCACAATGGCGTGTGTGTATACACTCTTTATCTTCCCTTAAACCTTGAGATTAAAATTGCTTCATATCTGTCTTTCTTCCTGTACTATATAATTATATACAACTTATAATTTATATACTACTACCACCAGTAAATTAATTACTTCTATGAATCCGGTATTCATCTTGTGGTGCTAACGAGGTATGGCAACTTGGACCGATGCATAAATGTGCCTGGTCCTACGTTGTAGCTGACTGACTGACTGACTGATATACCATTTCTATTTCTTATATTTCCAATTATTAACTCTTAAAGTATACATACAAAGTCCATAGACGTGTAAATGTGCGACCACATGTATTGTATTAAATAAATCACACTTTCCAGATTGTTAAAAATCCATCAAAAGGATTAATTGCTTTAAATTGCTGCACATAAATATTGGTACAAAAAGCACCAGATAGATATGCGCTTCACAAATCTCATTTGATTTGTGTGAGGGTTGTGATACTGCTCAGGTGCCCTGACTGAAGCAGGTGGTTTTCTTAGGGGACCACACTCGGAGCCTTTGACCTGAAGGCCTAATCCACAAGGCAGTGGAGCATCTTAAGGAGATGCAGTCCCATAGTAGCCGGTGACCAACGATTGGTTCATACGCCATTTGTTCCTTCAGGATACTGGAGCTCATGTGAATCATTGGTTTGGAATCTGAGTTTTCCAACTCCCCTAGGTGAAATTTCCGTGTCCACCAACCCGATTAAAGCACCGAACATTTGCTTTTCGTCCTCTCAATTTCGTAAACAACACCCCCGCCACGAGAAGGCAGTGAGTAGGACTTCGCTGGTAGAGGCTATATATTCACGTGGCCATGTGAGAGCATTTAGAGAGGGAGAGCGGACTCTCCCTACTCTCGGTCGTACCAGGGCATTTGGGGGCAGTACAATGTTCCTATATGTGTAAATAGGATAAGCGAAACCAAATGACTCACTTAGACAAAAAAAATACACTCATCAAAAAGTAAAAATATATAATCCTGTCCTAATTCAAAAAGGATCATAGTGCGAAAAATGATATTTTTTCAAAAAAAAATTTCAAAATGAAATAAAAATTATACTTTAAAATCGATCACATGTTAAATTGAAAACATTTAATTTGCGGTTTTAAAATAACTGTAAGGAATTATGATGTACAAATTATTGTTTATCAGGAAGAAAACTGACGTAACTTCTAATATGTAGACGAAGCATAGTTTATGATAAGATTAATGGGCAGTTGCTAATATTGGACAACAAGAAAAGCACCCAACTATTAAACAAGAGTCATATAGTTATAATCAATGTAAACTAGAGAATGTGCTTTCCATACTACATTAACACGATGAGATGAAACTAACAAAATAAATACAGAGGGAAAGAAAAGTCTACGGTTGCAAGGATAATGCGAAAGACTTAGCATTGGGAATATAGTTTGAGAAGACAGAATATAAAAGACTGTTCATTTTGGAATACTGGAACTGAAGACCTAGTGTAAGATAGGGAGTAGATGTATCTGTGTGGTTGTGAGTGATTTTGAGCCATGTGACAACTTTTGAACCACTGATCCTGATTTTTGTGCACACCACAACCTGGTAATATGACCCAGCCAACATGTACAGACCAATAGTGAAATTAGAACATGAAATAAGTTTGACCGGAATAATAAATTAAACTGTATGAAATTTTAAAAAAATTCTCTGTTGTAGACAGATTTGAGAATACTAGTATCTGAAATACGGAACCAGTGCCTTACAAACTCGTATACAATATAGGAAACCAAAAGTGTTTCGTTACTTATAGGTTATTGTACTTGTGGAATTGATTGAAATATAACCTCGTTAAGGAACTAATTGAACGAAACGTGAACGGATATGTATATAGTCACTGACAAAAAGATACAAATGTGCAACTGTTAGATTCCAATCGAACAAAAGCTTGTTTATAGTATAGTTTATTATTTCTCAGTTGGCAGATGATTCGATGAACAATTTTGAATCTGTCCATTAACTGGAGTTTATTTCTTTTGCTAGGTTTATTATCCAAAAAATGGTCTATTAACAAAGGTTGCCTTAGATAGAAAAACAAATAAATAAATAATTAACTAGTTTAACTAACCAGATAATATATCTTCTATTGATATTCCTTTAATGATCATACTATAGTCAGAATCATTGTCGTTTTCACTTTCATCATTCATCATGTCATCTGATTCATCATCCATCAATTGTTCATCATCTAAAGTCTGAGGTGATTCTCCAGTGATTAAGTGTTGTTTTTGGTGTAACTTATTTACCCATTTCTTAGTTTGCTCAACTGTCAAAATGTAAACTTTAGCCCAAGCAGCTAAAACAGATAGTTTCTCAACTATTGCAGAGTTTTCTGATATCCATTGCGATGATTCTACTCGCTGAGCCTGTGCAGATACATTAGATGAGTGATCTTCAGTGCATTTGTCAAGTTTTAATTTATCAAATGCTTGTCTTAGAAGGTCTTGTACACGACGTAAGTCTTCTGGATCACGACCAACTCCGGAAGCAAGCCATGTACTGCACACTTGACATGCTATAGATAGTAGTTCTGGATTAGGTTGAATTACACCAGATAATAAGGAACTATTAGTAGTTGAAGATTGTGCAACTGTTGTTATATTGTCGAATGAATTTAACAACAAACTATTCATAAATGCTGGTCGTAGTGCAGCTGAGACTTGAGCTTGATACTGTTCCAAGATAACATGATCTGAAAATAGTTTCATGAGAAAATAATTAGTTGAAAAGAAATTTATTTAAACATTTTGGTTTTTTGTCAAGAAAAACTTACAATACTTTATGCTAATATTTATGTGAATTATTTTCTAACTATTTGGTTGAGTATCAAATGTCTGTAGCATAAATAAATTGGAGCATCTTTTAATTTGATCATATTGGACTGTAGTCGTACCTAAATTAGGAAGTCAGTTGAGTAAATATTATCAAAGGTATTACTGGAAATCAGAGCGAAGAAAGGGAGTGAACATGAGAGAAATAAACAATGGATACTGTTGTGCATCAATGGTTTGGATTTTTACATAGTTTTAACCACCATTAAGATTTCTTAATTCAAACAAATGACAAACACATTCAAGTTAACTGAAATAAATATTGTTCATCTTTCACTTAACAGTTGCATCGCTCATTACAATTGAGAAGATAGTGGCTGAGAGTGTGTACAATATGAACTGATAATAATAAGAGAACCACTGACAATCAAACAACATCCATCAACGATTTCTTCTTAGTTTTTGACTTCTCAATAATATGCAGTTAAAACAACATATAAGATAGAATCCAGGACTCAAAGATGTCAGCTGATGACGAGAAATATCTTCAACGTCACTTCACTGAATAAAATATTTTCATAAATAAATAATAATAAAAAACAATATAGTAAGACAAAGTACCTGGATAGTCTGGATCTGGTATTTGGGAAAATCTTTGAATAACATCTTGCATAAGTTTTAAACCTGTGATACGAAGTCGTTCACTATCCGACGTAGCTGACATAAAAGCTACACGAATTAAATCAGACAGGTATAGAATAAGCCAATCGGATTTCCCTGATTGAGAACGTAGAATTCTAGCCTTAGCCAAATCAAAATGAGCGAGTGACTTTGAATTTATTATCCAATTATCAGTAGTATCATCATCATTTACAGATGTTTCCATATACGGAAGAGAATTATTTACAAATGTTGTGCTGCACAACCTGGCACAACTAGATATCAGGATACGCAAACAGCTGATTGCGAAAATTCGTGTCGAGCATCTGAAAAATGTGCAAAGAAAACCATTCACATATATATTTTATCAAAAAAGTACATGAGGCATGCATAGTACCAGGATAAGTGCAAACAATTACAGTCAAGTACATAATAAATCTATCAAAAAGAATGAAGCACGAGAGAAGTTGACTTATTTTCTCTGATAAATGTTGTAACAAACTTTTTCAGATCTAAAATAGCTTCACTTTACCTTGAGAATTTTGAACTGCTAAGATATTAGGGAAACGCTCTCGTAACACGTTCAATGCATAAAAAATGAATGGTGAAAACTACTGATCGTGTGATAAACAACGAGAAACAAAGCAGTTTCTAACACAATGTATTGATTCGAATTGACAAAATTTACAGGAAAGAATACAGATAATAAGTCAATATGGAGGGAATAATGATGAAAACTTATACAGAACAGAAAATGGGAAAGAAGCAAGTAGAAAGAATTAGATAAGTAATGAACGTTATCTACAATGAGACAGTTTGTCTAAGAAAACGTAAACATGGTTTCACTTAATCATTAATTTAAACTACCTATCGGATTTCAACTTGGAATTTTGAACACAGGTAAAACTAATGGACAGAGATTTTAAAAATAAAGATTTCCGCTCGGTGTGTTAATTCCAACTAAGTTACGTCATTCATTTATGTAACCACTTGATGCCAGTAATTAGTACTACTTGTTAGTTTCTTTAGCTACACCTTTCTCACACATACGTATGCATTATTTTAGCTACTGTGTATAATGTTAATGTTTTTGCCTTATTTTTTGGAGGTTACTGTCTTGTTCCACACTTCCATTTCAATTTCATTATCTAAAGTATAACTAACAATCTTTTTTCTCTAACCTCAATATTCGCCGTAAATTTAGCTCGTTTGAAGTTAATAGAAAGACTTGAGATACAGTGAATTCATTTATGTCACAAATATTTTTCTTATTCTACACAAGAATGAAAATTCTCATTGACTTTTCTTTATTAATAATTTGAAAAAGAGTTAGAGAAATCAACTACTTTGGTAGTACAAGTAAATTATGAAAGATACTATTGTGTTCTAAACCGATGTTTTTAGCCTGTTATCTCCAATATTCAAACAAGAACAATGTGAGATCTGATATAATTCACATAAGAATTCGAAGGTGAAGTCGGAAAAGATACTAATGTCCAGTATCTACAGAATTGTGATTCATATTTATTGTTAGCACTGATAACTAGTTAAATAGATTACTTCTGAAATCAGATAGAATTCCCTGTAGGTTAGTAATCATATCAGCAATTTACATCTGACAATCCACATGACTCAGTAGATGAATATAATTCCATTGAGGTGAACCTCTGATATTACAATAATCGAATAGCATTAGAATATATAGGTCAAGAAAACCACATAATTGTTTAAATAAATAAACCAAAACCCATAGACAACAGCTGATAGTTGTATCAGTAATTCATATCAAATGCAGAATTCGACAACACTGAATAGCTGCTTTGTTTTAGTTTAATACTTCATCGTGTAATGAGTAACGCATAGTTGCTTGTATAATTCGAGACAAGATATTTTCATTTTGCAACGAACACAATAAATACTCTGATTAGGTCAATTTGGGATCTAATGTGGTCATCACTTAATGTCATCATCAATGACTAACTAATACATTAAAAGCTGAATTCACTATACAGGTCATGAATTATTACTGTAACTTTAGAAAAACTGCGTTGAGGAGATGAGTAAATTAATTTCGTCCATTAATTGAAGTAAAAACTAGAAAGAAGTGGTTATGTCTACCAGTGCACCTATTCATTTTTTTTCTTTTGAAGTCAACTATATATATATATATATATATATATATATCATACAATTTTATATCACATTATTTGAGTATTGATTATGCATTGTACATATTATTTCATTAGCCTCCAAAAACATACACAATTGACATGATAAGTTACACGTAATAACGAAGAAACAAACAGAATTAACGAATCAAACATAGCAAAACTAACAAAGAAAGAAAAACAAACCTGGCTCTAATCTTAACACTGAATAACCGATTAATTTCTTGATTAGATTGTTTTGGTTTAAAATTGATGTCAACATCTTCACATTCATCATTTTCTGGTTGAATAGCACCACTACCGTTTTCTTCGTCTACACGACTATTTCGTTTAGACATAGTCATTGTATCTACGTCATCGTTACTAATGGAAGACTGTTTATCTCCACCAATAGAGTTTGATTCGTTTGTATTGAATGATTTTTTTACAGAATTTCTTATAATAATATTACTATCACTCGTCAAATCAGTTTTTAGTGAGGTGGAAACCTTTAAAAATAAATAAATACACAAATACACATCATAATACGTATGTTTTGGTAAATTAGCCTTGATTACTGTTATGTAAATTAAAATAAAAGCAAAATTAAGTTCATTTGGAATAATTGTAATTAACTAATGACATTAATAAAGAGTAATGAATGAATAGTTCACCTGATGTGTTCTAGAACTTTACAAACAACGTGCACAGCCGTTCTTTATTAATATCCAATAAATGTACAATCTAGAGACGTCTAACAAAGTTAACTTATCTTTGGAATTCTGAGACTAGTTTAAAAATAGCTAATACTTTATCTACCCTGAATTAAATAGCATGTGCACCTGATGTATACAGTATCATTTATTCGAAAGATTATGGAATTGATATAAATGCGACTTTCTCTAAATCATACACGAAGGGGTGGTTTAGTAATTAAAGTACACAATTTTCAAACACTAAGTAGAATGTTCAAAAAACTCTCCAGTTTAACTCAGTATGAACAATTGAGTAGTATCACTAACCCTAAAATAAGTGCACTAATCTGTAATTAACAAGCAAGTTACATTAAGTTTTCGAGAGGTCCATTATTGACCAGGAGTATCTAATAAGAATACTGGTATTTATTGGTAAACTTATTGACAAAAATTAATGAAATACCAGACTAAATATTAAACTGTTTCTATGTTGCATAAAAAAGTATCAGTTACTCCAAAGTGAGTTACTTGGATGGAATAAAGAAAATCTGTGAAAGTCTAGAGTAACTAAATTAAATAAGATGTGATCACAATTTACGAAACAATTTATATGAAGCAGCGGAAATTATTGGTTGTTCGACCTTCGAATAAAGTGAACCAAAACAGTTATATTCAAAACATTGATTCATCTCTATATAATATTTTCCCTCTTTGCAAATACATATTTCTGTTTCTAATACATATCGTTCTTTAGTCTTCGTGTAGTTTTAAACTAATACCGTCTTCTTATAACTGGTGCATTATTTTCAAGTTTACTAACTTGAAATCATTGTAACAAGAGTCTTATTTTGCTTTCTTTTTTCACATGACGATCATCGGTCATTCTGTAGTGGAATATGCATATATGGTTATAAAAACATCAACACTGTACATATTCGATTATGTTATATAAGCATTCGACAAATACAGAACAATAGTAGTGTGAATTTGTTTTATTTTTAATTTATGCAAAACAAAAAAGAAACTCAATCAATAATGATGAAGAAATTATGAAAAGAAACTCACAAATGAAACTATATATATATATATATATATATATATATATATATATATTCGTTATTCTTTCAATTGATACTTATCTTTGTTTTGTTTAAGATTTTCAAAATCTTTATTTTATGCAATTTTACAGAATTGTAAAAAGGAGGGCGAGTGGAAACGATGAAAACCTTTAAAATACATGGTGATGTTGTGACATATGAGAAACTATATACTTTTCCAGTTAAAAAAGACTTATTCATTCATTAGAATTGTAATAAAATCTTTGCGTCTACCTAATTAAAACCTTTTACTTGGTGTGTAACAAAAAAAAACATTAAGAAGGGAAATGGAACAAATGAAACCGACAATATATGAAATACATGAAACCATTTTAGAAATAAGACGATCATCAGTCATTAGCGTTGATTAGAATAAAATGATTTAATATTATGTAAATTAGTATTTTATATTTCTATGAAAATAACCTTAGAGTTGGATTTTATGCTTATCAAATATCAATCTGTAAAGAACATATCATCAACAGCCTAAAGGATACATATAATTCCTTTGAAATGGTGCACTGCATTATTTCATTTTACCAAGTTTAAAAATTAAGGTAAAAATATTAAATAGATGCTCTACGTTAGTCACTCATAATCGACATAACAATCAGGTGAGAAAATTGTGCGTTAACTCACGACGAGATGAAGCTAAAAAGATGAATAGTAAATGAGTTGAAATGATTCATTCACAAGGATAAAGAAAACGACTAAACGCCAAGAATATAATTTAAGAAGACAGAATGAAAAGCTGTAAGTATTAAGAAATATAAGAGCTCAACATCTTGAGTGAGACAGCGAATAAATTCATCTGCTACTGTGACTGATCCTGAGTTATGTCATTCAATTTCTTTAACTACTGATCTTAGTTATCACGTCAACGTCAAACCAAGTAGTCGGGCTCTATCAAAATGACTCCGATGAACATTCTTGTATGATTTACGTAAATAATACTTTTTTTTGGCATAGATATATCGAATGCCTTTATAAAAATCCAAGTATTATCAATTTTTGAAGCATACTATTTAATGTTTTCGAAACTAATCATTTGTTTTGCATATTTAAAATTTTCCGAACATAAGAAAAAAATAAGATATTTTAATTTATCAACTTATTGTAATCATTCATTTTTACCATATATGGTTGAATAAATCCAATAAATGAAAGAAAAAAAGGTTATACAATCAACAATACACTTTAACTGATCATGTCAATAATGTTTGTCTGTGTGGCGCATATATATCTGGTGCCTCCTGTACCAATATTTCAGTGTTAAAATAAATATATAATAAATTAATGAATGAAGTTATTGAAAATAACTATTGACGATTTAAAAGAAGAAAAAACCCAATGAAGAAAGAAAGAGAAAAACGCTTCGTTCAACTGTAAAACCTTTCAAAAACGTCGTTATTTTATTTCATTCAATAAATATAAACTACATATTACTATTATATTGTTGAACAACTATGTTATAATTTAATAATTGACAGTTTTATTTATTTATTTAGAGCGGTTACAATCAGAATAATTGATTTATGAATGATATTGAGATCGTTTATCACAATAAATATTGATTGATAATGAACCGTTTTCTCATTAATTAAAAGTGATTATTATTTTAAAAATGGTGAAGAAATGACTTAGTGATTAAAGCACATGATTAACAATCATTGTACTAAAGGTTTTGACTCTTCTTTGTTTAATTTAGATTTTTCATTCAAGTAGCATCAGTAACTTTGAATACGATTGGAATGAACCATTTGTTATTAAGCTATCCTATCTTATATCTACCGGTATAGATGTATTTATAAAACAGAATTCCATGTTTGTAAGAAAAAGAGCCAACTATATAAGTATTCATCATGATCAGTAAGAAAATGTTACTTCAGGGAAAAAAGTTCAGTAGATTATCTCCTCGTCCTAGCCAGTAAGAAAATTAGCAACTTTCATTCAATTGGAATTATATTTTTATTTAAAAGTTCTAAACTAATTATCTTCAAACCATTCAACTTTCTTCAAATTTACATTATGATTTTTAAAAAAATAAAAATCCCAAATTTATTTTCTGAGCTTCATTTGTTCCAGTCGAAAAAAATAAGGAAATAAATATATTAACAACGAATGTACAATAAATGTTCAACTAAGATGAGGCATTTTTAGTGGAATTCGATCGATAGTCAGATTTGAGAAATCACAAGAAATCTAGATAATAAATAATTTTCAAGCTTTAATAGTTAACCATCTGCCTGAAATAAAGTACGACTAGACATAGTAGTGAATAAGAAAAGAAACATGTGATGAGTTGGCTGGTTGGCCAAGTTTTGTATACTACATCAGAACTACGTAATAGATAGAACCAGTCCAATTCATTAATAACTACTTTTACATCTATTTTATACAGGATAGGCTTCGAAAGAGTTTCGCATTTGAACCACTATTAAGTTGCAGAATTTATTCATCATACACTACTGAAGAGTCCTTACTCAAGAGAAACATTTGAATGATAAAAATAACAAATTTACGCAATCACTGAACTGTTCAAATGGTTTAGTAACTTAAGAATATATAATACATCTAGGAATACTTTAATTTCTGTATTTCCTCCATTTTGTTGGCAATTTGTAGTTTTCGCATAATGACTGCCTTGACCTTTTCTATCCTCTGATTGGTTATTTTCTCTTTTAATTTAAGCTCCTCAGGTCATTGGAATCACTGTATCAACAGGTCTGTTGCATTAGATTTTTTAAAATCACCTGGGAATAGGAAAGGTTTCTTGCCAGGAACCACTTTGGCTTCCCTTTTATTGTGACATAAAAATTACAATGAGAGTGCTGTTATTACACAGCAGCATCAGTTATCAAGAGTAAACAAATGAGGAACTTTGTTAGAGTTTCTGCTTCGACTAGGAGAAAAATACTTTAAATACATAATATTTTTGCTTTTCATCAATCTACTAAAAAATGTGAACCTTGGTTCTACTGTTAACATGAAATCTTTGAATTATCGTACATGTCTCGGGAGATCATTTAATATATCTGGGTGATAAGAATCAAACTTTATTGACAGTGAAAGCAATTAATTTAGCAACAAGACAGAGTGAGAATATTAGAAAACTAAAGTTGAGAAAGATACACGAATTAACTGATCAATTGACATTTTTCTCTTTAATGCAAGCTATTCTGATCGGCAATATACGAAGTGTCAACTGAAGTAACTGATTAAAAGATTACGAGTAACTAACTGAAATACAAAACACACATCAGGATTTTCTATAAAGTTACACTGACATGAGAAAATTCAAACAACTGTCATTTCCAGAAAATTTGATATGATAATTAATAAATTTACAACAATCATTAACAAATAACAGCCGTGATTAACGAAAATGTTAGCATAGTGAAGGTAATTAACAGATGTATGAAAACAGACTTTTTGTTGCACATTTGCAAATAAGTTGGGTTATAGAAAAAGGTATTCTACACTATTGTATTCCAGACTAACCAACCAATTCTATAGACAATCAAGAGAGTAAAATCCAAAAACAATGGTATATGAAGTTAGTTTACCTGGAAAAAAGTTCGCTAACTTAAATATAGCTAATCAAAAGCGTGCTCTTGAAGCATTTATTAACTCAAACAACCAACTCAAAGAAAATTAGTACAATCACAATCCCACGTTATTAGGTCCAGATGATGAAAATTGTAATAAAAATCAAATACACCCAATAAATGAGATTAATACATTCAACATTTACCAATAATACTTCTTTTAATAATGTAAACCAATACGAAAGTTGTGAGGTACCAGTTGCTTCCAACATTCCAATAAGTGTATCTTCAATATCTCGGCGTAGTTGATAGTCCATTTCAACATCAAGTAAACTAAATAACTGTTTTTCTAATTTTTCATTAGTTGTTGATTTGGAAAAATTATTCATATCATTTTTACTGGAGATAGTAGAAAATGAAGAGAGAACGGGAGACGGTTTCTCTTCTAATGAACCTCCCAGTGTCATACATCCATACAAATCCTTAGCCTCTTTTTGACTTAATTGTCGTAAACATGATAATGCTGCACGTCTTAAGACCAAATGGAAACTGGACACACTAGTCTAAAGTATAAAAAGAAGAATAAAACAAAACATTTATTGGATCAAGTTATATTTACACATCGATACATAAATAATTACTTTTTAAAAAGAATATCAAATGGAACTCAGTGGTTGATGAGTAAAATTTATACACTTTTGAATGTTAAACACCGTTCAAAAGATAGTCGCTTTATGAATATCATGTAGTAAAATTGGATGTTTTGGGAAAAAATATTTCAAGGGAAGGTTTACGTAGGAAATCCGCAGTTTAAGTTAGGTTGGCACCCAAAATGGAAAAACTTAGTGCAGAAGTGAAGTATTTAAAGACATGCTTTCTATTTAGTATAGTACTGGTTTAGTTAATTAATATTATTATAAGAAGGGGTTTTGTGGAGATTTTATTAGTTTTATAGTTGAATTCATGAGCCAATCGAACCTCGCGAGGGGGGATCATGGATGCGCACTGCTGAAGAGTCCCACAATGGGACCAAACTGCCATTCAGTGCTTCCAGGTTTTCCAAGGCAGTCTAGCTTCAATCGACTAATCAATTCAACTATAAAATTAACAGTAATCGAATAGTATATAAGTACTATATGGATAGGTTACGTAACAAAGAAGGTTAACAATTCAACTTGATCAAATTAATTATGTAATCCGTTATATTTTATTTGTTATAAAACTCAGGTTTGAATATACACCCACCACCACATCCCCTCAAACAAAATGTGTTGTAATTCAACCAGTAACGATTACGATCACGAGGTTGTAAAAACTGAAATGACCACCACTTACGTTTACAATACATTTGATACGTTATTCTTTCAATTCCTAATCACTGTTGTTTAAGTGTATCCTGTGTGTCTGTATGCCCAAAAAACAGTTACGGTTTTTAATTGTTCTCTTTTAGATCATTAGGCCTTTGTTTTCCATAATACTTTAATTATCAGCAGTAACAGTAACGTACACACCAGTTAGTTACAAACTTACTTACAATTCACTCAGTCCGTCAGTCAAAACGTAGAACCTGTACATATGTACATCGATTTAAACTGCCACACCCCATTATCACAGAGAGATGGGATTGAAAGGCCAAATCTCATAATAGTAGAGGTAGTAAAAGTGTCAGAGGTAATGGGAAAGATAAGGCATAGAAGATACGACTTTGAAAAGAAAATATCAATCAGCGAAATAAAACCAAAAAAGGTATGAAAAATTTAGAATCTCAGAATTTGGGGGAAGACAAAAAAATGTATGTGCCTGCGCCATTGCAAACGATTTTAGGCCGTGTCATTTAAAGTCTCTAAACATTGTTTACGATAATCACTCGGATCCCAACTATGTAGTCTATACCTAGTAGCATGGCTAAGTCTGATTGTCAGTGACTTCATAGACTGATGCCATGTTTCTGTTTGGCCACCCCCAGGTTTCAGCCTACTCTTACTCCAGAAAACCACCCATAGAGGTAGATGGTGGTCGGGCACACGTAAGAGATGTTCCAACCACATTAATTGATGAAGATTTACTACCCCTTCAATTGATTTTCCATCCTTACCGAGAACCCTGTTTCTAACCCAGGCATTGCCCACTCTGTAGTTTGAAAATGCTCGTAACAACAATAACAGTAACGTGAACAAGAGTAAGTTACAAGCCTACTGACAATTAGATGTAACAAATTGCTGTGAAGATATAAATCTAACTAAATCTCTCAATAATAGTGAGCTACTATCAGGTCTGATTCATTAAAGTAAGCCAACACTACGACCCAGTAAACATCGCATTAACCAACAATATTGTACATGATTAGTAACCGATAACACAACTGAATAGAAAAATATCCAAAAAAACTAACTTGTAATTCAGGAACCAGACCAGCTAATTTAACATGCATTGGAGCAAACATATGTAACTGTTGTAGGCAGGCTATACCTTCCGCTTGTAGTAGAGCATCTGGTGAATCACGCATAATCATACAACATAACAAACATGAATGTCGAACAGACGTAATACCAGCGCTTGTAGCTATATGAAGGTATTATTTAATCAAGAACACGGTAAAAGGAAATAAAATATATTTTTTAAAAATAATTCGACAACGATATGTATAGAATTTATCATTTGAGGTTGGACTGGTTGTTATCGTACAATTATAATAATGAACTACGTCTATCAATGTTTCTTAAAACTGGCTAGCATCGATTACAAGTCGATGTAACAAAAAGTGAATATATATATATATATATATATATATATATATATATATATATATATATATAGTGAAAAGAACAACACTGTGTAAGCGATTTTTGTCAGCTATTTATTACAGCGAGAGATGATGATGATCAACTCGACGAAAATGAAATTAGTCACAAGTCAACGTGGACACGTATGGACATAAGTGTTTTTAAATTTACGGTAAGACTTCGTTAAAACTAAATATCTTATTCTAAGAAAATCCAATATGAACTGATTGAGACAGTACAAAAAGATTATGCAATCAAGATAGCAATCAGTTAACGATTACAAAAAGTGTGATAAGTACTGCATTGAACGCGCTATATTAAAATCATAGAGTTGCATAGACTGATTACAAACTTAATTGAAGAATCAGGCTCTTGAAGAAAGAAGTGGTGAAACTAATATTACCTAGTTTTAGGGTGCATAGATCAGAACTTGAAAAGCATCTGTACGAGATGACACTTTTTGATGAAGATTCTTTTTTTATGATTTTACCTTAGCATAATTAAAACGCAGTTTAGCTAACACCGCTTGTTATTTTAAAGAAAAATTGTATTACTGTCATATTTCAAATCCAGAAAGGAATAACATTATTCGTTGACCATTGTTTTTTTTATAAAATAACTATAACAAGCGCTGATTGATGTCCGTTCTATAAGATTTAGATTTTTTAGAAGTACATAATAAATTCTAAAACACAGACCAAAATAACGTACCACGTAATTCAGGTCCTAAGGTAGTAATCAAGGCTGCAAATAAACGACCAAGACTTCTTTGAATTTCATGCATAGCACTTGGTGATTTCAATAATAGTTGAAGTACTAAGTTTAAACTTGGTTCAATATATTCTCTAAATATTGGACCACCTGATTCTGCAACTAGTGCAAGAGCATGTAATGCCCAAACTTGTACTTCGGGTACACTGGAATCTTGTGCAATAGCTAATAATACACCAACACTGGAGCTTAAATGTTGTCCAGACGCCAAACCACCGACATAACTATGTAAACAACCAATAGCTAAACAATGACCAGCTCTTGCAATCGGATTGCGAATAGCACGTAGACGTTCAAAAATTTGCTGAGCTAATTCTGCTAGAAATCCAGATTCGCCAACAACTTGTGCAAGCCTTCCAAGACATTCGCCAGCCACACAACGTAGTAGAACACTTTGACTAGTCAAAGTAGCCTAAAAATATCAAGCAAGTTTACAAGAAAGACGAAATTGAAAGGTGAATGATTGAAAATAGAAAGATTTAGAAACACACACTATTCGATAGATACTTTTATGTTGAACAACCAAATTAGTCATAAAATCTGTAATTAGAGCAGTGCTTAAAATATTAAATATATTTTTGATATATCCCAATGAGTAGAAAAATTGTATTTGTGGCGTTTCGTGACTCAATGTAAGCCACTTCTTCAGAGTAAATAAATAATGTCGGTTATTTGTTTACTCTGAAGAAGTGGCTTACATTAAGTCACGAAACGCCACAAATACAATTTTTCTTCCCATTGGGATATATCAAAAATATATTTATTATTAACTCTCCACCTAATGTTCGATTTATTTGAAACTATCAAGTCAAACCCTGGTATAAAGTGCATGAAATCGTTAAGTTTTAAAATGAAATCAGACTTTATCCATGCAAATTAGCAGATGCATAAATGAACCATTATAATTATTACCATAGAGTTTGTGTTAATAAATAATCTATCAACTAATAAAGTTTGGCAGTGTATATACTCTATTTTCTAATGGTATAATAATAGTGACAGGAATGAAAACTCATAGTTTTATCAATTGCTTTTCATCAAGTAGTTAGTCCTAATTACAATATCTAAGTTTTTCATTTTATGGTAAGTCACATCAATGTCATTAAATAAACTAAAACACTGTAACTTGGTTCTCCTTAAGTAAATTAATACATTGGTGCATTTCTCTAACAAATACTAAGAGATTTCGAACGAATAAATCTGTGATTAAACGAGGTATTTAAGCTAAGCGAATCAAAGGCTTATTAATAACCTAGTAACAAAATACAAGCTGGAGGCTTTTAAGATTCGAAACGTTTTTAGGCAATTGAAATCTAATTTGAAGTCCCTCACTCCAACACCTTTGAATACCCTAGCAACACAATGCAAATAAACACAATGTTTTGATGAAAAGTTGCAGATACCTTTCGAATAACTGAACTAAAGTGGGTCAACTTTACATTGAAGTTATGACGAATTGAGAAGTAGCATCACATTCGAGATACGATAGAGCACAAGTGGAAATTCGACCAATCAAAAGTGAAAATAGAAACATGTTTACAGAAAGCTAACGAGTGTATATATGTCTTTCGGTGCAAACAAAGTATACTACCTATTTCTAACATTCAAAGGAGAATAATACTTGAGCTGATTAAACCTCATGCCCTATTTAAAGACAAACATTACGGTTAGGCATAACAGCCATAACGACAACTTTGTCGTCATATTTACACAAGTTTACACATACAACCTGAGTGACCTTTACATTCATCTGTTTATTTTGTGTCTGGCTTAGCACTATTATTACTAATGATATTATTACTATTACTGTTATTATTATTCAGTCAACATGCACTGAAACGAATTCCAACAGATTTTTGTATTACAACATATAGAACGTATTTTCCACTCAATCAAAACTAACAAAACATTGTTGAAGCAATTACCATGTATTTTACAAGCAGAACAAATGTTTGTTTGCATGTCTCGTGTCATTTATAAGATAATTATAAAGAGATAGGGAGAGAAACTGAAACACATGGAAAAATGTTGGATTAATTTACCTATAGACTGTTTAACCGATCAATAGTTAAGAGCGTAAGGGAAATGTATGTAAGTGTATTTTATGATTGTTTTCTATATGAGGAAAATAGATCAAGCTGATTCGAGAGTGCATGTGCATTAGTACCACAAATTCTTATGAACATATGTAAATAAAATAAACTTACGTGACAATTTATGATTATTTACTTTTTTCCTATCTGTTCCATAAAAACCTGAGCATATCGAAATAATTGAAGAGGAAGAATGTATTTGTAAAATCTCAGCGAATGAATTTGAAGTAAATCCAAAATTTAGCCTGGCAATCTGGTCCAAGCTTTTTCAAGGAAATCTAATCGAACACCAAAATTATTGAATATCAATAGATACCTGGTTCTCTGGTTCACTGTATATAGGTCATACAATCTACGTTAACAAAGTTTAAAGTAGGCATTTGTTTGGATTTGCTTAAAATTCATTCGCTAAGATTTTACAAATACATTTTTCCTCTTTAACGTCTCACATCAAACTACTCGATCAAATGTAGACGAAAGTTCTCTTGCCAAATACTTCTTTTGCTTTATTATGTATTGACAAACGAAGAGCTCTGAATGTACTATTAATTTACACCCCACAGATCCATTAAATGTTCAATAATTAAAAATTAAACAATACATGAAAAAAAATGTACACAAAAATACTTTATGTCTAATACTTCGAACAGTACAGATTCAAGTTAATGTTTTATACATACCTGAGTATCAAATAAAGGGAGTAACCCGTGACGTCATTGGAGAAGAATTAATTCTTATCCGCATAATTTACTGAAGCTGTACGATCACATTTAGATCTAATTACTAAATAAAGTAGTCTATTGGAAAGCTTAACATCTTATTCATCAAAAGTAGCTATCCATCCCGGTTCGTTGATAGAAACATGAAAAGTAAACTAAAATTTCCAAGACCTCCTACAGTTCTTAAAATAATCTCTTTATAAAGATTGGGTCCAATGGAGGAGCTACGACAGAAGATTTGAAAAACCGTCTAATGAAATCTTTGAGAAAACGTTTATAGGCTGCTATGTTGAGCGAAATAGGTTATCTACCTAACCAATACGTAAATAATTATGACTTAGTATTGATACATAATACCCAACATTCATATAACTAGCATATAAAATGGTGTTATACAGTCTTTCTCTACCTTCCACAAACTTGGTTTGATCAGATGTTAGGAAGGTGTACTGATAAAAACAAACTGTAGATTATATCAAAAACTTCATCCATTTATTAAAATTATAAAGAAAAGCACATCAATCAACACTAAAGAAAACAAAACTTTTCTTGCAAAGTAATTTGAAGACAAAAACAAGAAACACCCTTAACCATAATATGGGATAGGAATAAAACAACTCTTCTAGATTAAAAAAAAGGAACAAAACAAACGGGTTAGTGAAATTTTCCCATAATATTTTGTCATGTGCACAAAAATATCACCGGGATAAATTAATGTTTGATCGTGATTTTACTTTGGTTAGCGAGATGATAAAAAATGTAAACGAAAGAATTTAATGAATGGTGAAGTGAAAAACGGTGATTATACTTTGTGGATTAACCAACATCAATCATTATAATTATGGTCATCAATCTTATTATCAACATTAATGCCATCATTAGTGTCATACACACACATACGCCACTTACATCATAAACAATACTTCTTTGTGATCCATTCAACGAAGAATTCTGAGCATAATGGTCTCCGCATAATCTAGACTAAAAAAACTTCCTAAATAGTTTATTTTTTCTAAAAAGAAATAAATTTTACGATTTTCGCATTCATACACACATACATACAGCTGAAAAAATTGAAATCGTAAATGATCTATATTCGTGGATTGGTTGAACTTATACATTAACACCGTCGGACGCTGGATCAGTGGTCTAGAGGTTAAGCGCTCGCGCGAGAAACCGATAAGTCCTTGGTTCGAATCTCGCAAGGCAGGATTGTGGATGTGCACTGTTGAGAAGTCCCACAAGAAGATGTGTTATACCCCGATAAGGATAATGAACGGTAACTTTGGGATCTATTTATGAACCAATATTATGCATATATTTTTTTATCGTATGATTGCTAAATATCTAAACTATTGATATTCGTGTCCCCCTTATCATGAGCTTTATTTTGAACTATAAACCATTGTTATACGATTTACCATTCATGAATTACACCCAGTCTATTGATTACTGTTCCCCTTGTTCACAGCCACATTTGGCTAAATCTTGTACACATGTTATTTTCTATTTTATGGTGCAGTGTGGTCAGTTTGTTTGGTATATAAACTCAGTATGTTTGAAATACAATGATTCATACCGCAGAGGCTGTTCTGGACTTAACTGGCTGGGCTAGGCAGAAGCAGGGCCAACAAGTGCCCTAGACTGCTCGTACGGTTTCGTGAGTCACTGTTCCAATCGATAATTCGCTGCTTTATGATTGGCGGTCTTATCACGTTCGTACGTTAACGGCGCATCCACTCGGCTACAAGTTATTACAAGATGAAACGGCCATCCATTGCTTCCAGGTTTCTCATGATGGCCTAGATTCAACTGACTCATGAATTCAATCATTAAATTACTATATTCTCTATCACAGTATGGGATAAAAGTTATCACTTAAAATACTTGGTTTGGACAAGGCTGTGAATCTCAATCATTCATAATAACCAGAATCGTGCTTTTTTAATGCAATTAAGTACAAAAAGTGTAGTTTCGCACATTTTACTTTCTAATACAATTTTTATGTGAGAATTAGTGATACTTTTATCAAAGTGGTCTCAAGTAAATGAGAGTAGGGTGTGAATCAGGGACGTACCAAACGGAAGATAGTTATGAAAATTACACTATACACATTGGCAATTAAGTCATCTCCTGAACACATAGTATGCATTGCATGATGGTTTTAAACTAAAATTCTTATCATATTACAAATCAATCAAGAGATTACTACCAGGATAAAAAAAGTAATAACAAACCCTTATATAGACGTTACTGGTGAACACTCTCCTTGGTAAATATTCTGAAGCTATTCAAGCTTAACCAAGCAATCATTTAAGTGAATATTACATGAAGAATACATAATCCGTCTACTGTTTGAAAGTGTGCATAAATTTTTAATTAATTTAAGACAATATCACGATATCAAGGGAAGTTGTACTGGGGTCAGCGTCCATTGATCAATGATAACATCCCAAGTGACTTAGTACAATGAGTAAGAAGAGATATTATCTGACGTGGCTTAAAATGGAAGCTAGTAATTATCTTGCTTATGGTTTCCCTCTTATTAAAACAGATGGAGTTTATTTCCTTAATAACCAAAGCCAAATTGAACTATGTATATTTGATTACATCTTATTTATTTTATTCTGTTGGCAAAAGTAAGAAAAGCTCTACAAAAAATATTCACTAAAATAACGTTGTATAACCCAGTTTCCAACCAACCGATTATTAGAACCAGAAGTAAGGGTAGGCTTCCCAGATTTTCCCTATGCACATTTACTAATTCAACTGCTCATGTGTAGACGGTTGAATAAAGTGCAAAACTAGACAATTTCATAACCATATTTCTGTTATGTTAAGGACAAGTAAGTTCTATACTGGCAATAAGTGGGTATGAACAATCGATTTCAAATCATCCATTGGGTTCGAGTCAATAAGCCGCATGGTTTATGTATAAGTCTTTTACATATAGCAGATGTAAGCGATATCCATCTCAACAAAAATGAATTTTTGTGTCCTTACTCTGGTCATCATAATAACAAATATTTGAGTAAATTAATGCACAATCCCTTTTATTCGATTGTTTCTGAGCATCCTTTTTAAAAAAAGCCATTTCGTATTTTCTTTGCATTTACTACTCACAAATAGACCTTAACGACTATCATCTTATCAAGTTTACTTTCTAAAGTGATTAAATACTTATTATTTTAAAATATTTATTCAAACTTTTATTATTCATATCAGCATTATTGCATTTGTTAGCTTTCCGTTAGTTTGTACTTTTTTACTGATTAGTAAACTAATTAATAATTTTTATATATAGTTGAAATCTTGAGTCAATTGAAGCTAGACCACCATGGAAAACGTGGAAGCACTAGACAGTCGTTTCGTCCTATTGTGGGACTCCTCAGCAGTGCGCATCCACGATCCCGCCTCGCGACATACTTTTTTCTGGTATATGTGTGTAAATATTAAAGTATATTAGGGTATAGCTTGACGAAGGTCTGACATATATTCACTTGTAGACCTTACTCTAAACGAAAATAATATGAGTAAATGTTATTGAACGTACAATATTTTACATCAATGTACAACAAGAGAACCCAATTACATGTGGAGTTTTATAATCGGTGCCGTGATCTACTTAATGTAAAAGGACAGTAAAAAAATAATAACAATGATAAGAACCTATTGATATTGGATGAGGATGGTAATTTTCAACAATACGGTAATGACCAATTATCTGAGTGAATAAATGTAATAAACAACTTAAAACTAGTGTAACAAATAGAAACGTTTCAGAAAAAAGATTTCCATAAAACTAAATATTTATACACCGTTTACCGATGAAAAAAGCCTTTCTTCATTGAAAACTTCTAGATAGCCAATGGTCTCTTTTTATATTTTCAGTCATCCACACATTCATGAACACACGTAGAAACAGGAAGAGAGATAAGCTTTATAAAACATTATATTAAGTTAAACAAAACAAGAATGATAGTAATATCGCATTATTTTTATATCACTTTTTCTCTTCTCATCAGTTAATTTAAACTACTGAGCTTACCTTGTGGGTAAAATCAGTAGTAAAATAGCCCCAATTATTAAACTACTTCAAACAAGGGAATATTGCATAGCTATTTAGCTTTAGTATGGAACTTCTTAATAGTAATGACTTTCATATACAAACTAAACCCATCTCCACTGAACCTCTCCATCACTACAACAAATTTATTGTTAAATTTCTATGTTTATCTAATACCTTACAGGCTAGTTTCAATTGGTTCAGCTTCATATATACATACTTATATAATCAATGACAAGTTACAATTTTGCTTAGACTAAACAAACATTGACTTTTTGTTGAATTCGAGGTTTATTAATGTTTATCTGGATAAAAAAAAGCACATTTAGCCAATTGTGAGTTGAGAAAATTCCTCTGAAGGTCAAGAGTGATTAGTGTAAACAAATGCTAAAGAAACGCAGATGACACTTATTTCAATAGAGAATAAAATTACCAAATCAAGCTGTCGATAGATCATTTCATTGTATTCTAGGATACAACCAGGAAACTCTTAGAACAAAACACCGTCTTTTACCCCACGAGTTTCCGGAGCTAGTGGTAAGGACTGAGAAACTGATGCAAATCATAAATACCCTACCTCAAGTAATTGTCTTTAAGCTGTGGGGCTGAGCTATCCTACCGACAAACCACTCAACTCATCTTGTTTCTTTTTCAGGCATTTCAAAAAGGAATATCTTTTAAGAATGTAAGCAGCCGAGACGTTTCATTTACCAGTATACATCTAACAGCACGACTATGCCATACAGACATAAAATATGAAAAAAGGTTTTTTTTTTATTTTATCTCGCAATTCTGCGTTCATGTAGAAAAGAAGAATTCAGGATAATAATTTGGAGTCATTTAACATGTACAGCATAATCCTATCATGAAGCACTCAAACAGGATATAAAGTGTAAACCACGCAGCATCAAAGAAGCACTTACAAAAATTAGGTTTGTAGCAGCTTTTCTTAAAGCTGGATCATCACCGAATGTAGATTTTGTTTCAGCTAAATATCGTAACGCACTTAATAACGCAGCGAAAACATTAATTTGTACAGCTTCTTGACGTATTGATTTTGTAAGACGAATACATTCAGTAAAATGTTCTAACATTTGTGTACGATGACGAATAGAAACACAAGCAAACAAACGACCAAACAATTCAATTGATGCATCTATTACAGTAACACTAACAGGTATAGGTCCAGTTAATTGTAATGCACAAGATAATGTGGAATTAGTAAAATTTCCAAGATTATGTCCATATGATAAATTATTAGTATTTGAGGTAGAATTAATGCCGTAGAATTTAAAAGTAGTAAAAGTACTATTATTATTTAATAAAATATCTGATGGACCATGAAACAGTGTTCCAGCTGTCGATAATAAATTCTCATTATTTTCGTCTTCAGTATTCGATAGATTTGTCACAGTAACATCAGTAGCCTGAAAAAGTAAATAATCAAAAAGTTATGTATATGCAAGAACGAATGTCAATTTATTATTACATATAATGCTTTTTTATTTATTTGTGATGATACTACCACACATGAGGAAACAGTATCTATATCTGACTCAACAAATAGTTTAGTGTTAAGCTAGACAGAAGGGGCTTTTGTGGATATTATAGTAATTTTAATAGTTGAGATCATGAATCAATTGAAGCTAGACCACCACGGAAAACCTGGAAGAATTGGACGGACGTTTCGTTCCATCATGCGCACTGCTAAGGAGTCCCATGATAGGACGAAACGGCCGTCTAGTGCTTCCAGGTTTTCCATGGTGGTCAAGCTTCAGTTGACTCATGATCTCAACTATTAAAATATTTTTTGTTATATCTTTTCACTCATTGGGATATAACGAAAAAATATATTTATTATAGTCACCAATATTATCTTCCAATACGAATAGAGTTATAAACAAGAGATGATAACTAACAAAAGAAAAATAAATCTTTATTATTCTGCATAGTTACTATTCATGCTTTTAGTTCAAATTCATATAAAAATAGAAAATACACCAATTGCATACAATTATTCAAGTGTTTTGTTGATTTATTTTACCTTTCACTTGACAACAAAAAAACTACTGAGCAGAAGAACGATTGTTAAGATCAGTAATTCTAATGAATAATAAATTATGAAAAAAAGACTTACCAGTAAATTATTAACACCATCATGTAAATATAAATAAGAAGGATCATGTTCTAATGCCCTAGGTGAATTGTTTAATATGGTCGATTGTAACTGTATAGAAAAGAAGGAATAGAAATGGTGCAAAATGATTACAGTACAATAGACGTTTAGATACTGTTCAAATAAACATTTTAACTATAAGTTATATTGTGATTGGTGAATATTATTACGCAAATATTGTTTCAGGGTTCCGTTTTATTGTGATATGAATTTCCTAAGGATCATGTGAACAAATGGTAGTCATTAGATCATAACAATATTATGACAAGTTAACAATTTATGATTGGGAGTTGTTTCAGTTTACAATGAATAACACTGAGTTTCTTGTCTAAAATGGATTCATAATGGAAATCAGGATAATTAACACGATAATTTATTGAGATAATTAAGGAATAGAAAACTAGTAGACTATAGATGATATTAAGTATACTTGCATAAAAGATATTTAAACATTTATATTGAACATACTAAGGATGGTATATTGTTTATCTATCTATGAAATGTACTAAATCTATATATCATTATGATTTTGATCTGTAATTAGGTACTATACACTTAATAAATATTTCTGATACAAAACTATAGATGGTTATGAAGATGTTTTCTACAAATAAAACATCATGAACATTCTTTAATAAAAGTAATTAAGATTGAATGTTATTTTATTTAGGGAAAAAATATATTTCCGCAGACAAACCCAGCATACAAATACATCTAATCTATAATCATGGATAAAGAAAAAGAGGGGGGATTGCCTATAAAATGATGTAATTGTGTTTGTATTAACTCTAGTCCTTATTTTTGATGTAAAATATTAAAAAAGTCGTTTCGAAAAAAGACAAGATGGTGATAAGAAAAGTATAAGATTCCTCTATATTCAGTAGTTATGTATGAACAGCTCTTCTCTATTAACATTTCTGTAAATATGCTGATGATTGGCGATAGTTCAAAGACAGCTGAATTATCATCTAAAGGAAATTAATTGGAAATTCAGTCGTGAAACCCAATAACGTGAAAAGTAATTACCCCAATGAATAACTATTGATAATGTAAATTACTTATCAAATACAAATATGGTTTTGTAATTGATTGTAAGTTATACTATATATGTGAAGACTTTTGATATTACCTGGCTGGCTAAACTGATCTACGTAAAGAAAGATTCGAATCTGAGTCCTGTTGATTGGACGCTGAATTCTCTAAGCACCAGACTATTTAATCGAAATGATAAGACCTAACAAATCCATAATCCACCAAATCCAGGATATATTAGGCAATGGCTTAGTAGTTAAAGTATTCAGATTACTGTCGATAAGTTGCATGTTAAAAACCCACTACACTTACTATAACTGGGGCAGTCAATTAGTATAACTGGCCGTCAGACATAGTGTGCCTCATGGTCGAGTATACTAACCTGTAGCTAATGAGTTGCATTAACAGATATAAAACAAATAGGAATCAGTGACAACAGAAAATAACTGAAGCGAATAATAACAGATTTTGAAAAACTATATTTCATCAAAGGAATAACTATGCTTTTCATGTTTTATCAGATACGCTCACATTATTGATTTAGGTTATAATGTTATTATTTACGATAACGTTACTATCCCTATCATACTAAAATAGTTTTTTTAAAACAAGCTATATGGTCTAATGTAATTCATCTGACTAAATAAATGAAGTTTATATTGGACCTTTTAGGAGTTTGGTAGATAAGAATAATTAGTGTACCTCTTGCAAAGTGACTGACGAAGAACAGTACAATGTTTGGTAACCATTAGTAACTCCATGCTCCAAAAGTGTAAGAAGAGATAGTCACTTAAAAATCTTTAGAATGAACAACTAATTTTCAAGTGAAAATCTACAACAAATTCTCACTACAAATATTAGTAGAGTTGAATATTTAATTTTGCCAGAAAAAAATAGTCTCCCAACAAAATTGACGACAGCAATTCAGCAGGATACATGGCTAAATGAAGAGTGAAAATTCAATTTTTGCGCATTTAAATTGATATTTCGCTTGTAAATGTGTATTTGCACAAGACTTAACAAGTAGTGTTGCATCCATACGGAGAAAATACTGAATAGGTTACATACTATAAGTTAAATGAAGACAATTAAAAATATCATCTTTCTCTCTCTCACTCTGTCGTAAGTAAGTGAAACACGCAAACTACAAGACAGAATAACAAAAACAGTAACAACAATAATGATAATAATACGTGGAAAAATTGTCATTTACAACATCAAACCGTTATGTTTTATCTATCACCAACTCCTTCAAAATAGAAAAACGGAATATCAATAACATGAAAAATAATTGTTGGTAACAGTGAATAATACTAGTAATTATAATCATTACAAAAACAGAACAACTTTAAACATAGTGTTCTGAGTTTGTGAGTCTCACGTTAAACATTTTATATTCATGTTTCACATACACAAAAAACAATAACGTAAAAAAATTCGGAGAAGTAGGTTAGTGATAGAATAATTAATAACAGGCTCGTTTATAACTGTATCACTATTAGGTTTCATAGTAAAGTTAGAAGAAAAATTCGATATAGAAAAACCTTTTTTAAAGTAAAAAGAACATGACAGAATAAAAAGAAATGTACGATCGATCGTTGGTTTTTCTGTGACTTTTCTAGTGGAATACAAGCTCATTGATTGACATGACTAACTTTCAATCAATAGGTCTCAGGTTCGACGAAATAGTGTCACTAGCCGGTAAAAGTATAATATACTGACGGTTTTGAGCTAACCAACCAGAATAAAGACAACACCTCATGTATTTTGCGTGAAATGTAGAGCGTATTAATAGATAACGTGTATGCTATTATTATTAAAGTGAAAATCGGCAACATTTGGCTCTTAAAATGATTGGAATCAATGAAAATATATATTATGAAACCAAAAATTGAATTTTCTATGATGCTTAAGCTACATTACAAAAACATATTGTGTTTAAGTACATAATGCGATTAACTGTATAATACAGAGTGTTTAGTGAAGCTGAGCAATATTCTGTTACTAAATTGCTTTGTATCGTTACTTGTTCAATAACTAGGCAGTATTTTCTCGTTGGCTGAAAAGTCGCCCAAAGTCGTCGGTATAGTATACTTCTACGCACTAACCATTATGAAACTAAAAGGTGTAGCACAAAGTCGAATACATAAGGTTGTACTGGGTAAATGAGTCACAAGACCTTTCTCATATTATTTGTTGATTTAAATACATAAACATTGGTGCAAGAAGGCACCGAATATATATGCGTGATACAAATCAGTCGATTTGTGTGAGGGCTTGGCTAATGCCATGTAGCCCAAACCAAATCAGGTGGTTTTCTTAAGGGGCCACACTCGAGGCTTTTGACCTAGAGGTTTATTCCAAAAGCTAGTGGAGCAACTTTAGGAGATTCAGTCCCATGGTAGCCAGTGGTCAACAATAGGTTCATATGTCGTTTGTTCCTACAGGATCCCGGAAACCATGTGCATCAATGGTTTGGAATCAGTGTTTCCCAACTCCTCCAGGTGGATCCCCCATATCCACTAGCCCGGTTAAGGTGCCGGACATCTGCTTTTCACCCTCTCAATTTAATAAACAACCCTGCCACGAGAAGCATTGAGTAAAACTTCCCTTGTAGTGGCTTTATACCCGTGGCCATGTGAGAACTCAATTAGAATCATACTATTTTGGTCGAATATTTCAAGTGTTAATAGCAGTTTTAATTCTTCAAAATACTTATTCGCTCGTTTATTGAACATGTTTTCTGGAAGCTATTAAACTGTGTGAACCAAGTTGGTTTCAGGGGAAAATCATCAGTTTTACCGACTGCATCAATATAGTATTTTAATCAATCAACTGGACGGTCATAAAACCGTGGTGGGACTCCCAAGAGGTGCAACGTTGTTTAGAAGACTACGTTTTTAGATGTAATAACTATTCGTTATATAACAGCATTTATTGTTTCTTAATCATTCAAAAATCAACTAATTACCATATTCATTTATTGATTAGTATTACATTGTTGTACCGTAAAAGTTATAAAATACATTGCTCTAAACCCCCTCGAACTGAGAATTCTGTAGATTATGAAAATTCGCAGCAGGAGAAAGACATTTAAATAGATACATGTGTAGTCAACAAATCTACACACCCGATAAGAGTAGAGGATAAACATCCATCATCCTCTATTGCCAAACATATAAACGAAATTGATCTTAACTCGGCTTTTGTGGTATTGTGTTAAAGTGTAAAAGGGCGTATACTAAGGTTTATTGAAGCCTTAGTCATATGAAAATTCAAACCCCCTTTGTGTATTCAAAAACAGTTTGCTCTCACGTTAAACCTACCTTGGTAATATTAGCTTATTACCCAGAGTGATTAGGTTCCAAATTGTTTTCACATTATTATTATTATTATTATTATTATTATTATTATTATTATTATTATTATTATTATTATTGTCTTCTCTTACCTCTCATTTCCAGTCTAGTTGACCTTGTATTTTTATATATGAATGTTCTTAACAAGTATATGTGTGATCAGATTGTTCGAAATGTATTGCGCTAATATATCACTTAGTCCTGATAATCGTCGTCTTATTACACTATCGAAATCTACACAACTTAAAACAAGATATAAATGAGGCTATACATAGTGAGATAAGTGGAGGAGATTTCAAGTCTAAAAACCATTGGCTACTGGTTAAAATTACTGAGGCATAATTTTTATCTTTTCAAGTGCTTAGCATGAATTAGAATAAACAAAGCATCAGTAAAGTATAAGACGTAAATTAATGGAAAAGTTAAAATTCTGAGTTAAGTTATATGTATACAAAATAATAATTAAACTGACTGACTTACTTGTTCCTCTAATAATCTTTGATCTGTATCTTGTAAGCATGATCCAAGTGTGACACTATCTTCAGAACAACTTAAAGATTTCAATAATGATGTTGTTATATTTGCTATATTATCAGTTAACGTGAATTCAGCTACTAATTCACGTAGAACTGTACTATAAGAACCTGTAAATAATGTATTAAAAATATTACTATTATTTATCTGAACACATAAAATAGAATTTTATAAACTGTTAGTTCAGCCACACAGTAATAAACAATAATAAGCGGGAAATAGTTCAAAAAATAAACTGATCAAAATTAGGTCAATATTAATGTGAACTCTTTCTTTTCTATATAAAAACGAGAGGTCATCATAACACCTATCTATATCATTCATAGTAATGATGATCGTTATTACCTTTTTTCTAAAAAAAAGGCAATATAAATACTACTGTACATTAGAACTAAAGCCTAACATTTGTATTCAGTTAAAAATATACAGGTATAAAGATGAATGATAACATGCGCTTATTCACATACTGGATTCAGTAAACATAGGAAAAATGCACAATAAACAATATAAAGATTTTTCATAGTTTAGATTAAAAATGTTTCTTATTTAGATAACCATTGAAAATGTGAAGATAAGGGAATATGATGAATTATGATTGATTAATATATTTTTTGACATACAATTACATAAATTAATTAGAGAACTATAACAAGCATGATTGTTACCAAGTAGAATTATGAAAATGTAGATAACAACATATTACTAGTGATTATCACAGAAGTAGAATAGTTATGAAGGCAAGCAAGACAAAAATTCAGTAGTACATATTTTATACTAAGCAAGAAGAAAGAAAAAAATAGCAGACAGATATGTAATGATAATGTAAAGTGTTATTAATGTGTCCACATGTATACGTGAACCAATTAATGAATATGAAAATAGAAATATTATCGAATTCGAAGCTACTCAAGCAGATCTCATTAGGTGAACCATTGATAGGACAGATTCACGTATATGATATGAATATAAAAAGAGAACGAAATGGGTTCCGTAGTGAAAACTACTAACATTTTTAGCAACTTGAATTGAGTAAAAAACAGAGGTATATTTATCATTCTATGTTCTCTAGAATAAACCAGCAAATTCTTATTCCAAAGGCTTACAAACAACATCGACTATCAAATTCTAACTCAGTTTTAGTTTGAATAGTCAGATATTTTTAAATGCAGATTAGAGAGCACTTCAAAGATTTAAGTTTGACTATTAACTATCAAAACGTCAACAATCGGAAGATTGACCAAGGATTTCATCTAAGTGGGTTATTATCTTTTAAATGGATTTACTAGGAATGCAGAACCATATTGAAAAATAGCATTGAACATTACATAGATACACCACTAAGTTTCAGGTTCTTATGAGCTAAAGCCTATTTGATTTATAGAGAAAAAGCGCTATTGGTTCGAAAATAGTAATGGAGAACAGCGGGAGACACCTCTAATTTTGATGGATAGTTGTGATGAAATTGTACGTAGAACTAATGTTTACTTCATTTCGAATATAAGAGAATACATAATGCCAATTTACAAAGTCTAATTTCAACCTTAAGAAGTTAATATAGAATACATATTTGGATTATTATTTTGAAGTTGTTACTCATTGCTTTATCCAAATTGTTGTAGAATACTTTGTATTTTCATTTGGTAATAATCATTTTACTTCACATAAATATTTTTTTAAGGAAAACTGACAAGTTGAGACTCTGTCAAAAAAAACTCATCTCTGACATAATTTTTCTGTATAATGAAATAAGGATTTATGTTGCCGTTGTATGTTGACAATCAATAATTAGACTATATATATAAATATAAGAAAAAAGATGTGTTAGTGTTACATCATTGGTTTCCAAAAAAAAGGTTCCCATTCTTTCAGAAAATTCAATTAATTGGGTGTTTTAAATAAATTAATATATTTGTAATATCCCAATGATTTTCTGACGTTTCGTGACTCAGTGTAAGCCACTGAAGAAGTGGCTACCCAATGCTCAATTTATTCAAAATTATCAAATAAAAACTTGGTAATGATACCCATAATTGGGTGTTTATTTCTAAAATAATGAATATGATGATAATTTTATATTTTATTGTCCTATGAGAATTTTTCACTCACTACTGAATACAAAAATTTATTGGAGTAAAAAATTGAGTAAACAAAGAATTATATTATGTGAAAGGTGGATGGAAGTTAAAAATATGAGGCATTGAATTCCTAACCAATGGATTAAAAGCATAGTGCACACACACACACCACGAGATTCGGAAAGGTGGCTCTGGTCTTGTGTGTGTATATCCGAATTAGCGCGCGACAGATAATAAATGTTATTATTAAGCATAATAATAACACATTTTTCTGTTTCCCAACTTTCGGCTACAAATAGTTCACTTTTTATCTGTACACAATGTTGATTTACATTCAGATCATATATAATTACAATCCATCCAGGATAATTTTTGAATAACCAGGATTTCCTTTGTTAGTGTGAATCCCGAAAGAGAATGTAACATTATAACTAGACCTTTTCTGCAATTCCCTACTAACTAAAATGGAAAATTTTATTCTTTACAAGTGATTGCTATTATTAAAACAAAAACTAACACAAGCACACACACAAACAATAGGTTATTCAACACTGAGTTACTTTAAAAAGCACTTACATTAAGAAACCACGGTCGAAATGCTTGGAATTATATTAACTTAAAAATCAAGGTATTTTGACTGCAGCTTTATTTAAAGGTTAGTTAATATTAAAAAAAAGATAATACAGTATGATCACACATAACTTCGCGATTTCCAATAATCCTGGAATTTACATCTCATCAGATTCATGAAAAAACTAAGCATGACAATTTGACGAGCATTTGAGAGATAGCTATCAGCACGATCCAATAGAAACAAACATTGATGAGACAATTCAGATGGAATACTTACTACTAAATATCATAACTTATAGAATACCCCAAATGCCCTGGTACGGCCAAGAGTGGGGAGAGTTCGCTCTCCCTCTCCAAATGCTCTCACATGGCCACGCAAATATATAGCCTCTGACAGGGAAGTCATGGAGAGTCCACCTAGGGGAGTTGGAAAACCCTGATTCCAAACCAATGGTGCACATGCGCTCCAGGATCCTGATGGAACGAATGGCGTATGAACCTATTGTTGGTCACCGGCTACCATGGGACTGCATCTCCTCACGATGCTCCACTGCCCTGTGGATCAGACCTTTAGGTCGAAGGCTCGGGGTGTGGCCCCCTAAGAAAACCACCTGCTTCAGTCTGGACACCTGGGCAGTATTTCAGCCCTCACACAAATCGAATGAGATTTGTGAGGCGCATATTTATCTGGTGCTTTTTGTACCAATATTTATGTGTTTAAATAAAAATAATAAATAAATAAATAACAAATTGTAGTCTTAATGTTAAACTGTCCATTATCTTAAGTGATATAAAACGTGTAATAGAAAGATTCATATGTAATTAAGCATACAGTTCGTAATAATTGAATAAAATAATTCAGCTAAATAGCCAAGCGGGTACTGATTAGCTAAAAAGCTATAATTAACATTCAATATTTGACGATCAACAATAATACTTAAACCTTTATTATCGGATAGAAATTCAGGCCCGTGATCAAATGACCTCAATAAACAAACCACAGTATCAAATATAATTTTAAATGGCTGAACTTTATGATCCTAAAGATAAGTGGTAGTGATAGAAGCAGATACATAGGTATGAATGATATGTTTTTTTTGTTAAACCATGTTTACTTCAATGTATATATATAGCATGAGAGAGAACGAGATGAATAAATACACATTTGCATGCAATATATTACTTTGATAAATATTGCATAACCAACTACATGATGCTTCTTGTAATAGTGTTTATATAAACATTAACATGTCTAGTGAAAACCAAACAAACTAATTAGCATAAATAGAAAACACATTGAACGAGATCAATAGATCAGTAATTAAACAAGACGAATGCAAATAATAAACAAAAAAGAATAAAATCAAGTTTTATAGATGCATACGTGTATTTTATTTTACCTTGTTGACTAAGGCTTGTTTGCCACAAATGATGTATAAATGCTAATCCACAAAATCAATAGAAAGTAATACTTTTATTGATACTGATCCCAAAAGATATTATATATATATACATATATATTGATTACTGAGTAGTGAACATTGTCGTATTCGTTTAATCATCTGAGTTGATTGAATTCTATCGACCAAAATGCAATATCCTCACTAGTACAAGTGACTCGACATTGTGTGCAGTATTTTAAGATGTTAAAAGGCTGGAGACAGTCAGCTGGAAACCGTGAACCTAGGTTTCTTGTTGGTTGGCACTCGTCAGCAGCTTGAAGAGCTCATTGGCAACATTTCGGATTGTGAAGCTGGGTGACGAATAGTGGGATACCACTAGGAGCATTAGTTCTCTCAAGATTGTAAAGAGACCTTGCTGACGAGTGTCAACAACTTGCAAGAAATGCAGAACTACGGTTTCTTATCAAGTACATCCAACAACCTAACATATATATATCCTTTTATTACTTGCTTACCCGAGTGATTGTTTCTGTTTAGCGTATTCTTTTAGCAAGGTTTCCTTCTACGAGATAAGGTTGATGATCCCATCCCAAACCTCCTCCTTTACCCAAACTTGGGACCAGTAGTAATTCTAGAAGTGCTCCAAGAGAAGTTGTATCCTTTAATAAGGTGTCCAGAAAATGTCTCAGATCTTGTAAGACAGACTATATGTCAACTTTAACCAAAATCATTATGGAATGTTGTTGACAATCAATCTTGCTTTATTTGAATAGTATGTAAGGTTATGTACCAGTGTACATGCAATTATGTCGGTGATTATAACCCAAAATACTTATGATCCATTAACATTTTATGAATCAGAGTTTCAAAGGGTTGTAAACTCTACCAATTAACATGAAAATCATGTGTCTATGCTATCGATTATTAATAATAAAATTTGCTTAATAATTTAATTAAATTTAATTAATGAACTTAAAAAAATTAAAGATAACATAATAAGGATGGTAGGTTGCAGTAATACACACGAAAGTGAAAAAAATCTTAGATTAACAACAAAGTAAGAAAAAATTAATAGGTAGATGATCAACCTTTTCTGAACACATTAACACACACTGACACGGCTGCTGGTGTATTTGAGTCCAGTACAACACAAGTACCGATTCGGTTTCCAACTATGATACTCCTAGGAAATTTACCACCATTTATTGTAATATTCTTCGGTACATGGTCACTACATATGTGACATATTGAATAAATCAGTTAGCAAATACTACCGTCAGCCAATAACACATTAGCAAGTTAATTGTAATTCGAAAATGATAGGATATATAATTAGACAAGCGAAAAGTGTTTCCTATTAATTATAATCATAATAATGTACTAAAAATAATTAGTCAACTTACTAGTGTATGCTGTAGACGGTAATAAAAGTAAAATTCGATAAAGTCGTAATCGAATAAAACCAGCTATTATTTTTAAGTGATTTCCATAAATTCGAACGATATCATTCATTTGTCCAAGCATATTTAATGCACATTCAATAAGCGGTAAAAGACGATGAATTATATCTTCAGTGAGTAATTGTGGTGAACAATATTCTAAAAAGCTTTGTATAGAGCATAATGCACCCGATCTGGATTCCAGCATGATCTACAATGTTGAAGTTGAGGCAGGAGGACAGTAGATAGAAAGTGAAAGAGAGAGACGACGAAGTAATAAGTAAAGAAATTTAACAAAAATATTAAGTGGCTGGAAGTAGTCGACAAGAAATCCAGTATTGACTTAGATTTCGTGCTTGTGAGCGCTTGTCAATAAGGTATGTTAACTTGGGAGGAACTAATGTTCCCAATCGCATGCGACCGTACATCAGTTAGCTTCACAGTCTAAGACGTTACAACTAAACTATTTGGGCAGCGACTGAGCTCCCGTGGGATTGAGATATTTATAAATGATTGATCATAGAATAGTGACTAATGTTATATTTGTCTAATTTTTTGGTGCTGATCAAACTCTATCCATAAAAGATAAGAAATAAAGTAGGTAAAGAACGGTGAAAAACATCTGAAAAATAGAATTCACCTAACTATACTGATATAACATGAGATTTAACTCATAAAAATATATCAGTTTGAAATTGCTGTACAAAGACAACCATAAAATCCCAAACACGAACAATTAATATGAAAACATTAACCTGGTCAATGTTCATGACTACATATGAAGTAAAATCGATTTACGACTAATTCAATAGTCTATTCCGCCCACATGATTTTTTTCCTATCGAATCCTAGTATGAAGTCTAGTTTTGATGTTATCTAATAATTTTGGTTTATCAGTTGGAAAGAAAGAAACAATTAAAATTTATCTAAAAAATCATTTCAGAATATATGAGAGAAAAGATTTATTTACTCAAAAGGAAAAGCGAGGGTTAACTAGTCAATAGTATAACAAATAAAGCAGAAACATTTTGACAGTTTCCACAATCTGAGATGAGAACGACATACATCTAGATGAATTTCTATTATGAAATTCTAGTATGGTTTCCTTAGTAAAACAAGTTATTTAAATTGCCCTGTATGATCTACTCTCAATGATAAAGCCAGAAAACACTAGCGTGGAAACTATACCCTACATCTTACTCAGTGATTTGAGCAGTTAGCGTATTTTCAGTTCCCCAAACGGTATCGTTCTTAATCCAAATTATGCAAACCTTCCAAAAAAGAGTTGCTTTAATTATAAGCATCAAGAATCTGTCCGCTTACCAGGACAAATTTTCATTCATTCAAACAAGTTAGATACTGAGTATCGATATAATCATAGCATATTGCTCCAAATGAGCACACCGAGAAAACAAATATGAAACAAATGTTCAACATCTAAAACACAGTACAATTTAGTTAGGGATTGACGCAACCGGTGGCTTACAACAAATCTATATTATAACTTCATTTTGCATTGTTTATTTGAATCTTCCCATTGATGTTTAGGACTGCGATTGACCAGTCTCTTGTTAGGATATGTGCTCCCTGTGCGGACTGCCTCGATATTGCCTTGAGCCACAAGCATTTCAAGCAAAAATGGATAATGGCTAGCGATGGAATCCATGACGTTCGTTTCATCCTGTTTGGGACTCGTCAACCGGATGTGCCTGCATCCCAGAGTTGATCTTCACTCTAGGAATGAGTGGGTAACGCGATAGTGTTTGAAGCGGACGATATTGAAACCGAATCCTGGAGTAAACAACAACTCTGGGATGCAAGTGCATCGAGCTGACGAGTCCTAAACAGGACGAAACGCGCGTCCTAGATTCCACCGTTAGCCACCATCTATCTTTGCTTATATATATTATACAGCTGTGCAATTCCAGAATAAATATTTCTGTCAATTAATTTACTTCTCTAATTTATAGATATTTAATCGAATTAAAAAAGACTAGCCACCCCAATGAACTCTAGGATAAATGTATGTAGAAACAAACACACACGCACACACAGAATGTACAAAAAGTGTACAACACTCAGAACAAGCAACATACCATAGAGAAGTAGACGAAAGTAGAGACAATTTAAATAAACAGATAAAATTGCCAATCAATTTTAAACAAAGTTAATTTTTAAAAAGAGAATTACATTGTCAATTAAATTTAACTAATCATATTATTTTTATTATGGAAAAATTAAAAAACTAAACTATCATTAGAGAAAAAGTAAATCAAATCAATAAAAATATGATCGAATTATGTAGCTATTGAATTGATTAAATAGAAAAAGGAAGTAAATAAGATTAAAATGTATCAATCAAGAGGATATGTATACATGGAGAAATGAACTATAACGGTGCAAATCATTTATTTATTTAGTCATTAGGCAGTAGTATCAAGTATACAAATGACTTTTCAGATGATGATAACCTAATTATATACATTGTTGAAAAAACCCAAAACAAATAGTGGAAAGATGGTTTAGTGAATAAATGACTTTACTATTTATCCTTTTTTCGTCTATTTTGATGTGAGCAGCTGGATACTATCGTCGGACCTCATTCAAACAGTGCGGTAAAAGCATGAGTGTACAAACAGGTACTTGGTGCTTTGTTATGTCATCAAAAAATATGGCGTTTTTCTACACTACACCTAAAATCGATAATTATCTGATCTATTTGGTTACTGGAAGAGTTGAAAACAAGCGTTAAGAGATTTGTATACGCATCAAGATGAGAAAAGAAGGAAAAAGAATACTCATGTACCTGATTTACTCGAGGTGAATTAAAGCGTTTAACTTCGAACTCAATTAATTAAGCCCACAAATGTATAATACAACATTGTACTACATGCAACTATTTAGAGGAACAGCCAAAATGATCAAGTTACGGGATAATGAAGGTTGATTTATAATCGATGTTAGGAAACAGTATGACCTCAGAAGAGAGACAGCTATGATAGAAAGAAGACTAAAGAAAGGTTTAACAAGTGAGGTGTTACGACAAAAGCCTTCATTAGCAAGCAACATAAATCTGTTCATTTTTCATAGCAGTTAAACCACCATATTCATAAATTGATACACTTTTAAGCTTAATTTAAAAAACCATGTAGATAATGAGAAAGCCAAAATACCTGCCAAGTAAAAGCGTCACCACGCTGCTTCTCCGCTTCCAACTCACGTAAACTGCGTGGAAATGCATTACGCCAAAATAATAACATTCTAGGTAAATGAGGCTTAACAACATTTGGTCCAAGAGTTATACAAGCAGCTAATAAACTCCAACCACTTTGAGTACGAGCTAATGCGAATCGGCTATTTTGATTGGCTGCACGTAGAAGCTCTTCAGCTAAACTAAACAACTAAATGGAAATGTTAGTATAGAATTATCAAACTAGTAGAAATCATAAGAATCCTGCTGAAGAAGTCAATCACAAAAATTAACTTTACTACTAAAAGCAAATGACGCCAACTTGATTAATGAAAAAGTGGAGAGACTATAACTTGTGGAAGAGCCAATCAGACAGTAAGTCTTGGATTTTGATGCGAAAAATCATTCATCTATTTGGCTGAATACTATTTTGGCATTATAGCTAAAAACCCTGAATCTAATTCCTAACATCCAGCTGTAAATAATAATTCTAATTCCTTACACTAATTTATAACGCTTATTTAACCCTAGTGAGTAGGTGGACATTTTCAAGACCACTTTGGCGTTACTCAAAAGTTGTCCATAAATTATAGTCTCACTGATAAATTTGCAATAGTCTGTAACTTCAGATGGCAGATGATTACATTGAAGAAATATATTCTATTCAATAATTAATTCACTATCATCTTTGAATTTTGTATTTAGATGAAGAAGATTTCAAACAATTTAGGAGCATGTTTGCATATTCTTTTTAATCACCTATAGTAAAATTACCACTAACATATCACACATTCATCTTCAAATCATAAGATATGAAAATAAATTAGCTTAGCTTACATTTTAAATTGGTCAATATAAACATTTCAAATAGTCTTTGTCTAATACCTTACTGAGGAAGTTTAGCTAAAACTCTTTAAAAAGAACAGAGTATACTTTAAAGTATGGTTGTGAGGTGTAAATAATAAAACTTTAATATACGATGACTACCTTGTAGGTAAACACTAAGTCAAAAAATGAGATGTTAATACTAATTACTGCCTGAAAAGAATGTACTTCTTAAACTTCTATTTGAAGAGGATTAAATGAGCTCTTATATGAATCAATTACTGAGAGACTGTTGCACTTGTTTGGTAATTTAACATTCACATAAAATCATGTCCGTAAAGTCTAAAATCAACAGGAGTTCTCCTTTAGTTACCATTTTGCCATGTTTGCCTGTCCAATTATATTTATAGTAGTAGTATATGCATTGGAAGGAAAAAAGCAATTCTACCGAAAAGAGACACTATAAATAAGAACGAAAAATCAACAAATGTTGACCTCAGATTATTAGCTAGTATCATACGTACGTATACACATAACTAACACGAGTCATTTACTAAGTTCGAAACAATATTTATGGCAATCGACCGATAGTACAAACTGATTGAATCATTTGCTCGGTAGCAAAATGTGGTTGTGGTGTACCTGTTTTTGCCCGACATTACCTAACTCCCACTGTCTATTTTGGACCGTTTAGACCATCTTAATCCATAGCCCTCACATATGTTCTTCATTATTTCCCCTGTCATCAACTATATTGTATTGTCATCCTTTTCAGTGAGGTTCGTTGAGTTTTTTATACATATTTCATCGCTATTATCGAAGTTTGGCTGGTTACTCTAAACACTATTCCAAAAAATTTTCGAAACCCTACCACTTAAAGCCGTTTAAATGTATAATAGTAGCTTGAAAATACATCAGCGTTACTTCGATGTCAGTTCTTTTTCTATACTGAGAGTGACTTGCGAATGTTCTTTGTGGTTAAGTTATTATCTCACTTATTCCGTTCCTATAGAACTGGAACTTCTGTAATTACCGAGGGTATTTATGATTATTTATACCAATAACATGAATTAATGCATGCACGTTTCTCACAAACTAGTCGAGAAAGTGCTTCGCGTCCATACAAAATAGTTCATACGTTCAATAGCTGACAAAATGCAATAGATGCACTACAATATATGTTTCCCTGTGTCGAAAGTGTACTTATTAACAGTATAAAACCAAAAAGTCATTTTAGAGTACCAGTTTCTTATTAAAAGCAATATAGTCCAAGTCAGTGTGATTGATTCATTTTCGACTATTATCGAAATTATCAATCTAACACCAAATATCATTTAAAAACAACAAGTCTACTGTCTATCAATACACTAATCACATAAACAAAATAAAATCCACATACATAAAATGACAATAAACTAACTTGATCCGGTATATTATTCGGCAAACCAAGAATAGAATAATTAACCCCAGCTAGAAGTCCAGTTATGCCAAAAGTAACGCCTAAAAGTGTTTCAGCACTATATCTATGAGATTGTTGTAAACAGTGTAAACATTTATTTAATAAAGGGATGCGTTGGCTTGGTACAACAATTACTAACTGTCTTAAACACGATGCAGCTGCTAAACGAACCGCCTGTATTGGATGTGATAAACATGTGCATAGTACATCAGTTAGTTGAGTGGGTTGATCTACAAGTTGAACTATAATTTGAAAACAAAATATGAATTAATGTAAAACTGTGAATGAACAGAGAAATACTGCACTTGATATCACATTAACAACTACTTAGGAATCAGAAATTGATAAGAACGTTATTGTATTTCTTTGAAGAAATGTAACACCTACAGGCAATATTCTAGATGGAGGTGAGAAAAATAAATTCTGACCTTTCAGGAGATGGATGGTGGTTAGCAGTTGAATCCAGGGTGTGCGTGCTCCATCCTACGTGGGATTCGTCAATTGGATGCATATACATCTTAGTGTGAGTATTCACATCTGGATCCGAACCCAGTATCCAGAATCCAGGGTGTGCGTGCTCCATCCTATGTGAGATTCGTCAATTGGATGCATATACATCTTAGTGTGAGTATTCACATCTGGATCCGAACCCAGTACCGGTCGCCTCAAACTCCAACTGCACTATCCACTCAGCTGCTGAGACCAGATAGCCACTAGATTATGCAAACTTCACTCCATTACACAAGCCGGTGGCTATCTGGGCTCAGTAGCTCAGTGGAGTTTGAGGCGATCGATACTGGGTTCGGATCCAGATGTGAATACTCACACTAAGATGTATATGCATTTAATCGACGAACCCCACATAGAACGGAACGTGCACCCTGGATTCAACTGCTAACCACCATCCATCTCTACTTAAAAATGCTTGTGACTTAGTAGCAATGTCGAGGTAATCCGCACAGGATGTACGTGTGCCAAAAGAGACTGGTCAGCTGCAGTCCTAAACATCGATTGGAAGATTCAAACAACCAATACATATAAACTATCAATTAAAAGCTACAGATCAAAGAAAGGTGTAACTGAATGGGCTTATGACTTAATTTCAACCACAGAATCATAAAATTCACATTTTCCTCCGCTTAACAGTGATTTATGAAACCGGATAGTATTTCCTAGTGATACTTGAAAACGGGTATATAAATATCTCAAAGGATTATTGGTTAGGAAATTAGTTAATCAATAAAAACCTAGCATGAATCGAATTCCTGAATGAAAAAATCCAAAGTCCATGGACAAAGGGTTTACAAAGGTGGGATCCAGACGGAAGTGTAATCTTGGCTTAATGGTTAAGGCGTCTGGCTCTCAAACAAAGTCGCACGTTCCACCTACTGAAATATGGGTAGATGAATAAATAATAACACTAGCCTACACGCTTAGAGCGCTGCCGGAAACCAAGTACACTAATCTGTACATAGTAAATGAGCTGAATAAAGATAAAATGGAATGGAACTAGAACTTAAAATACAACATTCGAAAAATCTAATAAAATAAGCGTTTACAGAATAAAATTGTAGATAAAAGTGCTTACCAACTAGTGAATCTAACCAACGAATTAGTTGACTAATTATATCTAACACACAAATAACTAAGTGCTGATGCTGTTGTTCTCGATTAGAACGGGAGCTGCTACCACCCGTAGTAGCTGTTGTCGTTGTTGTCGCTGTTGCCACTTGACGCCCAATTCCGCGTTTCACTTTTCCACTATCCAGTTCCACAACACTGTCCAAATTATGCACATTACTAGTTGTCTGATTATCCCCAAGTGTTATGCTGACACCAGTCTCATTGAAAATATCATTCGGTAATGAATCTGATGATTCACTTATATTGCCATTATTATTGGGAGTAAGTGTTACGGAAGAAGATGAAGAGAATATCTGTTGAAATACATCACTATCGTTCATTGAATATTCATTCACATGAAGATTTTGTAAATGCTGTAAATGATATACCAATATCTTTATCAATTCGCTAATCGCAACTAATTGAATTGATTCAGACAATAAATGTCGAAATACAGTACCCAATAGATATTGTATACACTGACGTGCATATATAGCCTCGACATGAGTTGGTGTAGCACGTGGAACTAATAAAAGATTCATCAAATGTGTCAGTATAGTTGATAGATTAGTTTCAAACCATAATGGCCCCATTTCGACAATAAATTCAATGTAGGCCTGCAAAATAAGATAAAAGCAAATTGGTTAATTAACACATCAACGAAGTGTAAATCATTTTAAAGGTCATTTTAATCAACGCTAATTGACGTTTATTCAGCAGTGGTTGGAAAATAAAAGAAAGGGCAGGGAGGAAAGATATTAATTCCTAATGTCTGTTGATATAGATAGATATCAATCATTAGTAAACTTGGATACTGGCTAGCCACGGAATTAAGGACGCGATTTTTGCCCTGTATGGGACTCGTCAACTGGATGGGTGTTCACATCTGGACTCGAATATGATACCTTTTGCTCCAGACTCTAATCGTGTTATCCACTAAGCTACTGAGTCTAGATAACCACTAACTTGTGCAACAAGCACTTGATAACGATAGTTATATCGAGAACTGAATCTGAACTCATGTATAACTCATTGAATGCATCAAAAGATGTGCACATTAATGAATTGAGGCATTTTGGAAACAACGGTGATATTAAAATAAAGAACATTTACTGCTTCAAGGTCAGTTAATGTACGGGAAATTGAAGGTATTTATGACATTTTAGACGGCCTTTGGCTTCTGGAAACTTCTGAAACTCTGCTAAACAGCGTGGCAGGATAGGTAATCATCCAATAGGAAATGTGACACGCGACTCTTCGCTTTCATGATGTGTTCAAGAAACTTCTACTTAATGATGACTGAATAAAATGTTTCCTGGAGTTTTAAGGGTCCCTTTGGGCACTTCCGATGAATTTTCTGAGTCTCTCCAACAATTTAGTTCATATTCATACAAATAAATTTTGAGTGCACAAATATGTACTTCGTACGACCGAACGATTTAGCTGCATTGAAAAAGCTTTTTAAATAATACAGTAGCTTGTATAGCTGACTGAATAAAAAGGTAATTCTAAAATACATAAAAATCTTCTTAAACGGAATAATGTAATAGCTCAACTAAACAAGTCTTTAGTAAAAAAGAAACTATTTTCATATAAATAATGATATTAACATCGCGCTTTATATACTTACATAAGTTACACCAACACGAACTTCTCGATTAACTGGACTAGTTCCTTTAATCATATCAGTAGCACTGGTACCTTTTAAAAACCCACCTGGACCTTTCAAAAATCCTGACGACAATAATGATAGTGTATCTGTAAGTGAGACAGGTTTACTCCGCGAATTATCTGCAAAAAAAGAAAGACAAACAACACAACAACCACGTAAACACTTCATAATTATCAATAATAAGGCTAAAATATGAGCATCACAAAGCGATAGCAACAAAAGAAAATGATATGAAAATGGACGGTAATACACAACACTAAACATCAAATATACTCAATTAATATTATCAAGTTATATTTGAAAGTGTTTTTATTGCAATTTCAATACGTTCCTTTAAAAAATATTCATATCAAAGGCAGAAGTTCAAAAAAGAACTGAAGAAATTACTTTGACTTTACCGTATCGTATGATTTATCGGATTTACAATGGATGAATTATAGTGCATCATTTAAAAGTATTAACGCAGTATAACAATGCCCGATTTGATAACAATAAATCTACCATAAAAGAATAGTAGTATCTGAAAAATTAACCACATTCTATTCGTGGAGTTCTACCAAGTCTGTTGTAGAGATATCAACTCACTGAAGACAATTGGTGAACAGTCTCTCAAAATCGTGGATTGGTTGAAGTTAGACATTAGCACTGTTGGATGCCGGCTCAGTGGTCTGTCGGTTAAGGGCTCTGGCTCGAGGCTGGTACGTCCTGGGTTCGAATCTCGCGAGTGCGGGGTCGTGGATGCGCACTGCTGAGGAGTCCCATAATAGAACGAAACGGCCGTCCAGTGCTTCCATGTTTTCGATGGTGGTCTAGCTTCAATTGACTCATGATTTCAACAGTGAAAATACTAAATTCTCCACAAAACCCCCTCTGAGGTATTTTTATTTGTTAGTATTGTGTACATATGTATGCTCAAAAATATAACTACGCATACATTCGTCTTTTTCTCATAGCTAATATAAAACGTTAGTATAACAACTGCATAAGATTGTACTGTATCATACAATTATGTGATGTTACAACATATGCCTTTTTCTCAACTTGCCTCTAAACTACTCAGATTTTCTACTATAAATTTATACAACTTCAGTTAGAAGCGATATATATATATATATCATTAATTACTCCATTTGACTCCTCTTGTCAAAACAAGCAACTGGCATAGAATTTTCGTAGGCACACCACTACTATTTCAACATGTGTGCATAGATATACAATTATCTGAAGGTAATTGATATTATGAGTTGGAAGAATCAAACTTTACGTTAATTTCTTGGACTGCAACTGACCAAGGTTGATTGGATATTCTAGTCAGCTTGATTATATAAATGTTATTAGCCAGATATTATGACAGGGGTGTATGGCGCATACATCTCTGGTGCCACCTTGTACCAGTATTTATGTTCAAATAAATAAATAATGACAGGGATATATATATATATATATTAAACATTTTTCTATATTTTATGGAATGAATAGCGAAAAATTTCTCTTATGAAAGTGCTAATAGCTTACGATATATGAATAGTTATGGTCATTGAGATTCAAATGCCTTTATCACTTTTTCGGACTTATCGTGAAGAAATTTCGACTAACCATTAACAATACCAGCAAGTATAAACGGTCAAAATGTAGACGTAACCTCGGTAGCAAAGTATTCAATCTTCACAAGTCTTGGTAGATATATGAATTGTTATTTAACAGATTTAAATTGAACCTACTGGGTAGGTATGAAAATTTTTTGATAACTAAATACAATCAAACACAACAAACAGCCAGTGTCTGGTAGTTGTTGTAGTTTATAAATCCCATGTTTCCGGTAACTAACCAGAAAACACTTACGTAAGGTAGTAAATAATCCATATTTAGTGAGACTACAGTTGGATTATGATACAAAGTAACTTATGAGACCAAGTGACTACGTAATAAGTCTTAAATCACGTTTATCACATCAGGATTAAAGATAGTACCCGGAATCATAAAGACGATCTCAATGAAATTGCGTTCGTACTGCATCACAGTGGATTAAAGTTGATCTTATAAATAAATGTATTGCAAATTTACGAAAGTATGGTTTTCGCAAAAAGTTTTTCAACATTGAGTCATCAAACCTCAGTAACATTGAGAAAATTTTCATATTACGAGTAGGAAATTTCATGAAATGACTTTTTCTGGACAACTTGGAAGAAAAAAATTAGTAAGAAATTATGGGGAAAAAATAGTTCCACGAAAAACGCTACATAAAAAACTTACTGGACGTTCCAACTGTTCCACTGCTGGATGCATCAGATCCTGTATCGGCAACCCCCTTACGCTGAGTTTTTGCTAACAAATGGCCCAAAGTACGTGCGGTTTCAAATCGAGTTGCATAATTGGATCCATCCATGCATCGCAGACACAAACTTACAGTAGCTTCTAATGCGTTGGTATGAATTGAATGAGAATGGTCAACCAGGAAGTAAAGACACTAAGGTTAAGGAAATAACAAAAACTGAATGAGTAAGTAGGACGTAATAGATGGTTTGGAAACTGTAGGCGGATATCATGAAGAATGGGAAATGAAGTAAAAACCCATGAGATGTTAGAGAGGTGGAATTGCATATATAATATTGAGTAAAGTTTATCGAAAATATCACGTGCAACAGAGTCATAACGTTTACAGAACAAGACTGTATCCATAAATTGTATCGATCCGGTGTTTTACGTCCCATAGTTTTCCCTTCCGCCCGCCAAGTGACACGTTTCTGTTACACACTCAATAGCAGTAAAAGTGACGGTGATAAATTCTGCTGGACATTTAATGATACAATTCAACCATATGGTGCTTTTACCTTTGAAACTGACTACTATGCCAGGAAAACTTTTACAAGAGAGAAATTATTACAAGTCAAACGCTACCTCTAAAAACGGCACTTATAAGATGACGTGTAATTTGAAGAACTTTGATTTGTAAACTCATGACGTTTATCATGCTGAATTAACTCAGATTAATGCATCAATCCTTTAAAATTCATTACAACCGCAACCATATGTTTAATGAAATGGATGGAAATACTCGTTAATAAAAGTTCCCGATACATGTATGGTTTAAACTTATGAGAATATTGTAAATAAAATTCCTACGTTTAAATACTTTGTACATATTCTTTCACAGTATATAATTAATATGTAATAATAATCCGATATTATACAAAAAGGCCAGAGTAAGCAAAAATATTTTTTGGACATTTTTGTCGAATATGGAACATACATCAATAGTAAGTTGACTCACTTTCACTGCAGCAACACGCACATATAGTACTCGATCCGTCATGCAGATTTTTACCGCTTTGTATATTTCCTTGTGACACACAACACTGGCTGAACCAACACCTTCAACCAAACTGCACAACGTATTCATAATTTCACACCGAACTAGTGACTCAGACTAAAAAAGAAGTTACAAATTAAATTATCTATTCTTCGCAATGAACTATTTATATATTAGCAAGAATAAAATGTGAAATTTTTAAAATTGTATCCATAATAAATGATGCTTCAAACAATAGAATAGCAAAATATGTGCAGATTAAGAATCGGGTATCTTTAACTCATTGTTAAGGATTTTAGAAGTCAGCTTTCTATCGCTAATACAAGAAATGAACTTAACAGTTTTACGACTTGGAAGTTTACTCCATAATCACCAGTAATTGTGAAGGTTTACAATCTAAAAGTGGCGAATTACCCGACAAACCACATATCGGAAACTGTCTGATAATTAGCAGCGTAGCCCAGATTAAATTCAACTTAGTATTGTTTGTTTGAATCTTCCCATCGATTTGTTAGGACTGCAACTGGTCAGTCTCTAATTGGCATATGTGCATACTGTGCGTATTGCCTCGATATACCTTAATTCACAAGCATGGTTAGCAGAGATGGATAGTGGCTAGCAGTGGAATCCAGGACGCGCGTTTCGTCCTATTTGGGACTCGTCAGATGGATGGATCTGCATCTCACCCCATCGCACAAACAAGTGGCTATCAGGACTCAGTGGCCGAGTGGATAACGCGATGGCGTTTGAAGCGAGGGTACTGGGTTCGAATCCCAGAGTGAACATCAACTCTGAGATGCAGGTACATCCAGCTGACGAGTCCCAAATAGGACGAAACGCGCGTCCTGGATTCCACTGCTAGCCACTATCCATCTCTGGTAGCCCAGATTGTTAGCATACGTTATTCTAATCATTCACTTAGAACAATTAGATACTGACAATCTTAGTAGAATGAATCATATTCATAACCTTGTAAAATAGAATGCAAAAGATGAGTCAGATGCCAGAAATAATAGCTGAAAATTAATTCTAGCTTACGAAATACTTTTACGGGGTTATGCATAATACAATAACATTCATGAATACCATTCCCTAATGTTTATTTGAAATAGTTCTACTAAAATACTGAAGAGCTGTGCATACAGTAGGGTGTTTGGTTATTATGTATGAAACCGGACAACTGAACTACGGTGTTCAAATGATAACATAATCATCACAAATAGGTTCGTTCTGAGATGATTAGTATACGATTTTGAAGTTAGCCTTCATACTCCAGTAGTTAATCTACACAAATGTAGTGGGGAAAAAACCATCCAAAGTATTTTGTAGAATATATTTTTGCCGTCTCAATTTACAGAAGAGAAACGAATGTATGGAAATGAGACAGCGACATCAACAGCATTGTGGTGATAGCTAAAGTTGATTTGCAACCAACTTTTTAACAAAATAACTGTCTCCCTAGTTATTGGTTCTGCATACCATATTGCTTGGAGTCTTTCATAAAAAGAGGACTTACTAGAAAAGTTTCGATCAACAAGTGCGAATGACCTATTTTCAAAGTCGAAAGTTTTAAGTAACTCCAACTTTGACAATAATCGGACATACACCCTGCCAAAACCTTGCACTTTATTTTATTACTCAGAAAAATATGATAAGCTGATGTTGATAGTTCAGTTGATAGATTAGCAAAAGATCTTAGAACTTTGAATGTATTTCTTGGTCATATGATTTTGGAACGAAATACTGCTTTTATCACACTAAACCTGAATTGCATTCTTTTAGAGTTAGATTCGAGTCTATCAGGGCACTTTTCTCGAAATCTCTGGTTTTTATCACTTACTCTTGTTGCCAATTACTTTAAAGAATATAATGGGGTTAGTTTCAAAACCATTTAACCCATCCTGTCTATCCAAACTCGGTAACAAAAAGACAGGTATATTTCCATTCATTTTCTAGATATAAACGGATGAATGTGAAAAGTGTGACCAAAATTCAACTGCATGATTTAAAAGTGGTTGACCTTCTGATGATCTGTCTAAGAATCCCAGAATCTTAGGTTTAAAGTATTTAGGGATGATTGCTTGAAAGTGTTTATTTCATTCGTAACATAAGAATTCATGGTACAATAGGGCAATAAGAAATGCACTATAGGTATGTAAACAACCATATTTTGCTGGTAGACCTAGAGGGCTCTACTTGGCTAGAATAGTCAGGACCCAGTCATTCGATGTCAAGCAGGAATTTGGAGAATAAAAAAGCCTGTATGGTAAAACAAGACCGTTGCCGGTGCTAATGAGGATTGCAGTGACCAAGTATACTAGCTAAGTGCTAAGAACCAGATGGGAAATTTTTCAAACCCAATGGCTGAAATTTAGGTGATCAAGCAGCTAAATCACAGTACATAATATTATGAATCCTGTAGTTACAAACTGGATAAGAGTTGTACACTTCAGATTTTATCACAAGAACACCTGTCCAGTAATAAAGTGGCAAGTTCCAGAATCCTAATTAAAATGTCATGTCTGAAGTAAAGAAAAAAACTAGATTGAGGGTATAAGTTTTAGTCAAGTTAACATCTGATATATTGGGATGTCAGTGTAAACTGATAAAACGTATTGTTATATTACCTGTTTGATCAACTTCACCATTATGATAACGCTGTCTTCAAAAGACCGACCGATCATACGTCCAAGGCGTTTGTATATGGCTCCCAGACAGCTAAGTGCGGCTAGACGACTATTGATACAAGCAAGTCCATCATCTCGAGATTTTAGGAGCGCATTACATGTGTTTACTGCTGTATAAAGCAAAAGCGAGTCTCCCACTAAAAATAGATTTGCAAAACAACGGCCCAAAAGCTTGTGTGTTGGCCGTCCAGGAGCGTGCGTCAGGTGAGACAACAGTTGTTGCACAAGATCTTCTTGGCATTCCTTGATAGCCTGTCTATTTTCTGCCACTAGTCGTTTTTCAAGTGAACACAGCCAGTCGAATACAAATATTGGTTTTTTAACTTCAGAAATCTTCTCATACGCCTCCTCGTCAAAAAGGAAAGACGTACTCATTCTTCGAAATGTTTATAGCTACCGCTTTTTGTTTCGACCCTGCAAGTGACCTTCAATTAGATATTCAGCATCTGTGGTCGAAAGTACAGGTGAAATAATTACTTTAGGGCTCTTGAAGTAACCTTACTGCTGTCTAAGTAGTCTTTTCACCATGAAGCCGGATTTAGTCTGTCATGACACCAACTATAATAGCACAGTATCCATTGAGCAACCCAATTAGACAAATTATCTTCAATTTTCAGGAGTAATGATAGGACGTAACTCAATCTATAATAATCCCTGAAACTTTTAATGCCGTAAAGACTCAAGCTCAAAAGAAGGTGCTTATATTACGGGTTCTAGTAGATAATTCCGGTAATTCACTACTCCATGAAGGAAACGGGAATCCTGACATAAATGATTTGCTCTCAGCATTTGAACCTTTTTACAGTGTTCTTTCTGTTTATCTGTCCTGGATAGAAGATATACGACATGTTAATACTGAGCTCACTGTTTAAGATGCGCGAACCTAACATTAAATCACTCCGTGACTTGTGGTGAGATAATGAATGTAGATCTAAGCATCTAAGTCTATTTTCATAATATAGACCAGAAAGAACTCTCACCAATTTGGTCCCTCGCAATTGAACTCATTCTTGCATATCCTCTTCATGCTTAAAGTAATGACTTGCTGCTTCGATCTCGAATTCCGAAATCAGCCCATTAAACTCGGGTATGATACTGTAGTGATAAATAAATCCTCAAAATCAATAGCTTTGTAAGTCTTCGACATTTGATGCTGACCACATTAGTTTTAACAAACTCACCTGGTTGTAGGCGCTCGCACATGTATCCACACCAGATCACTAGTGGGAATGCCGTGCTCAACTCCTCCTGCAATCCCTAGCCAATTTAGATCAGTCACTTCTCGATATATTGATAACCCATCAAATATACCTTCGAACCTCCTCGCTTCTGACTTTTGATTTCACTGGGTTGGCACGATTCAATTGCTGGGTAAAGTGTTGTCAAACTAAAATAACTGTGGCATCTTCATTGATGAGCCTGACATGATCTGGTACACCAACCCATAGACTTTGAGTCTTCTCCCTTTCGAAAATTCATATATCATTGCTTTACTTTATTTTTTATACATTGTGATATTTTTTCGTATTTTTGAATGTTTTTTCCTCTTTTGTCCCTATACTTTAAATTCGCTATGACAGAATGGACTCCTAGGCCACTTAAGGTCAAGACCCTTACACCACCCTCGTTTAGCTGATGCCCTGTTGGTCGTACAATATCGAAGTTTGGTTCTGCTACATGGAGGCCGTCTTCTACGAGCACGGTATTACTGATTAACGCACACAGTTCCTCGCTGTTGTGAGGGCATTACCGCGCGATTTCAACATAAACGTCACACCTAGTATGCTTATTAATGATGTCTCGGAACCTTACGAAACTCTAAAACGGTCGATTCTGATAAGCGGAGATCTAACCGATTGACAAAGGGTAAACCAACTCTTTAATAATATTTACCTGCAACATGGTTTTGCGACAGACATGTTGCTAAAAATGCGAGGGGTTATCGGCCAAAGAACTTTCGATGATGGCCTATTCAGACCTCTTTTCTTGTGCAAACTACCTCAACAAGTGCAATCTGTGCGCTCTGTCTGTAGACCACAAGAGATGGATAACCCCAACTGGTGCTGGTATCATAACCAGTTTGGGAAGTCTTCCAGAAATTGCAGATAACCCTGCAATTATCCTAACTGAAAATCAAATGATACGAAAAACAATTCGCGAAACTCCCCAGACGGCAAGCGTTAACGGCAACTATAGCCAACGAAAATAGCCGTCTGTTATAAATCACAGAGGTGATGACTAAAGTCCGCAGCCTTGTCGATACTGGAGCAGAAGTTAGCGTTCTCCCCGCAAATTCTAACGACCGACTTCACGAATCTGTTTCAAACTGCATGCGGCAAACGGAAAACCGATCGTCACATATGAGAAAACGTAAATCTACCTTAACGTGGGTTTACGCACACCCATTCACTGCATCTTTGTTGTTACATATGTTTCTATGCCAACCATTGTTACAGATCTCCTACAACATCACAATCTGCTCATCGATTTCTCAGTTCCGCAGCAATTTGGAAGACTCTCCCGGTCTCCCACATTTTACGAGTTTTCCATGTACCTAGATAGATGGTTTTCCTGGTTGTCAGATGAGGCATCAGCCTCGTGACTTCCGAAGGAACTCGACCTTCAATATGAGGCGTCATATCTCTTCTAACTAAAGGCCTTCTAACTCCTAGAGCAGAATTTGAATAATTTTTGACGGTTAGTGTTTTTTAGCGAGTTAGTTTTCTTCGGGATGGAGTGGCTAATCCCATGTCCAACCCTCCTCCATTATCCGGGCTTGGACCGGCAGTAGCCCCCAGAGGGGGCGAGTTTCGTTTCCACCATGTTCACCTGGAGTTGGTAGAAGCTGTGGCAGATTAAAATGGATAATCTTATCTTTTAACCTGCGTTGATCATTTCACGCGATAGCCAGGAGCAGTACTTATTAAGGACATTACTGCCGAGACAGTGGTACGCGCCTTCGTTGAACGATGGGTAGCGAAACTTCGGTCGCCCTTCAATTATCACTATAGACCGCGGACGCCAGTTCGAATCTGGTCTTTTTCGTTGTCTGGACACACTATTAGGAATCACTCGCTTCCGAAAGACCGCCTACCACCCACAAGCAAATGGGTTGGTGGAACGCTTTCACCGACAACAAAAAGCTTCACTATCAGCTAAACACGTTTCACAGTGGCCCGACGCTCTTCCAATCGTCTTACTAGGTATTCGCAATGCAGTGAAAGTTGACACTGGATACACTGCATCTCAACTGGTTTATGGAACGATACTTCGACTTGCAGGATAATTCGTGGATTACTCATCTTCTTCAGTCGACATGAATTTAAACTCCTACACGATCAGGCTTACAAACGCAACGCGTTGAGTTAAACCTGCTTACACTCGACTGCAGTCAATTGATGTTTTCGTTCAACCTGACTTACGATAAAGTACACATATCTTCGTACGTCGAGGCTCACATCGACAACCCCTCGAATCAACATGCAAAGGACCCTTCAAAGTTCTTCAGTGCGGACCTAAGTACTATTATTATTATTATTCAAAAACACCTTAAGGGTACATAATTGCTGTGAAGAAACCATTTCGGGATTCTTCAAAAATGCAATAATACACAATTTTCAATAATGTTAGCATTACATATGCTATGTTTGAGAAAGGAAGGAAAAGGAAAGTAAAATATTAATAATAGAATAGTAACAATAGTAATAATAAATCAGGTTTTGCGTAATTGGCAAGAATTTTGAATTGATTTTGAAGGAGGAAAGGAAGAAACTAAGGAAATAGAAATAAAGAAGTCACGGAATACGTAAATATCTTAACGCAGAACAACTATGTATGTATAGCAAAACGAGTAATAAAAATAAAATAAAACAGAATAAGTTAATAAGTAAATAACTTATTATTGCGGTAAGATATGACGTTAGAATAAGCGTTTGTGTGTGCACAGTCTTAGTTTTGGGTGATGCTATGAAAGTTTCAATTAAGTGTCTAAGATAATCAATATGTATGAGGTTTATATACATAGTGAAGATAAAGCGAGTTTGATAAGTTGAATTCAGCATAACACAGGTTATTGTCTTAATCCAAAGCTTCGTAATCTTAAGAATAATATTTATTTAGAAGGAAAAAAGGGAGAAAAGAAATGAACACATAGTGAAAGGGTCCAACCATGATCATAATTGTGTATTGGTTACAGAATTTTGAGATAAACGAATAATTTAAAAATAATAATAATGATAACAACAACAATAGTAACAACAATAATGAACCTTTACTGCACTCGGATAAATACGTGTAGATTTATGTAACAGTATACAGAGTGAATCCAGGTATTAGTATAAACATTAGTGCAATAATAATAATAATTTAGAATGAAGCTATGATAGTCACAATTAATTGCAAAGGATAATTAAATATAAATTTCTATATGTTATATATATGTTGTGGAGATTAAAAAAATCTGAGAATTTATTTGTTTAAGTGTAACATAGGGTTTTTTGTTTTTAATTGTAGACTTTGGATGTTTAGGAATAAAATATGTTTAGAAGGACAAGAGGAGATTAAAAGAATATCTAATGTGTCGAGAGACCATTAATGATAATAATAACAGTAATAATTATAAATTATTAAATTATTATATAATTATAAATTATAAATTAATCATTATGAATCCGATGAGCTTTCAAGCTTTGGATACTTGAAATGCAATGTGTTCAGAAAAGTTCAAATTGTCGCCATATCTTAAGCCCAAGTCACGAACGGTGTTGAGAGATTTCAGTGTATGTCGATAAGAAAAGCACTAACTACAGCATCAACATCTATCGAATCGAAGCAGCGTATTTCGAAGGAAATACTATCCATGTCAATTTTCTTTCTGTACAATCAAACGAGACGGTTCCTACACTTGTAATACCTAATCCGACAGCCAACACACACATTGATACTTCAACGGTATCTAAAAATAAACTTAAAACAGCGCGTTGTGGAAGAAGAGTAAGATTTCCAGAACATTTAGACGACTAATATACATAAACACCAGTTAACATTTTGCCTTATCCCTATTTTCCTTTGTATCATATACAGTAAAAACGTATTATGCTTATACTTATATATTTATTTCCAAAAAAAATTTTGTGCTAATATGTCTATATTTAATTATTTTTCTTCAAAAAAACCGCAAAACTCTTCAAAAATCACCTTTACTCTAACGCAGGTGTATAAGTTTATTTACCTTTTTCCGCCCGCTTTGTGCTTTACGCGCGTACGAGTGTATTTCTACGTGCGCTTACATATTCCGTTTTTCTTTTCCAAAACGGATGGAAAAGGCGATATCAAGAACGATAGAGTCTACGAGGAACCGAAATTTCGATTGTACTTTGTTTCCTTATTACTGGAGTAACTTTCGGTTTTTTAT